AACAGGATTATCTGAATGAGTCCCAACTGGGAACTGCTACAACGGTTTCTTCTGACAGTCTTTACCACGCTCTCACTATCCCCCTCACGTCTCAAGTTATAATTCTTGCAAATGAAGTGTTTTATAAGTACAAAAATTTTATTTATTTTTCTTTTTTTCTTTTTTTCATTAACAATATAGTTACCTTACCATCATTAAAAACAATACCAACATAAACCAAAAAGCAACAAAAATGTTAAATTTAAAGCTTTCTAAAGAACTATCACCTAAAATACAAAAGAAGTAAAACTTAGTGGCTACTCTCAATTCGTTATAACTACTAAATAAGGCCACTTATCATTCAAACAATTTAACTACTAACTACGATACAGATTTATGATACAAACAATTCAATTAAACGGCGCTGAAGCAACTTCTGATAATTTGTGACAGTACTTAAAAAGAAAGGTCGGCTAGGCGTTCTAATGCAACTTTAAGTATACTTAAGGCAAAAGAAACAAGGATAAGCTTACTATTAGGTTGATCTAAAAGTAGTGGGACACTTCTTTATTGAAAAATGAACGGAAATTGTCCCGCTACTTTTGTTTCAACCCAATACTACCAAAAGGTAATAAAGAAGCAAATACTATTACAAGTTTACCATAATATAATATATATATATAAATAATTCAAAAGTAAAAGCTATTTGAAAAGTTAATAGAAAAGTAGACACTACTAGGCCAAGGTCAGTACAAAAACTTCATTTTTTTAATTCAAACTTATAGGATAATGCACTAAAGTGCATAAAACAACATGTCCTGCCAAGTGTGTACTTACCTAATTTATAAATGTTATTAAAAGTATAGTACTTATCAACAATTTTGTCTAAGCATGCTACAAATAAATTTCCGAAAAAGTTGTTGAGCCAAAAATATAACTGACAAGTATTAAACCTATAGAACGATGTTAAGAAGTTTACAAGAAAGTTTTAGGTAACGTAGCTGTTCTGAATACGTAATAAGTACCTACAGCTTTTTAAAGTTTTAACTATTCATGACTTTTTAATTGTTTCAAAGAAAGCGTAATGTGCTACGTTTAATGTCGAATTTAAAAATTAATACACAAGTATTGTAATAAGTGCTACAATTTCGGTTTGAAACTAGAGGAAGGGTCTAACAAAAAAAGTGTTCAACTTTTTACTGCGACTTTTTTTGAAACGTGTACTATTTGAAAGAGCATCAATAGTTGTATAAGAATACACTTTTCAGAAGTTGATGACTACTCCACGCGCTAGCGAAGGTTTTTTAAAGTCGTTATGAAAAGTTATCTGATTTGATCCCTTTTATTCAAACCAAACAAATGTCATAAACATTGCTTGCATGGCTCAGTGTTCGATGTGCTAGACTAGACCTGTAAAAAGGCCGGACTAGGCAACGTTAGCGACCTTTCAAGTCTAGCTAAACCTTATAAGGCAACTCTGTGATGAGACTATACCCTTTTTGGAAAAGTTTATGAAACAGATTTAATGCACTAAACAGTACAATAAAGGTTATTTTAGCTAAATTTCAGATATTTTATGTCATAAGTTTATGTTTTTTTACTTTTAAAAAGTTTTTAAGAAATTTCAACTTTTGTTTTACATGCATCATAGGCATTCACCTTTAAAAATCATAAACTCAAGAAATGACCGCAAACTTTGATCAGTGACAATGCCATTTTTTATTGCTTATTGGTCAATTTATTCTTCGAGAACCCTGCCACTGGTCGGTGGGGATATCCCCAAGCAGAAAAATCAAAGAACCGTTTTCGAAACAATCATAGACAATATAGACGAGAGAGAGACGGTTAGAGAGGGAAAGTAAATTCCCTTCGCATAAAAGGGGAATTCTCTTGAAATTCTTTTTTTTCAAATTAAAAGCCCCCCCCTCCTCTTCTTTTTTCGTGTTTTGAAAGCAGGACAGCACAGGGAATTCAGAAGAATCGAGAAATATAGAAAACAGTGGGTTGGGAAGGGAAACGATGTTGTTATAGACAATACAGATGGTATGGATTTTAATAGACGGTGTAGAGACTAAAGATTGTTAAGTGTGGCTATAGAAAAACTAGAATGTCTGGGCAGGTTATTTTGGGCTAGGAAGACGGCATTGAAACTATTTTTGATTTTGTCGATTTTTTTAAATGTGTGAGGAGAGGAAGGAGGGGAAGCGATGGTTAAATTATTTTACTTGTAAATTTTTAAACGTTTTCTTAAATTCTTCAGAAAAAAATTTATTATTCTACCCCCCCCCCCCCCCTCCTCCTTTCCTAAAGCAAACTAGCGTGAGTTACGGGCCTCCCTTAGGACCCAGCTTTCAAGCTCGGCCCGCTACACATGTCTACATCAACTCTACACCTTACCTAATACATTTTTGATAGAAAACATAGATAAACTCTTGATAATAGACGATAGAGAAAGCTAGACAAAGAATTCAGTCTAGTCAAGTTTGTTTTGTCACAGAGATCAGGGGTGTTCGAGGTCACACGGAACTCGGCCCAAAGTCTTATTCATTCAGACGCCTGAGGGGATTTAAAGGGCAAAAGGCCAAGTGTTTTGTTAATTGTTTGACAATTCTTTACGCTTGTTGGCGTAGAAATTCAATATTTTTGAATTTTTTAATGTTTTAGTCATTTAAAATGGCTATTTTTGCTTAAAAACTTATTTTTATATATTGGTCGATAAAATTGATCTACTGCACCATATTATTTTTAACTTCAAAAAGCAGTACTTTTATAACAATGCAAACACACATAGTTAAACATAGTTGAATTAAATTTACTTTCTGACCGCATTTTCTATTTAATTAACTTAACGTTCTACTTTTAACTAAATTTCAATGATTTTCATTTGGCGGTTTTATTTTCATGTTTACTATTAGAAACTTCCTTTTATTTTATTTTATTGCCACTGACATTCTTTACACCGTGAGCTCTAGGTTAGTACGCTATGGAGTTTAAAATCAACTTTGCTATTTTTATAAGAAAATTTTTAGATCAGACGAAAGTCTACTTTTATATGGAACTTTGTGAAAGAGTTTGTTCGTTTATAGAGGGAGCTGTAAATACAAACTATAAGCAGTAAAACAAAGTCTACAGTAGTGTAAAATACGTTTTTAAAACTTCGTGGGTTTATTGTAATACTTTTTTAAAGTTTTATAAATAATATTATAGTAAAAAATCCTTTTTAAAATAATAGTTTTTGCTAGATTTTTTTTGTTTTTAGAGCAATGTCAAGTAGTAAACAATTTTTAGTCTTTTAATGTCTGCTTTGCTCGTAAACTTATACTAATATCTGGTTTTCTGATCTTTGAAGTCGGACTTTGAATTTGTTTGTAAAAAAAATTTTGAAGTTTTATTAAAATTTGAGATTTTAGTATTTTAGCACCAAACGTTGCTCATTTTTGTGCTTTAGTAACTAAAAATTTTAAAAAAATATGATTTTAAGGATTTAGTACTGTTTTTGCGCCAAACGTGGCCTAATATTTTTTTGCAATTTTTTAATTTTTTTTGTCTTGGAGTGGTAATTTTTGGTACAATTTATGTTTTATCAGTTTAGAACATTGCATCTGCCCGGTCTGGTCAACAAATTTTGAGCTGGACTTTTTTCTTGGTATTAGATAAGACTATACCTGAAAAAGAGCCGATAGGTCTTGCCCCTTTACCGGTCAGACAGGGCAGATGGCTATGTTAAACTTTAACTGCTTTATATTTTTAAAAACCTTTGCGTTTTTTATAATAAAAAAATGTAAAAATTATTTAAAATTATTACTCACCTCCTCTCCCTATACCTGCATTCCCCTAGCAACGTTCCTGATCAAGTACAAAAGCTACAACACATCAGTCACGTGGCCGTGTCATCATTTTTTAAAACTTTTTTTATCAATAACCTTAAAAAGCAATTCTTAATATCAATATTTAGTCTTTCGGAGCCACAAAGAAAGTTCTAGATCAATGTTAAAAAGTCATTATCTTCGATCTAGTTCTGTTTTGAAATTTGTGATGAAACATACTTATTTATCTATTTCTGTCTCGGTCAGCTCGCTTCGTTTCCGCTACACTTCTGAAACCACATGGGGGCTTGTTTTTACATTTTTTGAAATTCCTTGAACAAAATTTGGATTTTTTCTTTAAATTTTTTCGACTTTGGGCTTTTCAAAATTAAAATTAAAAAAAAAAATTTTTTTTAATTTTTTTAAAAGTATTTTTAAAAAAATTTTTATAAAAAAAACAATTTGAAAATTTTTAATTATAAATTGTGCCTAAAATACCATTCAGATGGTCAAAGATATGATTTTGCTAAAACAAGTTGGGTGGTTACATGTTTTCTAATGTTTTTCATGAATGATGGTCCGATTTCTCCCTTTTATGTCGTTTTATCATTAGTTTTCGCCGTTCGCCACACGCCTTTTCGAAATAAAAAATTTTTAAAGATTGCTTATGCGACAAAAATCTTGATTTTTAATTTTTTCTAAAAACAATAGACTTTTGTTATAAAAAACACCAAACAAATAGCATTTTATTTTGGTTATAGCCTTGTAACATTATTTTTAGTTTAATGATTTTGTCGGAAAGTGCTGGTGTTTCTTAAGGAAGACCTCTTTTAAGAACACCAAGTATAATATTTTTTTGACTATTCTATCACTTACAGTACCGTATTTGACGTGATTTTCCTTTGCAAAAGCCAATTTTTTCAAAGATTTTAAATTGCACTTTTCAGACAGAAAATCTCAATCAGAATATTGATCTAAAACAAGGTTGAGCTGGGCTGTGGAATGCCAAAAGTCGACCGTAGAACAAGATTGGACCGACCACTGAAACACTTCAGTTCCGAAGGGTATTTGCATTTTGACTTCTACGGTGCTCAACAGTAACGTTGCCACGGTCTACTGGTTAAGTCTTTGGTTTACTGTGCTTTACAGTAAATCTACAATTCTCAAAGTGTCTAGTACACTTCAACGTTCCAAAAATCGCTTTAACTTTTCAAAATGACGTGGGAACCGATCCGTCAGGGTCATTTTGAGTTTAGACCTCCAAACTTTACCACTAGGAACATCTCGCCATTCAATCCAAGTCTTCAGCCAAAGGTGGAAGAACCAGAGCCAGAACCATTGCGAGTGATAGAATGGGACCATATGAATCTGAAAGTGTTCTACCCTATGGCACTGACTTCTACCTGGACTGTCAGAACATGCCTGTATCCGTTGGCTGTGCTACGGGCTAGATTGCAGCTTCAGAAGCAGACTTCTGTCTACAGAAACACTTGGCACGCTTTCAAGAGTATCGCCAAGTATGAGGGTGCTAGGGGGTTGTATAAGGTAGGTTTTGGCATGATTTTGTAGGGGCTTATAGATATGTTTTTACAGTTTGTTAGTTAGCACGAGAGGAGATTTTTGAAGGGTGGGGTAAAATATTTGTTTTTATTTTTAAATCCCCCTATAACAATTTACCTTTTAGGGCTTCTGGGTAACCGTCCCCCAAATCGGTACCTCCTTCATCTATGCTACTGTGTACGAGAAACTACGAGCTTACCTTCTGAATGATCTGGGCTTTACTTCCGTCGCGGGTATCTCATCCATAGCCGGTGGAGCGGCTTCGTTTTGTTCTCAAGTCATCTTCGTACCAACTGATGTGATTGCTCAACACATGATGATCTACAACTATGCTGACAAGTTTGTGGGTGGCAGTGACAAGAGGATTCTGGAGTTTCTAAGGAATAACCAGGCTAGCGGTACACTTGGTATTAGGACTGTGAAGGCGGTGTATCATTGTGATGGATTGGCTGGGTTTTATCGGTATGTTATGGTTTGGGAACGTGGGGGGGAGGGGGGTAGGTAAAATACGTGCCGAGAACGGAAATAGCTTTCGTTAGCCAACTTAAATTAAAATGCCTAAATTTAAAAAATGAAATTCAAATTTTTTTCCAATTTCAGTGGTTTCTGGGCTTCATCCTTGGTATATGTACCATCTTGTTTCGTATTCTGGCCTGTCTACTATTACGTCCAAGACCTTTTGAAGAAGATTCAAAATGAAAAGGGATTCTTGTTGTTAGATCAAGCCATCGCGGCGACAATCGGTGGAGCTGCTTCTACTGTGGCCACAAATCCAATGGAGGTATTCAGGATTCGATTACAGGTGAAGACCTTTTTTATGTTTTAAAGTACTGTCACTTTTAAATAGTTAAATACGCGGAAAAAACTCAAACTCTATACAGCGATATCAAGTAATAGGCATGTTTATAACACGACTTTATTGTGTTTAACAAGGCCCATATATAAACTTTTTTTTATAGATAACATTCCCTTTTTAGGTCCACCGTTCGGACTACAAAGAAACCTTTGACAGAATCGTCAGAAATGAAGGATGGACGGTGTTTACCAAGGGCCTTCCACCTCGATTGATCAGTAACTCCATCTACTCTTGTGTTGTCATGGTTGGATACGAAGTTGTAAAACGGTTTTGTGTACTTCCAGAGTACAAGGAAGCTGTTGTGTGGTAGATAGGGCAATGAAAAAGCATATACGAAGGTCTTATGGCAAAATCAGTGTTGGACAACAATGCTACTTATGCTATTATTGATTTTTTAAAAATAATTTCGATTTTAAAAATTTTTTTCATAAATTTTTTGAAAAATTCTTAAGAATTTTTTTTGTTATTGACCAACAGATTTTGTCGTTTGCCTACTACAACATGCTTTATAGGAATAATATTCAAATAGCATTGTACTTAAGCCAGCTAAATATATATTATTATGCTGTTGTAAAACTTGAAAGCCTTGTATATTAGAAACTACTGTATATTACATGTACAAATGTAGATCGTCTTTCGGATAATAAATATTATATTATACTGAACTAGCTTTGTTTAAATCGATGAGTGATTTGTCTCTAAACTTAAGCCTACCATAAAAAGGATAAATGATATACTAGTACTGCTCCGCATGTATACTACTCCGTAGTAAAGCACCATAGATTCATAATCTTATACATGATTATTACAACTCAAGACAATAACAATCAAAAGCTATAACAGTTGTACACAACAATGACGTTTGTTTTGTCATTTCGAAAAAGCATCAAGCAACTTATAAAATCAGCTGCCCAGCCTATGGCCGCCTGAGTGGGCCGAGGCTTTTAAAATAACCCTAAGGGCACATGTTTTTCGCCTACTACCTGACCTCACAAGCCCATCTAGAAATATAACATCATTTCGAGAGATCGCCTTGACAGAGAGACAGAGCAGATAAAAATAGAAAGCGATTTCGAGAGAGCGATCAGGAACCTCGGCAATGAAGGGCATCTTGAGTCCATTTCGAAGCCAAAACTTAATCTTTTGTTGGTCCGAAATTATAATTCTGGGCAGTAACGATGACCGATTCAACTACGAACGATCCCCACTTCGAGAACATCGCCGAAGAAGTCACTGAAGTCAACACCGATGCTGACAAACTTGTCTTCTACTCGGTATATCTACGACCTCCAGCTGGTTCGAAGGACAAGGGTAAGTTTTATGTTTTTATAACTCCAAATCTGTATAACAACATTAGCTACAACATCGTAATGCTTCTAAAAATCATAATGACGTCTATTTTGAACAAAAATTCAATAGTTTAAGACGAAAAGATGATAAAAATCATATAAAAAATATAACTTTAGGTCCAAATCCCCCAAGTGGATCCCTGAACAAGGTTGATAGCTTGACAAAGATTGAGACTATTATCAGGAGAACTCAAGAAATCAACGAGAAGCTGGACGAGATTGAGACTAACAACCCTGACAAGTTCTTCGACCAAGTAGAAGACTACAGAAGTGATATTGAGGATGTTAAGAAGAGGCTAAAGAACTTGAGACAGGTGAGTATACCAGATAGTACTTCAGTCGTACAGTGTCGCAATAGAAGTTAACCAACCTGATAGTTCGGCTTTCGTATTAGGTCGTTCAAATAATCCTTCGCCCCCTAATCCCAAAAATTTGCTTTGAGAGAGGGCAAAAAATTATTTGAAAAACCTAATCATTTAAAATGAGGACCAAAAAAAACTTTACAAATATGAAACCTGAAAAACTTTTTTTGGAACTTTCCGATGCCCTACAAAATCAATACTTTCCAGATTATAAACTACGAGCAGTTAAGCGAAGGCGACCCAAACAAAAGTGAAGGATCCTGGCTGACCACCTATAAGAACCTTCTTGGCGCCAAACTTCACAAAGAAAAGAATGCCCTAGAAGAGATCCAAGAATCAGAAACCAAAGACAAAGAAGAACTACAAGCTTTGTGTAAAAGATTAGATAAAAGCGTCCAAAACGCTGGACTGCTACAAGAATGTGCACGGTACTTACATTGGTTCACCAACAGAATCGTCGAGACAAACGAAGCATTGCCCGATTCGAAAAAAGATTACACGCTTGACTTGGTGGCTGGCTGGATCAAGACTGAGCTAGACAAGGTCAAGGATCATGAACAAAATTGCTTTGTGAGTTTTAAAATTTGAACTTCAAAAAGTTCGAAAATAGCTTCGGTTAGCTGCTTTCGATGCCGTTTTTTAGCTTCAAAACCCTTTTTTGTAGCCATTTTTCATAAATTTATAAACAAAAACAAAGGAAAAAGCCTCTTCTCTATTATTAAAACCTAAATTTACGAAAATACGACCAAAAAGACCTATAAACTATTATATTATCCATGTTTCAGAATGTCAAATCAGAACTTGAAGGCAAGTTGTTCGAAGGCCAGTGACAATGCTAAATTCAGTATTCAAATTCCATAATGTTAAAATATAATTGTTGGATTAATAAAAGAAAGATTATTATGTTATACACGTTTTCCTGAATTGAGAGAAGACAAGCCATCAACAACAAGGATAAAACGAACCTTTTCAATAGTTACCATACCATTTAAAGAAATTATACAAAAAACTTACTTCCAAGTTCCAACGCATAATAAAAGACATAAAAAAGCAGTATACCGCAGTAAATTACCAACGGTAAAACAAAAAATTGCAACAACACAAGGTAACGCGTCAGCCTCCAGCACGAAAACAAGCATTAGCCAAGAAAATAAATGCGAAATGCCAAAAGAATATTGTTGTTTTTCGGATTTTAATCTTTCGAAATTACAGAAAAATAAGAGAAAAAATTAGCAACGCAAGTGTTTACAACCATTTTGTTTCGATTTGGACAAGTAATAACAATATAGATTATATGCGATAAATCGTTTTTGCTGGAAACGAAGGGTTCCACGATTTGTTGATCACATTGTGTAATGGAAACCTCGACTCTCAACGTTCTCCAACTTTCTTTCTCATTTTTCCTGGTTTTTACAGCTTACAGTTCAGCAGCATTCATATCTGAAGTGTTATTGGATCAATATGCGGAAAAAGGAGAGCTGTCCAAGCATGCCGGCTATCATAGGTAGGGTAATAAATTGCTTTTGGTCGATTTCTTGGTCAGTTTAGGTTAATACTTCTGCGAAAGGTATATTATCACTTGAAGACGAATGTCAGCAATTAAAAAATTTTAATTTTAGTCAAGCTATCATCTATGTTGTGTTTACATTTTCGAATTTCTTCGCCGCACCCATATTGAACAAGATTGGCACCAAAGCATCGTTAATTGTAGGTGCATCGACGTACTTTATGTTCTATGCTGGGTTTCTTTTTATGAATGAGTATCTGATCTACATTTTATCAGGAGTTTTGGGCATTGGAGCGGCAAGTAAGTATTTGTATTATGTTATTCGTCTTATTAGGTGTAATTTTCAGTAAGCATTTTAATTTTTAAAGATTTTGGATTATAGGCTTTGGTTCTGATAGTGTTTTATGGTAAAATAGGTTTGGAAAATTGTTGTTAAAGCTACGATAAAGGAATATTTGATGTTTTGAGTAGTACAGTATCAGGTTTTTTGGTATACGTAACATAACATTGTTTTAGTCATTTGGACAGCTCAAGGAAAGTATTTGTCGTTAAATTCGAATGAAGCTAACTCTTCTAAGCATTCTGGATTGTCATGGGCTATTTTTCAAATGTGGTAAGTTGCTATCTTTGTTGATATGTAGGTTGTACTTTGGTACTATAACAACAATACATAAATTTGCCTATTTTGCGGGGGAAACTAAATAATATTTTTGTACATATCTAAAAAATGAAGGACGACATTGTTTTACATAAATTATGCTTTTTTTATGTTTGTTTTGATGTTTAGTACCAAAGGTTTTGCAAATATTAACCTTAATCCGATATTGCTTTAGTCTGATCTGTGGTGGAATATTTCTGTTCATATTGTTTGAAGAGTCGGATGTTGATTTCAAAGATGTCACCAAGAATGTCATGTTTTTACTGTTTGCTGGCATCACCTTTTTGGGTATTGTTATCATGGCTCTACTGCGGAAAGTAGAAGATGTACTACACGTTACTGATACGGTACCAGTACCGCAAGGTTTAACGACGAATCAAAGCACGATGGACATAGCGAGCAGTGATCAAGTCGTGGCTGATCCTGATGGGCATGTTGAGATCGTTGGCACTGGAGTTAACGAGATCAGCGATGAAGTTATCAATGATATGGCATCGAATGGGTCAGATGTGGTGGAGCTTGGTCCTGGGGATGAGAGTACTTTGTATGAGAGGTTTGGTAAGTCTATGTGGTTTGAGTGACTGAAGTTCATTGTATGGTAGTTCATTTTTATTTTTTTTTGGTTTTTTAATAGTTGCACTGTGCAGTCAATTAAAATAATGGCACCGTGCAGATTTCCAAAATTTGAAAAATATTTTTTGAAAAGTTTAAAATTGAAAAAGACAATTTTAATGCGAAAATTTTTTAGTCCAAACAATTCGGCTAGCCAAGTCGTCACGTATTCGATTTCCAATTATATTATTCATGTTCTCCGGCATTACACAGTCGTTTTACGGTGGTATCTACCCGTCGATGATTGGATATTCTGGTGGATTTGGTCCAAATCCAAAGAGGAATTTGGCATTGAATATGATTTGTTATGGCATTGGACAGACTTTCGGTAGGATTTTAAACTAATTTTGTTTTTTTACGACATTAACATTGATCTAGGTTATATTATGACAATTTTCGGATAATAAAAGTTAGCTTAAAGCCAATACCATATCTTATACTATTATATGAATTAGGGCATGGTTTTGGCTTCTGGATGCTAATACTAATGTAATATGTCCTGATGCATAATTTCGTATTTTAGGAGGACTTTTGTTTGGAATCTGCTCTGATAAAACAAAAAAATTAGGAAGAGACAGGATAGCCCTGATTGGTACAATAGTCGACTTTGTAGCATTTTCTTTGATTTTTGTCAATTTTGCTGAAGATTCACCGTATCAAAAAACTCATGCTGATGGTATCATTACACCTAGGTATGTTATTTTTAATCTTTCTTTATATTAGGCTTTAAAATGCATTGGAAAGAAAGTTATTGCGTTTTGGTCAAGGCATTTGGCTTCAATAAATTGCTTGATGCAAGTTTTCTAAATTTTATACTATAAACTCTTTGGCTCATTCATATTCGAACAATTTGGTGTTTTGCATTATAGGGCTTCTGAAATGCTGCTGTATTAGTGTTTTCTATAAGAAGAGTTTACTGTAGATAGTTACTTACATTTTGCAAGTTATTGCGCTTGTTTCAGCTTACCATTGGCATTATTCTGTGGATTCTTACTGGGATGTGGAGATTCGTTTTGGAACACTCAGATATACTCATTGTTGATCACATCGTTCTCTGATTGTTCAGCTGAGGCTTTTAGTATTTTCAAGTTTTTCCAGGTAGCTTTTTTACAATTCTTTTGTTTTTAAAAAATTTTTTAGGTTAAAACATGGTGTTTTGTTTAAGTCGATCTATGTGTTCCATGAACTATTTGACGGATTTTTGAAAAATTTTTAGAAAATTTTTTTATTTTTACAAGTTTTAATATTAATAATAAGTTATATTTCATTTTAGTCCCTAATCTGCGCCATCGGCTTCTTCATTGCCAAATGGTTCACGGTAAAAGTGCATTTACTGATTTTGGTGATCTCAGCAGTCATATCAACCGCCAGTTTCATCCTGATCGAGGCCTATATCAAACAAAAGTCTGAAATCGAAGCAATCGAAACAGAAGAAATGAATCCGAACGAAGGAGCCGTCTTGTAAAGTACTCATTTTAAGGTTTTCAGTTTGCATGATAGCGTTTGTTGTACAAAATTGTTATTTATTTTTTGTAAGTTAGTTTTGGTTGATAAAGTTACTGTTTTTCGGGTAAAAAATTGACTTTTGGGTAATAAATTTTGATTTTTTTGGTAGTAAAATATAATTTTTAAGCAATAAAGATGTTTTTGGTCGATAAAGTTACTGTTTTTCGGGTGAAAAAGTTAATTTCTATGAAATAAAGTTTGATTTTTAGGTAATAAAAATGGTTTTTTTTTGAAAAAACCATTCCACCCGAAAAGGTCTCCAACAAATTTTTTTTTTTAAATTAACCCTTAACCTATTTAGTCCTACCTGACCCTACCCCTGACCTACCGAAATATCTAAGCTACGTCATCTTAAAATTACAAAAAAGCACACAAAAAGTATTATACACAAACGTTCAAGCCATTATTTTTGCATTTTAGATTATTTTTTCAATTTTATACAGAATTGTTTTAAGATAAAAATTTTTATTTTTTTAAAAAATAAACCAAAAACCCAGCGCGCAGCGTCTTATTTAACATAGTTTATTTTAAGTGCACGTAAATCTCGGTGTGAGGCAATCCTAGCCTTCCAAGGATCTCGTCGCACCACCATTTCCAATATGGACCATGCGGATCGTATGAGTTGTTGCAAAGCCCAAAACTATTTCCACTCACCGTGTGTTCTGCGGCGTGAGCTAACTCATGGATTATAACCAAAAGTAGAACTCCCGGAGGCATCTGTAGCAAGGTTTTTGTATAACTCATTGTCTAATTAGGTAGTGCCTTGGCAAGTCGTGCTGTGTTTTTAGTTTGGTCAAGCCTGACACGGGTAAATAACTTCTTCCCAAAAGCCAAACGTGACACATCAAAGACAATCTTCTCTATTATAGGCTTCTTCCATTTCGATGTTTCAAACTTCTGTAGTTCTTCAAAAATTCCTTTCATGTGCTGATTGAAGTCAGGCATGCTTTCTAAAATTAGAAAAAATTTTTTTAAAAATATTTTGTTAGTTTGAAAGTTTTACGTCATTTATAATCACGCAATAAATATTTCCCGTACAAGGATTTTGTTTTATATCTAATAACAAAGTAAATCTTTTTAAAGTTGGCATACCATTAATCACAAATTTTTCCCGGTTTCTGAATTGCCTTCTAGTGGATCTAGGCGCTTGTGTTTCTGGATGATCATTGTACCACAATCTTTTAACTAAAAAAGTGGCAATATTTGATGTTCCTTTAATTCTTTCATAGTAGGATTTGTATTCGTCTAATTTAGACTCTTGAAATTCTGCATCGTTGATTAATACCGTTGTGCTCTGTAAATGAATATTTTTAAAGTGGTTTTATTTTTTATAAAAGCTAATCAATTGCCTTAAAAATGTAAAAAAATAACTCACCATTCTTATCCAAGTGCCAAAAAAGAATGTAAACAAAAACCGTTCAAAAAAAACAACGCAAAATATAAAAACAATCGAACATATAAACATAAACGCTTGGCTCTTAAACATATGCTAGATCGGAATTTTGCGCAACTTAAGAATGAAGTTTTAGGCCAGGGGTAGGGTTGGGTAGGACTAAATAGGTCAGGTAGGGCTAAATAGTTCAGGGGTAGGGTAGGATAGGCCAGGGCTAGGGTAGGGTAGGATAGGTCAGGGGTATTGTTGGGTATGGTCAGGTGGGGCTAAATAGGTCAGGTAGAGCTAAATAGGTCAGGGGTAGGGTCAGGTAGGGCTAAATAAGCCAGGGGTATGGTTCGGTAGGGCTAAATAGGTCAGTAGGGTTGGGTAGGGTAGGTCAGGGGTAGGGTTGGGTATGGTCAGGTAGAGCTAAATAGGTCAGGGGTAGGGTCAGGTAGGGCTAAACAGGTCAAGGGTTAATTTTAAAAAAATTGTTGGAGGCCTTTTCTTTCCGGGAGATCTTTTTTATTGGAGACCTTTTCGGGTTAGAGACTTTTTTGCTTTGGAGACCTTGATTGATATCTCAACACCAGTACTTTTAAGACTTTTGCTGTTTTTTACAAAATATTGTCACTGATTTAACAGAATTGCAAAATTTCTGTTTTTGTTTAAAGTACAATGACAAAAGAGAGGGTTCTGGTAGCAACTAATTGTGGAGTTTTGAAAGCAACACAAGAAATAAGTTGAAAAATAGATTTAGTGGGGTGGTAGAAATTAAAGAGGTCATGTAGACTCGGCTGGTGGTTAAAAACTTGGGCACGGTCAACCGATATGATTTAAAAAGTCGCTGGACGGTATGGACCTCCGGGGCAAGAAAATAAAAATTACAGTGTGATGTTAGCTTGGCTTTTAGAAGTTGTTTGTTATACAGAATTTTTGTTATAGTAGAGTTATTTATACAGATGTACAACAGTAATTTTCTTGCGATGAGGTTTATTAAAATAAGTATTTATTGTATTATATAAATGTTTTGAGATTTACAGTATTTGACAAACATTCGAAAAGTGCTCGAAGATCAATAAAATTTGTCAAATAATAAAAGCTCAGCTTTACTTTCAAAACAAACTTTATTTTCATCGGTAAAAACAGTGCTATAACATTTAAAAATTTGATGAATAAAGACAAGTTTATTGATTGTTTGAGGACTAAAAATGTCATCAATTATATCACTTACTCAGTGGCGGACAGAGATTCAAAAGTTGGTTTTTATGCTGAAGTTTAGTTAGACAGTCTTTATTAGCTTTTATTGATTAAGCTGGTTTTATGTGTAAAATACGATGTCCTGGGTTATATATGACATTTAGTTTTATTTATTTTTCGAAAATGGGAATGGCCGCAACTTGGATTGGAGTTTAAAAATCTAAGTTAGGCTAATTTTAATGCTTATTACCCAAAAAATACAAGAAAACTTGGCTACATAAGGGAGCAGTACCGGACCTAATGGACTTATTTTGAAGCCTACTACTATATGCCTTAAGGCAATGTAATGCAAAAAAGTATTTGAGAAATAAATTTTTAATGAAACCTTTGTACATAAATATTACAGCTGCATCCAGCTACACAACAGACAAAAATATGCATTACCTATTGATCCGTTTAGTTCTCACAAATCTACCATAACTTCGAAAGTCCATAAAATGACGTAGCGCGAACAGAAACCGAAACTTTGTTCAATGTTATATAAGAATTAGTGATGTGTTAACACTACAAATCAGAGCCAATTTGGTTAACATTGCTGTTAAAACGTTGAGAACAATGAGTGCTCTTTGATGAGACTATCAAAATGTTGTGGTAAACAGCAACATTACATCGTGGTAAGCCTATAAACTAGATACTATGAAGCAGGCCATGGTCCCTGAGAATAAAAACATTACGTAGCGAGTTTAATGTTTGTCAGTCAAGATCATAACATCACATATGGTCATGATACAGGTTGGGCAACTGGACTGTGGGTACAAAGACGGGTTATGTCACGAAGAGGTATTGTAATGCTTGAAGATGATTCTTCAGGGTTCAGCCAAGCTTGTATATGTCAGTATATGTATATGTTAGACATTGTATGTTATCCTTTACATTAAAATATTGTGTTGAATTGAAGATCAGATAAAATATTACTGTCATTTTTGTGCTATTGTGGTATAGTGTCACAGTATCATAATAGATTCTAATAGTACGCAAAGTGTTGTGGCTTTATACCTAAAAAACCTATGTACGTTGATGGCAATACTTTTTTCACAAGATAATAGAATATATTTCAAATTTTAAAATACGACGCAACCATCTTCAATTGTCAAATTTTCTGAAATTCATGTGATATTCATGAGTAAAACCAAGTGTAAGTTTTGATAGCGTATTGAAAATTAATTACTCATAAAGTGTCAAGTAATGCAACGTCTAAAATGTGGAATTCTTGCAGATATTACACTGTAACTGACAAAGTTATGTTAAAGATCAATAAAAAATTGTTTAGTTTTTGATATTATTCTTGATGTTTTATAGGTTTTATAGGTTTTTAACATTAGCTCTTGTTTTTATACATTAAACGTTACTATTGTAAAAAATTGATCGATTCTAGCAACACTCAGTAATTATAATATAGTTAATTTTGGTTTCATTTAACTGGCTTTAAGTGAGAAAAGGCCTAATAAAAGCTAATTCTGTGGTATCTTTGTATTACCGTGACCTTTTTTTCGAGATGTCTTTTAACAAGACAGACTTATGGCTTCGTATGGTTCTTGGTAGGCTTAAAAAAGGCTGACTAGGCCCGGTTCGGCACACGTGAGCTCAAGAACAGAGGCCCAAAACAAGGCTCGAGAGACCCAGCAAAGAATTATTGGTTATTTAAGGCAAAAAGCAGTAAAATACAAGTTTTCCTTGTTTTAGTTTTAATAAATTAATATAACGAGCTGAAGCAACGTAATTTTGAACAGGACTGGGCCGGCACACGTGCGCCCAAAAGCCGGGGTTCAAACCATTTCTATAATATAATAATTGCAATCTATTTTTTATCTTTTTTCAACTTTTTTACATTTTGAATCTCCAAAAAAGTGCATTTTTATCTATAAATTATCAAAAAATAAGTTCTATTTATACCATTACTCATAAGTTTTAAGCAATACTATTTTTACATCATATACTAATGATACTCCTACGGTACACCCTCTACTCCAAGAACAATGTACTTTCTTCTTCAGAAACCGCGATGATCTTGTGACGTCACAAGAATAAAGTAAAGTAAAAGTTTGGTTCTTTGCTCAGGTTCGTTAGACTTCTACTTATTGAAATTGGGTTTTTCAAATTGTAGATCAGCCGAGTACTTTGGTTTGGGTCAAAAATGAGTTGCGTATGTAATCTTTGTACATTTCTTGCAACATTTGCTTGGAAGTTCATCGTAAAGGGCGGCTAATTTGGGTGTGTTTTTTGGTTTCTTAATTCCACTAAAAAGTTGTAATGTTTTCTATTGTGGTATAGGTAAAAAGTACCGTAATGTTTTTTATAGTTAACTAGGGTGTAAATGAATGATAATTTAAAGATATATAATCTAAGACATGAGAAAAGCTGGTGAAGGTTTGTTGGAGACTGTCAGATATAATTTTTTCTAATTGTGCCCTATGGCGTAGGTTTTGTTTCTTGAGCTACCGAGCCGTGATCAAGTGCACCTCAAGGATTAAGGCTATAGTTGGAAGTGTAGGCCAAGCATTATTATTATAATAATAGTTCATATAGCGGTAAAATCTAGCAAACCTGTCAAAAACTTGCTCTAAAAGAACAAAAAATTATGACATGTTCTGTTTTTTTTTATAACAGAAGTAGTACTTCATACTACTATAATAACTGTACTTCAGTTTTTTACTTTTTTTTTGATTTTGATGTTTTTAAGTTGTCATACCATTAGACTTCTACCAAAACTTTTTCTAGAACCCATTACCGTATGAAATTCTTTGTTTTTTGTCATTGATCTAATGAATCTCCGCCGTTCTTTGCTCGGCGTTCTTTGCTCGCACCGTTCAACCAGTTACAGACGTTTGGCGTGCAAGTTGGTCGTTCTTTAACTGAATTTCATGTGATTTACATGAATTTCCATCAACGGATTCTATGTAGTTCAACATTCGTACGAACTTGAACTCTTGGTATCTTATTGTAACGTTAAAGAAAAGATAGTTAAAGGTTTGTGTGTTCAATTACTTTGTAAAATATAATCTCAAACTACAGTAAAGTCAACGTGTTTCTAGTTTATTTTCAACAAGTATACGTCGATTAAACATTGTCTTTTTGCTGTCAAAGTCATTGCTTTTTTGATCAGTGACTTCTCTTCTCTACTACAACAAGATGCCCTCCTCAAACCATAGTATCTTTAGGTTGTAAACTGTTCTGTTTGTAGTAAAAAGAAAAAGTTCTTTTGTTTTCTGGTTTGTATTGGCGTTTTGATGATTTTACAGCAATTCCCGACTCCACCCCGTCGTCCGAACCCACCCGCCGGCTATAAAAGGTGAACAATATCGGTCGAAGAGTTCATAGTTACAATTTGATTGTACCTTCAAACAAACTCTCAACTGTTACTTTAAGCAACTTTTGCTTCGACTTCTTGCTTCAACTTCTGCTTCAAGCTACTTGAACTTACCATCAACAAAGTATCAACATGTTGTCTACAAGATTCGTCCAGCTTTTGGTCATCTTCGTCATGGTTATTGTTAATGTCTACAGTATCCACGACGGTATGACATCTGGCTCGATTCTACAAGGCCTTGGAGGCAACTTGGACAATGGCGGTGTTTTCTACGGTCAGAACAGTGTACAGTACCAGCCCTACTACGGTAACGGATTCTTCGGATAAACTGTGCCATTGTCGTGTTATACGTTATTTATTGACCTCAACTTTCACATGATCTCTTGATATTGACTTTGTAGCATTATAGCTCAATAAATTTTATTAGATATACCACGTGGGTTTGTTGTTGTTTTTGTTATATAGAGGGTAAAATTGAGTGTTTATATGTAGTAAAATAGGTTTATTGTAATGACAATTAGTATATAGTACTTTTTAAGGTTCAATAGTTAATGTTTGACTTATTAGCTTTTTACCAAGGTTAATATAAATTTTAAAAAATTATTTTTTGCTATTAAAAACAAACTTTTGTCTTGGTATTGTAATACTCAACAGTACTAACATAGTAAAAACTTTACTAGACTAAAAGTAGTGCCGTTGTGTCACATTTAACTTCAAAGCTTGTCTGAAAACCCACATAAACCAATATCATTTATAAATTAAACGTAAGGTTGTCGTATCTATTTTGTCGTATCTTAACCATGTTGCCAAGAATTGATTACTAAGCTTTGCTTTATAGTAAAAGTCTACAGTTATGTCTGTAACAGATCTCTATTGCTGCTGAGACGTTCTCACGGCGTTTTGGTCAAGTTGGGAAGGATTGATTTTGTGTTTGATTGATTGTGAGAACAAAGTCTAATATTTTCCGCAATCTTTCCAAGAAATTGCAGTCTCTAACAATTTGTAAGGTTAGGGAGCTTGTCGAAAAATCAGTAAACCATATTTTTTAAATTTTTAAAATTTAAAATTTTTATTGAAAAGCTTAAAACTTTTATTTTTTAGCCTATTATACTAACTTTTTAAAAACTTTAACCAAACTTTATCGGCCAAAAACCCCCTAAAACAATATGACACAATCAAAACTTTAATTTCTCAAAAGTTTTCAAATTTCTCCATTTTTACTGTAACTTGCTCGCTGTAACAGTCATACTCTCAAATTCAGGTGACTAAATTTTATTTACGATTTCTTCGTCATATAACAAACATCAGGTCACTTTACAGTAGACTGGACCATTCATTATTTGTGTCTGATGAATGGTTCATCAACAATATTATTTTAGATGCTGCTATTTTTGCTTCGCGATCTTTAAAGATCAAATGTGAACTAGTTTTTTCGAAAAAAGTAACTTTAACTTTGTTCGCTGCATGACTTTTGGAATAACACATCTTGAACATATAATAGTTTAAGTTAATTTAAAGTTTACAGATTTGAGCTTTTGTATTATTTTTTTGTTCAATTTGCTTGTGACTTATGTCTGTCTGAAAAATGTAAAATAAAATATTTGTTTTGTTAAAATAGAAAATACTTTTTTGCAAAACTAAGATTGTAACATTTTGAGTGAATTATAGAACATTTTTTATGTAAATTGTCTCATCATCATAAATTTTAAAACTATTAAACAATGTCATAAAGGACGCCAGGAATTACAATAAACCATTTTGCAAAATTTGATCAAAAAAAGTTTATAAAAGTCAAAATTTGAAGGGAATAATTAGCGCTAGAAGTAACGAAAGTTTCAAAAATATTTTTCTTGTTTATTGAAACTTGGAAATCCTTTTAAAATTAGCAAGTGACAAGAGAAGTACCCAAACTTTTTTCCTCAGAATCAGATCATGTTCTTTATAGCAGCCGTTTGTATTACAAATAGTACCATATAAAGAAGTTTAGCTCTTTTGTTTTTCTTCCTATATATAAAAGTTAGAAATCAATCAGAGCCGAAGATCGGGCACCATTTTTTAGTCATATATATATACAATTTTCACTTTTTCTGGTAAGTCTCTACACATATTAGTCACCTATTTAATTTTACTTAAGTTTATTTGGTCCAATTTCTTCTAGTCTACAGGTTTTTTGTTGAAAAAGTTGCACTTTGAATAACAATCTTTGTGTAGTAATTACCAAAAGTCATTAAGTTTGTGCATGTATTATAATTACTTCCTTTTTATTTTTGTTAAAGAGATGCTGAACTATGTAGTAATATTAAAACACAATTGAAGAAAAAATACAACCCAAAGTTATCTATACATAATTTATTCCTAAAAACAAACAATAACTAAAAACTATAATGTGAGATCGTTCAATGTAATGATGAGCATAGAGTGAGATTGCAGTCGGTCTAAAAGTGTTCTCCTTTGTTTTGTTTATCCAAAGAATCCAGTAGCATAGTACGGTGAATAAGCTGCACTTCCTCCAGCTGGCACAGCGAAAAGATAGTTATTATCAAGGTTACCACCTCCATTACTCAAGATTGTGCCACTTGTCAGACCATCATGGTAAGGTCTGGCTGTAGCTAGTGTAGCTAGCACAATGTAGAAGAAAAGAAGTTGTACGATAAACTTGATCATTGACATCTTGTTGTGTTAGGTGTTATAGTAGTAGGGGTATTTATAGTATTGATGTTGTAGTAGGTGATAGTTATTTTACAGTAGATTGTAGTAGCAATGAAAGATGTTTTTGGTAGAAGAAGGGTAGTTTTTCAGCAGTACCTAAATCACAGTAATTTCAATGTTGCTATAGCAGTAAAACGTATGTTTTGACTTGTTCTAACATCAATCACTCTTCCCTTTATATACTACAACATTGCTTACGAAGTTACTACTAAATCAAACATAAAGGCGGAGTTTCGAGCTTGATTAACCTAATTTAATTGAATTTTGTAGTTTTGCAAGGTGACTAAACCACAGTACAACAAGGTGGAGACGACTAACTACAACATTGTTTGTTTTTGAAAATTGCACGCTTTGGAGCGAAAGTTTTGATGATTTTCGAAATAGATCACTTTGTTTTTTTGTGCTGTAGATACAATTACTGTTAGTATTTTCAAATTGGTCAACTTTAACGTAACAATTGTGTCGTAAATAAAAGGGAAATAGCATAATTTGTTGAAAAACAAGATAAAGACCAATGCTAGGAAAAATACAGATTTTATAGCTACAACCGTAGGCACAAACTTACAAGGAAAGTACCCAATCTGCCCCACTCAGAATCAGCTCAAAAATTACTATACGCATTCACTGTACCACCAATAGTATCCATAAAAAGTTTTAGCTTGTGGTTTTGAATTTTAAATTTTGAGTTTCTTGCCAATTTGAAAAGTTTGGGATTGTGCTTCAATCACTTTTTTGGGCTTTCGAAAAACTATGCTTCAAAATTTAAAAACATAGGTCTATTTAAAGAGTTTTTGCTAGTAATCAAAGAAAAACGATTAAAACTCAAAAAATAGCAAGTTATAAGCTTTAAACACAATGCCAAATCGGCGAAAAGTTAAAAAAGTAGTTATTTTGATCGCGATTTTTTCGCGACTTCCTGGCAAGCGCCATTTAGTACTTTTGCTGAAGGTCTTAATTAACATGATCTATATAAAAAGTTTGAAGTCAATCTTAACGGGCACTTTTCGTGTTAAAGAAATATGTAATTCTTAAAACACATTTTTCTAGAGCAACTTGAAAATAAGAATTACATGTTGCGCGCTATAACAAGAGGTATCCTTTGTAAATATAAATCACTTTTTTGAAGAAATAACAAATTATAGCTTATCAAACTTATAAACACGAGTAATTGCTTATTCTTTGCAAAATAAACTTTTAAAAGTACACATTTCATATTATAAATTAGTTGCATAAACATTGTCAAGTGTTTACTATCGTCACAAGTAAAATTGCTTGTTTTTTACAATTACTCTACACGTGAAAAAAAACGAAATCTCATATGTTATAGTAGGTAACAAGTAGAACATTCTTTGCAAAAAAATTGCAGCGAAAAATTTGGTGATAATTCACTACGACCTTTTAATTATATGACTACATACGACACTATAGACTATAGTTACTACAACATAACAAGTTTCAACATAGATAATCTAGTTTATACTAGAATGATGCAACAGTTATTTAGATTTACTTAGTCATCGTAGAATGTTACCGTACTTCTTACGTATATGTAAGAATAAAATCGTGGGCAAGACAAAGTTATTATTGTCAGTCAAAATCAGGTAACTGGTGCTTTCTTATCTTTAAAAACTCTTATGGTCTTCTAATAGTAACAGTAGGAACTTATATTGCACATTTTCTATATCTTACTATACTCATTACGTCATTTTAGATATAACTTCCTAACAAAAGTAAGCCAAACATAAGTAAAAGTTACAAAGTTTAATTTAACATTACATGATCAAGTTCATATGACAAGTTGTTGTTCTCAAATGTGTTGAAACTTGTTTACCTCCTCGAATTTTACCACAATGTTGTTGGTTGTACGAATACAACACTGTAACCTTAATTCAAAACTATTTTTGGTGACAAAAGCATAAACGAAACTAAATTTAATTTTAAAATGTGTTGTTTGATGTTGTGACGACTAAGTTTCTTTACTTTATTTAGTTCAAATTTCGTAAATTTGTTCACTTTGGTGTTTAACAACTTGGGCTTTGTGACTTCCTGAGGGTTTCTTTGGTGCAATCAGGGCCGGGCGGGGACTTTTGGTCTGGTGGCAGGGGTTCAAAAAATGGGGGGGGTGGGGGGGGCCACGTTCAACTTTTTTCAAAAAATTTTTTTTCTGGGGATCCCCCTCCCCCGTCCCCCCCCTCGCGCCCGGCCCTGGGTGCAATGTAAACACTACCTTAAAATTTGATAACATTAAAGTTCATACTACTTTGAAACTTGAAGAAACAAGTTTAATTTTATACTGCAAACTGTATATAGCATAAAAAAAGCTATAAATTAGCGAAAAACTCCAGTTAGGCTACTCGAGCTGTAAGAACAGTAAAATCAGACAGATTATAAAATATTTTTCAAAAAAGTAGCTATTATACAAAGCAAGGACAAAATTGAGCACAGCATGACTAATGTCTCGTAAAATGTCGCCATGCTTTAACAATGTAAGAGGCAAAGCATAAATCATAAAGAACCACTGAAATGTGTTTCTTTACATATTAGTTGCCAACATAAAGAACCCGCCATATTTTTCCTATAATAATTCCCTATAAAAAATGGCGGGTTCTTTATGTCGGCACCTAATGGAAAAGCATAATAACATAAGGCAGGGCATAGAATACTATAAATGCTTTGTCCTGTACTCCAGCTTGGTATTGGCGAAAAAATGCATTTGGTCAAATGTTTCACTATCAGCCAACTTATTAATTTTTTAAAATTTTTTAGGAATTTACCATGCGCTGCTTTAAATACCTTTAAAAACACATTTACCATAACACCACGTGCTTATTACAAAGCATATTTTTAAAATTAAACGTGAGCAGTCAAGTCCATAGAATCTTAAACATTTGAACAGTTAAGGTGTACAAGTGTTCAACTATAACAAGTTTGTTTCACACAATCATTACTCATCTTATTTTAGAGAAAAAATCATAAAAAAAGATACTATTACTATAAAATAAATGTGAATAAAGTATCATTTTTCTACGGTTTTAATAGTTTTTTTATTTGTCAGCGAGTTGCAAACTAAATATTTTACTTTTTTATAATCATTTTTTTACTTTCTCGATTTCCTCAAGATTAACTAAAAAAAAATTTAGTACTATATATGCTGCAAATCATATATTTACATACATGATATTTCTGTATAAGCCTTTTAATTTAATCAGAGCGAGGCAAATCAGGTATCTTCCTTGTTCGTATAATTAAAAATTTTTTTAACTGATCTTTAAATTAACCATAAGTCAATACAAATATAACATCATGTTTCTTACTGTACAGTGTGTAGTAATCTTCCTTGTTTGTAACGTATTCTTCGAAGAAAGTGTCGGTCGACGAGGAAGACAGTTACATTGTTAGCTATTATGTGAAGTGACAGGTCAGTCTGCCTTGTGTTCTCGGTATTATCACTTTGTTTTTGAAACAGCAATTTGAAACTTGGATGAGATTCTAAATTTTTTTAAATTATTTTTTAATTTTTTTATTTTAATTTGTATTTTAAAAATAATTATAAAGAATAGGTAAATGAACGTGTATTATAATTGCTATAGTAAATGTTTTGAGTTACGACTACTATAGCAACGAAGATAAAGGCGCATTCAATGCACTATTCGTAGTTTACATGTTTCGAAGTTTCAAAATTACTTGTAAAACATTGTACAGTCAGACATTAACCTAAAGCAATTGTTCGGAAACATCCCAGAGTTTAGATGACTTTCGAGACAGACGCTTAGTGATTAATGTATACGTCGTTCCAGTCGAACGATGATATTCACGTTCGCGATTTTTTGAACTTTCTACTCTACTGTAATTCCGACTTTTAAAGTTTCAATTACTTCCGTATACAATATTGTAATGTAACCCTTATGAGTAAAGGTTTAGATATTTTTAATCAAAAGTTTAATTTTATTTTAGTCATTAGTTTTTTTGTGGTAGCTGTAAAGTATTGGAATTAGTTCTATTGATCAAAATGATCTGTCTGAGCAATATTACTGTATATACTCATTACCAATCCTGTTTTTACTATTTTGACTTCTTAAGGCTATGTTATAGTATCATATTACGGTAGAGTAGCGCCATATTCCGTCTAAAACAACATCTGTTCATGTTTTTGTTATGAATCCAGTTAGTTACTGAGACGGCGAAGTAAAAACAACACTTTAAATCTAAAATACCTTCACATGAAAAGCACGATAACCATTTTTAATATTATCACGTTTCATTGAGAAGTTCGTCGACAGAATCCTCATTGTTAAGTCATCATTCTTTGCTGAAAATTCGTTACAGTTAGCACGTATCGTACCTATAGTAACAATGTGCACGTTTCACACGACTAAAGTCTACTAATATACGTGTAATATACTACTCTTTATGAACCATAAGTGCACTACAGTTATTGTTGTATTAGAGTTCGAGTAATTCTGTGCCCCCTCTCTAAGCAAGAGTTAAAGGCACAGAATTATGTGAACAATTATATATTATGGCTAAACGGTGGATAAGGGCAGGGTCCGAAGCTGGCAGAGAAAAGAAGAAAATAGCCGCAAAATTAGCTATAAATGCTTGTTCTAGGCCTGATTAACCTAACAACAGTCCTGCCAGTCCAAAATTCAAGACAAACTAGTCACTTTTGCTGTGTCTGTGCCATTCTTAAGCCTTCTTTCAAAAAAATTTTTAATGCTATTTTCCGAAAACCACCGTACTTGGCGTCACTTCCAAAAATTGCACAATTAATTAATCGTATTTTACACTTCTGGACATCAATTTTTAAATTAGTTCATTGAAGTTATCGCTTAAAACTCAGCTTTGAAAGTCTTGCAAGAACGTTGTAGCGAAGTCACAAAATATATTTATTTAATTTTATTAGGAACGGTAAATTAGAAAATCGTGAGAAGTGAAGTATGTTCATTTTATGTAGTTTGAGGTTTAGTTTGTTAAATATTTTTGTCAAAGATTTTAGCAACTTTGATGAATTGCCAAAATGGAAATAGGGTATTTGTGGTTTGAATGTTTTAAACAGCCAAATTTATTTAGAAAATGCCATTTTTAGTATTAGTAAGGTCAAAAATTGGTGTTTTTATAACAAACATTACAATCAAAAACTAGAGAACGTTATACTTTCTAAAATTTGACACATGATGACATTTAGCTTATGAGAAATAAAAAACGGAGCTAATATTTAGGTTAAAGTAAGCTCTTCATCGTTGAATGGAACGACGTTCCGAAACGTTTTTAAAGACTTTGTATAAGCATAGTTAAAAAACGGGTTCCTAATATTGTTTTACATAGAACAAAGTCTGCTATTATGTTTTTATATCAGCTTTTCATCATAAAGATAATAAAAAAACTTACTATTATACAACAAAATCCCACTGTAAAATCCAAAACCACAACTATTGTGCCGGCGAAGGCACATTTGCACAAAACACAGATAAACAGAATGTTGCCATTACTTTTACAGCTTTGAAACGTGTTTTTTTACTGATCCAAGATGAAAAATGCTCTAATTAAAATGACACACACTACAGTTTAAAAAATTAATTACTTCCTACTACGACTACTCTGTAGAACAGATGTTACTGGTGTGAATCACAAGTCTCACACAATTTAAATTTTGTGTTTTGAAATCGGGAAAAGTTGTTTTGATCAACAGCTAAGATAGTTCGAATTGTATTTTACTGAAAAAACATTTAAGTGTTTTTTACCATAGCCAATCAAATTTGTAGTAAAATTTTCTCCTCCCCCCCCCCCTTAATCAAAACCGCTACTTGGCTGCGAGTATAATATATATGTATATATAATATGCACCGTACCCTACCTCCATTTTTGATGAAAATACTTTTGCAACATGAGTAACCGTAAGGGAAGTTAACTGTACTTTTCGCAATCTGTTTACAAACATGGTCTGATGTAAAAATAGTTTACTCTTTCGCGTCTACAAACTATACCGTCTACTTTTTGCTCAAAACGTTGTTTTTTATTGCCCAGTAACTGCAATTTAATTTAAAGCATCAAAGATGACACTATAACTACTACAACATATATCTTAGTCTTTAGTAAGCGTTTTGTTAATTTTCTATAACTTAAAACTAAAAACATACTATTTAATTTGGCCCGTTGTTATAAGCTTAAGTCGTATGTTGACTATACAAAACACTTTATTGTAATGATATTAACGAAAAGAAGATCCTACTGTATACCCCTTTCTATTCAATAAAACCTTAAAGAAACCTCTCTTCCTTACTACAAAGTAAAAAGCGTTGATATACGTAGAACAACCTCTTAACTACGTAAAAGACACTATCAAATACGTATCTCAAACGTTTCCAAACGTTTTCATGTGAACAGCCTTTTCTTACTCACTAACTACTCTAACATGACAGACATTCTTTACGAATTTCTATATCGTGTTCCAATTGAAACGTTCTTCATCGTTCTTTAAAGTCCGTTGCTCATCGTTCACCAACGTTCTTCATAGTTCACCAACGTTCTTCATGGTTCCCCAACGTCCTCCGTCATCCTTGTGTCTGGTTGCGTGTTGAGTTCAGATTGATTAGTTCTGGGTGCAAAACTGTTTTTCGTAAAGTTGAACTCGTTCTTTGCTCACCAAAACCGATCAGAAAACTCGATGAAAGTCCGTCGATGGAGACTACCGTACCCAGCCAACTCCATAATTGTAGCAGATCATAAATTAACCACCAAAGTATCCTTCTGAAATATTCTTTGTTTTTGTATGATATTTTCATTGTAACAACAAGCAGACAGTAGTTTTTGTAAGAGCATACGATACTTTTGATAGACGCATTTAAACTCGAAGAAAAAATGAAGTTCATTGAAAATGGCGCTACGGTAAGAGAAAATTCTAGAAGCTTCAGATTCCGCGAAGTTTTGCGCGCAAATTAACTTATTTTTTTGAAAATTTTTGCAGTTTTTTAAAAGTACAAAACAGAAAGTACAAGTTTCAAGTCTGTACAGCAAATTAATTTTTATTAGTGAACACAGAAAAAACGGTAAAATATACAAAATTATAAAGAAACACGGATATTACACAAAAATAACCAGGAGTATCGACTATATTCAAAGTTTAGCTTAATTAAAAAAAGAGCATCTTAATTTAGATAGAAAGCTTAGAAAAAGCCTTAAAAAGATCACAGTAATAGTTACCCTAATTACAGTCAATTTGATGTCCTAGACTCTACAGTACTAAAACCAACATATATATTTGATTCTACAAAAACCATCAAAGCAAGATATTGCCAAAAACCATAAATTTTGAGAATAGTAGAAAGTATAAATTTTTTAAAAATTACTTTACAACTTAAATTTTAATTTAAAAACATTATTTTTAAAATTCCGAACCAATTTTTTTCTCTAATCTAACCCTACCACCAATTACTGAACCCTCAAGAACCAGGAAGTAATCGTTCCTTTTTCGAACACCACTAAACCTTAACAAAAACCCCTAAAAACCGATTGTCCACAACCAACAATCGCTTTTTTATGCAAATTTCCTTTGTAAACCCTCAAAATCCTTCAAAATACTATTGTCATCAAAAGCGCGATACCGTTCGTTATCACTAAACAAACACAAATCCAATACAAACTACAGACTTCACACCATTAATCAGCATTCCAACCCCGAGGCGGAGTCGCTGCCATGGTATAAAAGCTCACGTTTTCTAACTTTTGGCAGTTACAACAACTGATCGCTTCATTTCATACCTACAACTGACAATTTACATTACAATGGCTTTTGTTGCCAAGATCTTTGCTTTCGTTTTTACCGTACTTTTCGTACTTTCGACCGTTGAGGGAAAGCCCTACCACGACGCCTCCATCAGTGGTACTCTTTTGAGTCCGTGGGGTGGAAACTTAGACAGCAGCTACACCATGTACCAGGCTCCAACTTACACTAACCAAGGTAAGATTTTTTTTGATACCTAAAAATGACTTTTAAAATTAAAATTTTCTTATTGCCTAGCCTTAAATTTAAATTTTGTATATATAACTTTAAAGTAAGCCCAAATTAAAACTTCATGCCATCTTAATAAACCCCCATTTTCAGTGAGATACGCCTACCCATACTACTACAACTGGCAAAAGTAGACCGTACCAGAACCTTATCAGTAGACAGCTTCTCTCAACTTCGCAATCGCCTCACGATCTCAGCTCACAAATCTCCACCTAATAATTACCTTCTCATGCTGCTTTCCATGCTTTGCACTACTTTCATTTTTGTACATAAATAAACATAGAAATACAAGTTTGAGCGTTTTTAACTCACCTATATTGTGGTAACTATCAATCTAATTAAAGCTTGAATACAAGTCCAAACAGTGATTTAAAAGGTTTTATGTCCTTGCCAATTTGAAAATGAGTTTTTACAAGACTATCAGTTATCTCTTGCCATGGCAATGTCCATCCTGTTGATAACAGCAAAAGAATTAGCTTAAAATAAGGTTTCCTATAAAAATCTACTGTAATATTAGGTTGTTCAAACAATTTTGTAATCCCTAAGCCCAAAAATTTGCTTTGAGGGGAGCACAGAATTATGTGAACAACTTTATGTCAAATTGTCCAAATATGGTGAAGCCATTCAAAGCACCCAACTTTGAGAGTTTTGGCTCATCCGTATTAGAACAACCTGATAAATTAACTATAATAGAATGAAATGCAAAAAAATGCTGATATAAACCATATTAACCCTCTATGTTATACAGGAACTGCTGATACTACAAAGACCATAAACCAAGTTTGTAGATAAAATATTCTAGGCTTGTGTCAAAAAAGTTTCATTATGGAGTGCTTTGTCATCCGTAAAACTGAAATGAACTTTTGATTAATACAAAAATGTTTCTAACATAAGAAAGTTACAGTCCAAAGTTCTTGACCATCATTTTAACAAGATTTTTTTACTATGTCATCACAAGTTGCCAACCAAAAGACCAACAAAGCTTACAGTTTCCAACAAATCAATGAACATTTACCTTTATGTAACACGTTGTATCTAATATTATAGTAATGATCTTACTTTAAGTATTAAAGAGTGTTCTTTAAACCATAGAAAGCTATGTTTACTGTATTTGCTACCCTATTACATTCGCAGTACTACTGTATTAGCTACAATACGATAGACACTATACAACACTATGAGCTACTTCCTATAAACGTATTCTTTACTCTCTAGAACCATGTTTTCTACTACGTATGTTCTACTCTGTAAAAAGTTGCTTTCCACCCATTAAGAACGTATTCTCTGCTCTGTAAAACCCTATTCTCTAGTCCAAAACCCCCTTCCAGAAATTGTAGTCATCATGTAGTATGTAGCCGATGACTATAAGGTTTGAAAAGCACTCACATCGTCGGAAGGAGGCTCTTTAGTCACGTCGCTTTAATTTGGGGGTGGAGCCAGGGAATGTCTTGTAAAGGTATAAAACAGCCTCCACTTCCTTACTTTCAATCACAGTTACACTAACTTTCCCACTATCAATCCTATACATCTCTTATCACCATGTTTGCCAAGCTTTTTGCCTTTGTTTTGACTTTGATCGTCGCTATTTCATCGGTCGAATCAAGGCCGTACCACGACGCTTCGATCAGTGGCAGTCTATTAAGCGCTTGGGGTGGAAACCTCGACAACTCCTACAAGAACCAGTACCAGGCTCCAACTTACACCAATAATGGTAAGTTTTTACTTTTTAATTTCCAAAATTTAGTTTTTATGAAATTTTTCATACAGTTTATTACCTAAATTTCAAAAATCAGTGTTAAAAATAAAGCCTTATCTATACTTTACTTACATTATTAATTTCAGTACGATTTGCTTACCCATACTACTACAACTGGCAAAAGTAGACCATCTATTAGCCTTTGTAATGTATATGGTAATCTCAGCGACCTCAACGATCTCAAACGAAAATCTCCGCTCAATATTTACAAATCATGATATAGATTTAGTTTTGTAAATAAATATTTTAATACTTACTTTTCGAATTAATTTATTGATTTAAGCTCAATACCTAACTTAACATAGCATTTTGAACTGTAAAAACTAAAGAAAAATGTTTTAAATAATAATATAGGTATAAATAATATTATAAACTAAAATACCAGCTTAATATTGACTTTATAAGACCAATTATAATATAAGTATTACCTATATTCCCGTGGTAGAACCTAAAATAAACCTAAAAAAATTAAAAAAAATCCCAAAAAAATTATAGATCCAGTAAAACCTAAACTATCATAGCAAATTGTAACTTTTAAAGTTAAATAGCAAACTGCCCTTTCGCTGACAGAACTCTTACAATCATTTCCAAAATAGTTTGATGAAAATCACGTTCTCTGCGAATTGAAACGTTGGTTTCAACGACGGACATTGCAATCTTTCTTTTACTCACTCTTATTATACATAAAGTCTGATTTTTTTAATTCTGATATTATGTTAACAATAATAAGTTTTCCTAAAGAAGAATCCCACTTTAAAACTTGGCGTGAGTACATTGAGAAAAAACGAAAAAGCAAAGCTTTAAATAATGATTTAAAATAGTATCAGCATGAGTATTATTGGTCCATTGACCGCTCCAATTCGAAATAAACAAAAATCAACCACAAAAATTTATTTCCAATAATGTGAACAACAACAATACTAAACCAACAAATAACAATGTAAAAATATTTTCTTTGAAAGAGTACATTTACAATGACACTTATTATGTCAAAAATTATAAACATATTAGATTTTAACCTTCAGTAGAATATAAAACAGCCACTAAGGCTATAAAACATTACAATAGCAGAAACAATATAAAGATAAGAACGAAATTAAGATCAAAAACAACAAAACCAAAACATATCCACATCATCATACAACCATGAAACATCTACCACTTGACATCAAGAGCGTTTCGACCAAGAGCAACATAATAATCAAAAGCGGCATCTTTTTTCTTCAGAATACCACCTAGCGTGTCAAGACTACAACAAGTAACGGTGCGGTTATTGCGAAGCTCAGTAATTAAATTTTCGTTGATGGAACAAGCACTAGTAGAATTTAAGTAAAAGACACGATTGACGTACACTGTGAGCACATCTTCAGGACGAACTTCCGGCCTTTCATCTACGGTTCGAGCATAGAAGACGCACAAATCAACCCAAAGTTTAGTGCTGATACTTCTAATCGCGTAGTGATTCTTGAATGCAAAACCTGATGCACCTACAACAACAAGAAGATTACACTTACACTTCAAAAAACATGAAATATCAAGAAAACTTATAGTAAAAAGCATAAAATCAGTGATATGTCTTTTATTTTTAAAAACCTACAAAACTTCAAAAGTTCCTCCTTTTCTTCAACTGATTTTGGTTTGACATCACCCATCTGAAAACAGAAAAGTATACTATAAATTACAAAAGAAAAAACCATCATACTCAAAAAACTCTAAACTCTGTTTTCTATAAAAAAAAACTTCACAAAATAAAGATAAGATTAAAAATTAAAATTAAAAGTTTAAATTAAAAGAAAAAAAAATATATCAGAGATCCATCGACCATTCGGATTCGACATTATAACAACCACAAATGACCGCTAAGTTTATTGCCATAACGTGAACAACAATTTTTATTAAAATAACCAATCCATTTAACAAGGAAAGTACCCTACCTGCCCCGCTCAGAATCAGCCCAAAATTTTTATATGAATTCTTTGTACCACCAATAGTACCCATAAAAAATTTTAGCTCGCGCTCTTGAGTTTTAAATTTAAATTATTTGGGTTTCCCGCCAATTTGGCAAATTTGGCATTGTGTTTCAAGCACTTTTTTCGGCTTTTCAGACAAGATACGCTTACAAATTTAAAAATGTAAGTTCATTTAAAGGTTATCTATTAGTATATTAAAGAAAAATAATTAAAAGTCAAAAAATGACAAAGTTACAAGCTTGAAACACAATGCCAAGTTGGCGGGAAATTCAAAATGTCATTTTTCAATCTCGATTTTCTCGAGATTTCCTGGAAAGCGCGATTTAGTACTTTGCTGAAGATCCTATATTTACATGATTTTTCTATATAAAAAGTTTGAAGTCAATCAGAGCGGGGCAGGTCGGGCACTTTCCTTGTAAGTTTGGCATAACAAAGAAAAGGTTAGTAGTATATTACAATACAACATAAGATATAAAATCAGTAAGAATAACAGAATGAACACAAAATCAAAAAAATTAGATTTAAAAAAATCATTATAATATTGTTACCAAAACATCAACAAGAAGAGTATTACCAAACCCAATAAGATTTTAAAAGGTATACAAAGTATAATAAATATTATAATTCATATAAAAATGCAATATCACTTAACATTTGAAGCGTTTCGACCAAGTATAACATAATTGTCAAACTCACTCTCGTTTTGTAGTACTGATCGGAGGTTGTCAAGAATGCCACAAATGTAAAACCGCTCCTCCGTCAGAACTTGGATGAAATTACTGTACTCCTTCGTATCTTTTTCAGAATTCAAATGTTTCATCCGATTGATAAAAACATTGTAAACACGATCGGTTGGAAATTCAGAATCATCTTCTATAGTTCTGGCAAAGTAGACGTTCAGGTTCACCCAGTGTTTGATATCAATGTCCTCACCAATATAGCCATGTTCATAGGCAAAGGCGGTGGCACCTGAAACAGTAGATATTAGTAAAGTTACTGTTATTTAAATGTAGTAAAACCTCACCAAAGTTAACCTCTAAATAAAACCATATTGCTATAGACAAGACCTTACAAAGTAAAATAAAATTTCAACTTACAAAGCCTCAGATCGTCGTCTTTTTCTTCAATTGACTTTTCTGTTGTACCACACATCACGTATACTGTACACAAACCCCATTGCACCTGAATTAAGAATTATAAACAAAAAAACTCTTTTAACATAAAGTAATTAACATTTGTATTCATTTTTTTAATATTCAAATTAGAGAAAACTTACAAAGTTTCAAAAGTTCATCCCTGTTTGCCGCTGATTTTTCTTTGGAATCACACACCTGAAAACAAAATAAACTGAAATTAGACATGAGGAACGGGCCGGGACCAATATTCAGGCCCGGTCCAATCAAAATTTTGCTCAAGTTCGGCCCGCCCCGAATTTTTTTAAGTGAAAGCGGGCCGCCCGTTCCTCATTTATAACTAAGATAAAATATGTTACAAAATCATAATTTAAAAACAAAAATATGCTACATATCCAATACGAGCCGGCTCTAGGGGTGAGAAACGGGCCGTCTAGGCCCGGGCCGGCCTTGAGCTAAAATTGAAATGAGAAAGGTTAGGCCCGGCCCGCGGGCCGGGCTTGAAAATTGGGCCCGGGTCCGAAAAAAAAATTTTTTAATTTTTAAAAATTTTTTATTTTAATCTCCGTTGATGTTTTTTGATTTTATTGGGTACCATGATACATAAACGATCTAAAAGAACAATGCAATGCCAAATTTCCATTTATTTTTTAAGTTTTAAAATTTTTTAAAACGGGCCGGGCCGGGCCTAAAAATTTTCTGACCGGGCCGGGCCGGCCTGAGAGAAAATTGAAAACGGGCCGGGCCTAAAAAGTGGGCCCGGCCCTTTTCTCACCCCTAGCCGGCTCGAGCCTACCAATTGATTTTCTTTTATTTTTTTTCCGGAGGATATTGGGCGCAGCTCTTCAACGGTTTTAGAGCGTCATTTTATACGAAAAAAGATTGGATTTTGATCAACAATTTTTTTCGGTTCAAAAATGTAAATACTACGTATGTTTTAATTTTTTTGTAAGTTTACAGTACTTTTGGTTATATAGTCTACTTTATAGTATATACGAATATTTGCAATCGAATTGTTATTGTGGCCAGAGGTAACGTAACTTTAAAAAAGCTAAATGTTTGGCTTTACAACTAATGTAAGTGTAAAATATGATAATTCAAACTTTGTTATTACCTGGTAATGTGGATTAAATATTTTATACGTGCAATATTTAATTTAGGTAACAAATATACGTGCGATACCTAATTTAGGTAACAAATTTATAGCAAAAAGTTGTTGGAAAAGTCACGTATCATAGTAAGCTATAAACTACAAACAAGAGCTTTAATTGTAACAGTTTAATCAATCAAACGTGTTTAAATAAGATAATATTACAATTGTCACGTAGTAAAATATCAAACATTGCACGTAGGCTACAATAACAACATTAAAATTGCAACTGATTACAATATTTGGATTACTAATCACAAAGTATGGCATCAAAAATGACTTCAAAATGTAAGATATTATCTATGTAAGAAAAGAGATGCTCATTATAGGCAACATTAGAATTGTAAGGACTAACAAATGTATTGACATAGCTGTGTCGAAAGTAAGGAGGGTACTGTAAATTAAAAAATGTATAACTTAAAGTACATGTTCTTTATATTTTGTTACATTACCTCTCAAAACATCGTATCAGAATCGTAGTAATAAGTGTTCAGCGTAGTAACCGAGTGCCCATAACCAGTGATGATACGTGTTCTACATCGCTTCAAAGCTCGGTACAAACGGAATCGATAACCATATACGATGGTAATACACAAACACTCTGACTGTGGTAAGAATAATCGTATATTGTTAAAGGTTATCAAACTATTGTTTCGGATAAACTAAAACATATTAAAAAGTTATTTCAGCATAACTGTAACTATTGTAAAGTTCTGGTACGTACTATCATGACTATTAAAATAATACTAGTAAAAATATTAATTAGTAATAGTACTCCCAAGAGTACTATTTGGTTTTTCAAATATCTAATTGTGTACCAAAAGCCTGAAGACTTGTTGAGAAGGGCATAAAATTATTTGAACAACCTAATACTACCGAGTACTAAGCATTGTAGGTGCTACAGGAATTTTAAAAAGATATTGGCAGTAACATACCTGAGATTCTAACCAGACTACGATAACTGGCACATAAGCAAAAAGTAGTTCAACGGCTATGGACAAGGATGTAAATGTTATATTCTAAAAGTAACAAAGTTTACAAATTGCATTCTTCACAACCTTTGTAAAAAATGACAGCTGGTTTCAATTATTATAAATCATTTTTACATTAGCTAACCTACCCGACTAACTCTGTAAGCAGTATATTCGAAGCTGATATGTTCTGTTCTTTCAAATACTTGTTGAAAAATTATGGCCAAGATGATAGTAATGACATTCATATACGCTTTTAGGTTCACCATATATGGAACAATCAGGTTTGATCGACAGTACATTGATCCACAGCCTGAAACAATACATAACTTGATAACTATGTAACCTCCAACGTACGTTCATATCCAGGGCTTGGCCATTTGACTTTGATTTGAATAAGCATTAGTATTACAAATACCAACAACATTACTGCAGGGTAGATCACAAAATATCGTGCTCTATTTTTCCTGTACTTCTCCTGTACAAAAAGCAATGTCTTGTCGATCACAATGACCCAAACAGAGCATGTTTTGATGACAATACATGTACCCAACAAATAGTTGGTGATTGTCGTGTATTGGATGTCGTATGTTACTGCTAAAGTAAAAATATCGATTAAAATAAAGATATTAGATTTTGGTATAGCAACTGGAAAAACTATGGTAAAATTAGTAGTTTCTTACCTAAAGGCCCTTTGTTAGAGTACATATTCATCATGAACAAGCTTTCCACAAACATTAACAATATCCATGCCAAAATGTTCAATATCAATGTAGCATACTCAATATCGTTAATCAATGCCCTTTTATTCAGTCTCTTTAGTACAACATACATTGTAATCCAACAAACAGGTATTAGAATCAAACATATTATATTGGCAAGCTCTCTACCATCAATTTGAGTGAAATATACACCTTTGAAAGTATAAGATACGTACAGGCCCATCGTAATGAACCTTGTTTTAGATATAGTAAGGCTTAGGTATAAATATAGTGTGTGTTAGGCCTTCAGATTTAGATAATGAACATAGGAAAAACCGTAAAACAAATTTTTAATGACCTTACACCTCAGTAAACTCAAAATTCATTATGTTATACATATAGAACAATATAAAACGCTACCTTTTTCGATTTAACAAGTATAAACGAACATACACAGCCCTTACAATGGTGTTATTTTCTATTTTCACAGATAATTATAGGCCTACCTAAACGCAGTTTACATTTTCCAAATTCAACTTCAAGGCGTTTATTAATTTTAAATATAATTAAATGTGTAATATCAGCTACCCATATAACTTATGTTAACACGAAAAATGAGATGATATGTTCTGAAATAACAAAAAAGACGTTTTAAAGTCAAAAATAACAAAAAATGTTTTTAAAAAGTAACAAAAAGACGTTTTTTAATTATCTAATATTATAGTAAGTAAGAATGTGAGTTTATTATGATTTTCACCTACTATAACATACATTTTATCGATAATGTTTAGTAAAATAGAAGATTACATCAAAACATAATCTAAAGTAATAAAAAAATGCAAAAATTTCTATTAAAATTTTAATAAATTACTGTAAATCAGGTCCATATGACATCAAAGACACAACAAAAATAAAGCTTTCCTTTTCGGTCGGTCCGAAAGTTCTGGAGTCAAAATATTGAAAAAAAAACTTTTTAAAATCCTCAAAGTTCATCAACCACTTTTGATTCAAAATTCAAGAAAATTTTTCCTTTCAAAAATACCTCCCCTCTGAACCTCCATCCTCAACATCTTCAATCCTTTTGACATGTCCCAGCTCTGGACGTGTACCCAGGACAACATCTCCTAGTATCCTGAGGCACAACACTGTCTTTAGCATTCATCCAGTCGATACTGATAGTCAACAAGTTGGTAGGACAGTTGTAACTGAACTTCTTCTCACAATAGATATGAAGATCCAGCTGTTCCAATTGCTTGTTTCCATCCACAAATCGCTTTCGACGTTCGTGCTCTTGATGTACTTCTTTCAGTACGTTCATATTGTACTCAGTCATTGGCAGAAAGTCCAGATCATCCACTCGGTTCGAGGTTTGGCCGAGGATTTCGGCCAGAGAGCTGCGTTTGGCGCGGTAAAAGTTTTGAGGAGAGTGGGGGTGAAGATGGGGGTGGTGGTGGGGGTGGTGCTAATGGGTCTGAAAAAGTAAAAATAACATAACATGGCAGTACTTTTGTATTCTACTCTTTTAAAATGTAAAAATTTTAAAATCATTACTTTTTAAGACTGCTAGCTGCGACCACAACTACGCATCCTGCAGAGACAAAATTAGAAATGCTGTTACAAGACAGAATTTTTAATTAAAATACGTAAAAAATAATAAAAATATTAAAACTAAAAAAATTACCTTGAGATTGAGTGAAAGGTAGTCTAGTAGTACCAAAGTCCAATTTCTTCAACAGATCACAAGGTAGCAGTAGTCGACCTTCACATCGAGTAAATGACTTGGCCGTTGGTCGAACGCCGCAGGGGTCTTGGCCACATTCAGCGTATTCGAATGGGTCTCCACTAAAACATATGATAGTAGCTTTATTACTTTCTGGTCTATTGCCTTTCTAGTACAAACTGTAGCCTAATAATTGTAAAAAAACCATGTATAATATACTTACGGACACTTCTGGTTTCCTCCATAACAAGCTCGTAGCCTCTTTCTTCTACCACACCCTCCACAAGACACTGAACATCCACTCCAAGCAGCCCATCTACTCCATTCTCCAGTATACAAACTCAAATCGATTGAAGTTGTTGTAGTAGGTACAGTGGTTGTAGTAGTGGTTGCTTCAGTGGTGGTAGCCTCAGTTGTCCTTTTTGTAGTTGATGGAGCTTCTGTAGGTCTTGTCCATTCTTCTGTCACTTCTTCCGATGACTCTTCTTTCTTTACAATAGGTATTAGTTAATGTTTTATGACATATCTTATTGTCGTTAGTATGTTATGGTAAATACTACTGTTCGTATTGTCAGCAAATCTTATACTATACAAAACCTTATCGTATTACAGTATACGAAAGGGTATTTTTTGTTACATTACTAAACTATAGTTAAGATAATATAGGTATGTTAGTACAAAAATCGTATCACCAGTGCAAAACAACACATCAAACATGTTAAAACAGTGCAATGTTACCTTATACAACCCTATAATGTTCGTATTTACAAGTTGATTCTGAGCTCTTGATCTTGTCCTACTTGATCGCGATCTAGTACTCGGTCTTCTTGTTGTAGTAGTACCATAATACGTTGGCCTAACTCTCGTTGTTCTTGTAGTTCTACTATGTCTTATTGTGGTGGTTCTATACGATGTTACAGTATATGTACGCCTAGTTTTTACTGTAGAAGGCCTGTAAGTTACCGCAGTAGTAGGCCTTTGTGTTACTGAAGTAATTCGTCTATAATTCACCGTAGTAGGTCTATATGTTACTGTAGTAACAGGTCTTCTTGTATATCTTGTATACCAGTACGTGGTTGACCTTGTTGTAGGCCAGTATGTGGTTGATTTTGTAGTAGGCCTATAGGTTGTTGTAGTAGGTGTAGTTGTTAATACAGTTAGTGTGCTCTTTGTTGTTGAGTGTCTAGATACGTGCGGTTTTACAGTTACTTGTGGTTTAGTAGTGTACTTGGACTAAACATGGTTAGATCGTGAGATTACAAAAGTCACAGCAAGGGTTAAAGTGTGGTATGTTATGTTAGTATGTGTGTTTGAAAATGATATGTTAAAACTTACTCCGCTGCCAGGGACTGAAAATACATACATTATAGTACTGTCAATTCATATTAGCTTTATCTTGTATAAAATTTTATACTTTTAAGCATAAATTATGATTTTATAGTATAATATGTTACCTAATTTTCTATAAATGCCTTTTCATCACATAACATATCATCTCAACCCATAAAAATGTACTTCCATATCATCCCATACCTCAACAAACACAAGACAAACAACTTACTCGACTTGTAGCTAAACTCAAACCCAGTGTAACCAGTTTGAATGTCATTGGCACCAACAAACATGACCAGAACTTCATTGTCTTCAGAGTAAATGGGCTGGCTTGGTGAATCACAACAAATCCGAGCTCCAGTTGGAGCTTTGTCCTTCTTGTACTTCAGCTCAACGTAACTTGAACAAGCTGTTTCACATGGGAAGACGGCTTTGTCAAAGTTAATCTGAATTCTCTCGCCTTTCTGTGCTCGAATCCGCCAGAAACACTTGGCTCCAGCCATGATATCAGGTGATCTGAGCTCTCGGGAAATCGAAAAAGCTTTGAGCTCACCTCCTTGACACTTGGGGACGTCTGGAAAGCAATAATGAGGTTTAAAATTAAAAATTCAAAGCATTTTTCGATTTTTCAAAATAAAAAATCAAAATTTTTTAAAAATAATATAAACCTACTGCTAATAGGAACGCTCTGACACAAGTTTCCCCCGTAGCCAGTTGGGCATTTGCATCTGTAGCAGTAGTTAGGGTCAGTGTAGCCATGATTCTGGCATTTCAATTCTCTTGGACAAATATTCTGACAATAACGCAAATTGATCATCTTGGCATCTTTGAAAGAAATGGCTTCACGTTGGCCAATAGTCTGTTGATAGTTTGGATCTTTGGTTAGGATTGAGTATCTAAAACAGTATGTTAATATAACGGTCCGCAATTTTATTTTTAAGTCTATATTGTGATAACTACTTTAATATTCATTCAGTATACTTATAAAGCAAAAGCAAGCCTATTTATGAAAGAAACTCCCTAAAATGTAAAACAATATTGAGATAAACAACCTTATCTTACCCATCATAGCTAGTACTGAAAGCCCTAGAACCATAGTGCATAACCGATCCCATATCGTAGGGTTGTCCCATGTTATCGCTGTTCCTTTGTGTACGACGTTCAAAGTTACTTTGGGTACCCTGAAATTTAATTTACTGAAAGAAGATGGCAAATTATGTTATATTTATTACCTAATTACACAAGGCGTGACATTAATGTGAAAATAAATTAAAATCAGTCTTACCGGAAAGATTTTAGTGAAATCAATGTTGACAAACTTGTCGCGATCATCTCTTGATTGTTCATGCCACAAAGCCAAAGCGTGAAGGGTTTCGTGAGCGACGATTCCGAGCTAAAACAATATAATTTCAAAAAATGCAAAAAGAAAAATGAACTTAATACCTAAAAATGTAAAAAAGACAATTTTTACTCATTCATTTTAAAAACTTGAATTAACTGTTATAAAAAGTAGGTGCCAGACTAAAAATTAAAATAATTTTGGTTTTGCGACTTGCGTCCTTGTCGCGCAGCCTGCAAAAACCAAAAGTTATTAATTTTTACGATTTTAGCGAATTTCGTTTGTTCTTTCCGAGAAACTTGTCCATACCAAAACAAACAAGGATCAAAAACCTACAGCATCACAGCCATATCCAATGGACACCTGTTGACGACCACCAACTCTGCCAACGTTCGACCAACAACCAGATCCTCGAATGTAAAGTAAGTAGTCCTTTCCTTGACCATTTTCTGAGAATCTCATGCAAGTTTCTGATTCGATGTGTCTCAACGCACTTCGAATCAGATTCTGCCAATCCTTGTCGTTGTAGTAGAATTTGTAAGGGATTGTGTTGTTTTTCCAAAAAGAATCTAGACCTGGCTGAGCTTGACGCGTTCTTCGACCGGTTTTGTTGGCTGTAATAAGGTGTTTTCGAGGTTTTATGGATTAGATTAAGTTTTAAAGGGTAAAAGATAGTTTCACATAGTTAAACGTTGAAAAAAAGCCAAAAATTATAGTAAAATACGGACAGCCTATATGTTTAATTTAATATTAACCATGAATAATATAAGAAAACTGAAAACATGCTGGTTTATGTAAAATAGTGTATAGTTTATACCATAAAAACTTTAATATAGGTAAAATACGCTTTGTTTGCTCACTTACATTGCTTAATTTCGTCTAAAATGGCTTCAGCTTGAGGTACGGTTAAAATAATGTCGTTTTCGAAGAGTTCACGGTGGAAAGCTCGGTTAGCTGTAGCTTCCGTACCATCGTCGAATGTTACTTGAGACAATGATTTACTTACAGCATCTGGGTCGTCCTAAAAGTTTCAAATTTTAAAAATAGATGTGATTTATTACCTAAATATAGAAAATTAATTTTGTTACCCAAAATTTCAAAAAAAATCTAGAATTTAAATTTTTGCTGTAAAAAAATTTTTAAAATAAACGTATTTTACTTACAAAGAACAATCCAAACTTTCTGTCGGATTCAGAACGAATTTCATCTAAAAGTGCTCTAACTTGAGCTAAATCGCCTGAGGTATCGTCTAAGATTTGAGCTGATGCTAAGTATAAGGTTAAAAGTGTAGCCCAGATCTTGAGCATCTTTGTGCTGAAAATTAAGAACGTTAACTATAGGTCTTTAGGTATAAAGTTTGAAAACTAATGTCGTTTATGGGTTTCAAAATTTGAAAACTGCGCGAAATATCAAAAGAAATGGCAAATAAGGGTTGAATATTGGCTGTAAATAGTGTAAATTTCTTTTTATAGGCACTTTAACAGGCATAGATTGTATAATCTTAGCTTTTTAACTTAAGATATATAAGGTAACTTGTAAAAAGACATCAAATTATCAAATTCCCACGAAGATTTCCGAAAAAACCACTTCTGTTCATCGACCTACAATGTCAAAAGGAGCCGTGACTGAAGTTTCACGGCTGATGGTTCATCAGACAGCCGGAGGCGGCCTTTTTAATTCCCGAATATCTAACCTTAACCACTATCTGTTGGCGTCACGGTGAAGGTCATCGCACCTTTTTTGCCGTTTCGTACTTAAAAACTGATTACAAACTCATCGAGAGTTCGTTATGATTTATCCTGTTCGCACGTATCAATCAGTGTAACCCCGATTCTGGTGGGCTTCTGAAGGAGGGGCTGGGTTGAGAATCTGTTGGGAAGCGCGACAAGATGGGGCAGAATTTGTTGTAGTACAGTTTAAACTATCTCACTGCAGTTTAATAGCGCAAAAGGAAAGGATTTTTGATAAATTTTTTGAAAGAATGATCAAAGTTGTTACGCAGATTTGATTGAAAGTATATTGTAGTAGGTATTCAGAAAAAAATTGCAAAAATTTAACGTGGTTCCCTCTGTTGATTTTAAGAAAAAAATGAAAAAAATATTCACAATCTGCCTGTGCCAACATTCTCGCAAAATTATCCCTCTGGCATTGGTTCTAAACATTTCTCGTAAACACTAATATCAGCCGCTCAAATTCAAAAATTCGAAAAAAACAAGGCCCATCCATTAAGAAGGTAACTCCAGCAACTGATGCATCTGGCAGTAAAAGTGTTCCTCTTTAACGATGGTGTGACCTTGTGCCAGTTTCAGTTGTAATTCCTATTTTCGTTGTACCAAACTTTTTTGTCCGAGGAATCTCTGACCTTGTTCTAGAGAGTTTGACGATATTTGTTGCACTTTTGGTGTTTAGGAATCATAATTCATTTTGGAATGTCATACGATGTAATTCATCATGGTAATTACTGTTATATCATTATTGTGACTAAAATTAAATTATTATGGTAATTACTTTTATATCATCATAGTAACTATTTTCATTTTATCGTCTTTATCACTAAGTGATAACCTTGAGGTTAATTTTAGATATTTAACCTTTTAAAATGAAATTTTCGAAATTAAAATTTGTCAAATTTCAGTTTATAGTTTGAAGCTTGGAATGCCCACTAAATTAGCGAAATATTGTTAATATGCTGGAGGAAAGTGCAATAAGTGCGCGAACAGTAGTTTAATGATTAGTGTGAAGAGGCGGCGTTCCGCCGTTCCCGGCCCTGCCAGGCTATGATCAAGTTGCGTCGAATTAGCGTGATCGTCCACGCAGACGTTTTTTTTTGCATTAGAAGGTCAATTAACTAGAGACTAACTATAACACTCGGTTTTGATTTATGTATCTGATAATGTTAAGACATGAGGAATCTAAAAAAAGATTTTAAAATTTCGAATTGAATTTTGATGAGTTTTAGTGATAAAGCAAAAAGTATTGATATATTAGGTATCCCAACTATAAACTTCCACCGAATAACCAAGATATACCGTTTTAGTTTCGGACATTTTTCTTGGGACACCCTGTATATATCTCAGAATAATTAGTTTTGTTTCGGTTGTTGTAATAAAATAAGTTTGTTAAAAACGGAAGTTTATAGTTGGGATACCCAATAAGTTTGTGACACTTGAATTATAATGGCACTTTGCTCCGGTTTCTTGAATGTCATACTAAAGAGGTTTGCTTGTATGACCAAACTCATTCTTCTCCAATCTGTGCTTAGCTTAGCCACACCAAAATTATTTTTGACACAAATTTGATTTTGAGAAAGGCTTGACCTTTTAGTTTAATGTGCAATTTTTTATGTCTGCGGCAGCGATCACGCTAATCCTGCGCAACATTGATTACAACTTCCTTGTTGCCGGACTGATTTTTTGCTTTTTTGGGAAAAAAGAACGGCAGAACGGCAATCATCTTTTAATTTGAGTCTAAAACTATGAACCTGCGTTTTTTTCACGACTAAAACAGTGAGAAACATTTTTTTTACAATTTATTTTTTTTGGGTAGCGCATTGACTGTGACACCGCTCGCTATTTGGAAGGAACTTGGTTCGACCCTGCGCAAGCATTGAGGAATGGATGATGCTGAGCGCACCGGGACTAGGCACGTCAATACTTGATTTACCCGGTTATCTGATTGAACGCCAGACATCTAATGGAGCACCAGCTCAGTGATGTGAGGAACAGTTGAATACCTGGGGAGGGAGAAGCCTAACTTTGTGAAACGTTAACAAAGATAGCTTCGTTTGCCTTCATATGAATTCTGAACATCTTTGCACATCAGCATATTACTTTACGATATACGGCATTGAAAATCATTAACTAATCTAACCTGTATCTCACCGAATGGTAATTGTAGAAGCTTGAGAATGTACATTGATAAGGTACGTTTTGCAGTTTAAAATGGAGGAGAACCTTTATGTATAATACGTATAACATTTTTGAAGCGAAAAGTCGAATTTTAAAAGGAAGATGCCCAAAGGTATTTGGAGGCACTAGTTACCCCTTCTTGGTACATATGACGTCGGTTTGACGTAGCCTTGGCTTTGCAATGAATAAAAGTTTCATGATCGTCAGCATGAGAAACAACACCAGCTTTTTGAACAAGACAGAATATGATACGTTATAATATAACCGCCAAGAGATTTGCATAAATCAACTACTCGGACTCTGAAAAGTATAACTAGAAATCGCAATTTGAACTATTCAAAAATGAGCTTCGAAAGGTCAACGGGCAACTGCTGAATCGATCGATAATTTACACAGCTGTAAGGTTAGTTATAGCCTATTCTTCTAGGACATGTAATACTTTGTTATAGTTTATTATTGTATGATAAGATATATCTTCTAGAAGGTTATATAACATATATAATATTAGTTTTTTATTCAGAATTGACTGTAATCTATATATTTTTACTTTGATTTAAAGTTAACAGTGACTTGTTAATGCTGTCTTCTTTTACAGAGCTTTAACCTTTTAATATACAATGCCATTTATAACTTTACCACGACGAAAACGCCGAAAGGGGTCTAAGCTATCGAAATCAACAAGATCTTCCAAACGTTCTTGTCGTTCCCAACGTTCCATCGAAAAACAAGATGTTGAAAATGAAAATTATCAAAGCCGAGGACTGGATTACTGGTTCAATGTCATTTTGTGTCGAGGAGACTTGGTCAATGACAAGTTCGAGGCAAAACCTGTGGGATTTATGGATATGGTAAGGCTTTGATTACTCTGTAGTCTGGTTTCAATCAACATTATTGGTGCAGCATTATATATTGAAGTTGGTAGTAGTAGGTTATACGAATAGAGATAGTACTGCCTTTAGATCATATTTACAGTACGGTAACTAGAGCTTTTAGATAGTACTGTATCTAGATTATATATATAATAATGTAACTAGGTCTCGTATATTCTCTATACATTTTCAGTTTGTTCACTGTCGATCCGATGACAAGTTTATGCTTGGAGTAGGCATTATAACGGCAGTAATTGGAGGTATAACAAATCCGTTGGGCTTGTTTATGGTTGGGAAGTTGGCTGATGCTATGCTTGTTTTTAAAACTGTAAGTTACTTTTTTAATTTTGAACATTTAGGTATAAAATGACAAAATTATCAGATTGTTCAAATAATTCTGTGCTTACTCTCAAAGGAAATTTTTGGGGTCAGGTGGCGCAGAATTATGTGAACAACCTAATATTAAGTTATGTTACTGCTACGTAATTGCTTTTTTGAAAAATTAAATTTTTATAAAGAAGGGAGATTCTTACGCGTATTTTACATTTCTATTTTAAAATATGACGTTTTTCGTACAAAAAACAAATTTTCAGACATACGATGCGGCTCAACTATGGTCTACATCATTGTTTTATATTGAGCTTAGTTTGGCCACTGGCTTGTTACTATTGTTGGTGTCTTATACTCAATGTTATTGTTTCAAGAAGGTTAGTGTGAATACGTGTGCAATATTGAAAGGACTCTACATTCATGGTATTCTACGACAAGATGCTTACTTTTTCGACAAACACAAGTTTGGCAGTTTGAGTAATCAGCTGACTAAGTAAGGTTACTATATATCACTATTAGGCTTTTCAAATAATTCTGTGCCTTCTAAATTTAAAAATTCATTTTAAGAGAGGGCACAGAATTAGTTGAACAAAGTTGTATATATATAAATGTAATTATAGTAACATAAACATGATTGGAGATGGCATAGGTAACAAGTTTGGTCTACTGATACGTGGTATATCATCGTTTGTTACTATCATAGCTATCTCATTTTACTTTTCATGGAAGATTACATTAACTATGATTGGTGGAGCTCCAGTATCTTGTCTTATTATCTCTTTGATGGCTAGGGTGAGTGACAGAACAGCTGTTATTTTATATATTGTTACAGTAATATAGAAGGCTTTGTATTTTATAATTATGCTATTGTAGATCATCAACAAGTTTACCCTCTCCCAGAGCATCCGTCTGGACCGTTCAGGTGCTCTCCTTCAAGAAGCTATCATGAATGTTCGCACTGTACAATCCTGTAATGGCCAACCTCAACTGATCCAAAAGTACCGTAAGCTACTGAGATCAGCTCGTCACTATGCTATGAAAGGCTTCGTGGCTCACGGATTGTTTGATGGTATCTTCTTCATCATCGTATACCTGTTCTATGCAATCGGCATCTATGTTGGTGGATTACTGTACTTTGATCAGTTAGTGACAGCCGGTGATGTTTTTGTAGTGACGTCCTTGATGATGACAGGAACCTACTTCTTGGGATCGATGAGTCCTCATTTTATGGCCGTTTTCAAGGCTAGAGTAGCTGTCGCAGTATTGTACAAGAAGATCAACAGAGTACCACAGATTGATTCGTATAGTACTGAAGGGGCTACGTTACCACATCCGAAGGGGAAGCTGGAGTTTAGAAATGTAAAATTTTCGTATCCTGGAAGGAACAGGAATACGGTACTGAAGGGAGTCAGCTGGGTGGTGCAGCCTGGAGAAACTGTTGCTATTGTGGGGAAGAATGGCTGTGGAAAGAGCACTTCTGTAAGTACTATAATGTGTTGTAGGATAGAGTAGGGTAGAGTATAGAGGATTATAACAGGACAAGATAGAGTGGGTTATGATAGTGTAGGATACAGTAGGGCTAGTAAAAAATTTGTTAGTATCACACTGTGAATACTTTTCAGATAAACCTCTTAACTCGTATCTATGACTGCACCGAAGGCCAAGTCTTAATCGATGACAAAGATATCAAAACCCTCAAAATTCATTCCCTCCGCAAAAACATTGGCCTTGTACCCCAAGAACCGGTACTATTTTCCGGCACCATCGCTGACAACATTCAACTTGGCAATCCTCATATAAGCAAACAGAGGATAGCATGGGCGTGTCAAATGGCCAACGCCCATCACTTTATCCGTGACATGAGAAAAGGCTATCTGACTGAAGTTGGACCAGGTGGAGTTGATCTATCTGTCGGCCAAAAGCAGAGAATTGTCTTGGCCAGAGCTATCGTCAACAACCCGAAGATATTGCTGATGGATGAAGCTACTTCAGCGTTGGATTCAGAAGCAGAAGCTCATGTTCAGAAAGGTCTTAAGAATGCCGCCAAGAATAGAACGACAATCATCATTGCACATCGGATGACAACGTTAAAGGCGTCCAAGAAGATTATAGTCCTGGATCAAGGTCGTGTGGCGGATGTTGGGACTCACGAAAAGTTGATAAAGAAGAATGGGCTTTACAAGGAGATGATAGAGAGTCAGAGTTTTGGGGAAGACGATAATGGCATGGATGATGAGGAAGAAGTGGAAGCAGAAGAAGAGTATGATCAATATTGGACCGACGAGATTGATGAGTTATTTAGACAGACGGTTCACACGTTACAGGCTCCAATGTTCAGGGAAATGGTGATGCAGAGTACGTTTATATTTTAACTTAATTTAGGCTTGTAGAGTTCTTATTTTTTATCTCTGTAAATAGAGCTTCCTCAGCCTGAGCCCTGGGTTCGCGGCCAAGGCTAGGCTGGACTCAGATTGAGGAAGAAAGAAACTTGATAGTAAAACAAACAAGGTATCGTATTAATGTACAGCTCCAATTAGACCGTTGTAATTAAGTTTATTTTTATGATTAACAAGTGAAAAAAACACAGGTAAGATTACTATTAACGTTGGCCGTCGGTAGATAACGGCATGGCTTTGCACAGTATCGGATGTTTCCAAATTGGTGGGCCATCCCCAATCAGGAAGTTGAGTAGGCGGGAACGGCGTATTGCCACGTTCATACGATATTTGTTTCGTAAAAATCCCACCAAGTCAGGGCGAATCGTCAGGAGGACCACCAGGTCGTATTCCCTATGTGTGAACCATCGATGCTGAGCATGGACACCTCCATCATGGGATGGGCCGCAAGGCGGGTATAAGAACTTCCAGTTATTCTCACCAAAATAAGTTATAAAGTTTATTTTGCGCTGAAGCCGATGGTGCAAGTCAACCTTAGCCGCAGCATAAGCGGCTATAATGGCGACTGAGTAGACGCCGGATATAACTTACGGTATATCCATCAACTCTTTGTCATGTAAGTCAAGAGCAATTTTGATTTGCGTCGTTGGTTTTTCTACGTCCGAACAGTGCAAAATGTTGAATGGCTGCGTCGTGTGTAGAGCTTCGGCCAAGACTCAGCTCTATACACGATGAATCGAGGTCCGATGAACTGTAGCTGGTTATTGTATACGATTTGGCTAATAATTTGGGCAAATTCCGTGAATCTGTAGGTGAACTTGAGGGAGAGTTGTCGTACCCTCGTGTTCTTTACGAAGTTCGTCGAGATTGGTCGTTGCACAAAGCGTCTATTGAATGAGAAGTGCGCACTTCAAATCAATATAATCTTCCCGAAGTCTTTGTGGTGCTTGAGCCACGGATCCCCCTAATAAAAACAGCGTTTTGGCAGGCGCTGGGCCGACCTCGAGTGATCGAAATCAGCGTTTTAAATAGTCCGCTATCGTAGCAGACTGTGGCCAGCTCACGATCTGCCCGATCCGGCCGCCTTCTGCCTTATCGGCGCTCTCTGTCTTCTCTTTATCGAAAAGAGTGCAGACGACTGCAGAAGACGGCCAAATTCTAGGCCTAATTGTTGTTTACTGTATTTTAAAAAATAATAAAAATACTTAAAATCTCACTTCTAAATTTTAGGTAACAAAACATACTTTTTTCAAACTTTGTGTTCGTTTGTCACAATTCTTGTCTTATCAACCTGAAACTCAAACTTGGGTTAATAAACCGATTTATTTAAACAGCACGATAAATTTACAATTTTAGCACGAAACAAAAGCAGACAAATAATGTATTTCAAACAAAACTTTAATAACCTCCCCAAGAACTTAAACAGGGTAAAAAATGTGAAATAGAGGATAATTTAAGAGTTTATATAGTGGGTTTTTGATGATTACCGGTTTGATAAAAAGGGCGTATCAAGTGCTTTAAGTTTAATAATTTGAGTTTGTAACTTGATAAAGATTAATTACATCTAGACGCTACGAAGGAAATATTAATTACGTCTAGACGCTACGAATCATTGCGTTATCGTATCGAATCGCAATACTCCACCTCGGAAAGAGAAAGACAACATTCTACATATGGGACAACAGGCTACGTCTAATTTCATCAGGCTCCGAACTGACAGTTTCGGCTCGTGCGTTATAACTTACTGTGGTTGTTCTCTGGCTTCTGGTTCTTTAATAATCCTTGATAGCCCCAAAAGTACCGTAAGTTTGTAGTGTAGATAGGGATATCCATATAGTCCAAGCCCATGAGACCCACGACTAAATCCAATGATAGGAGTAGGACAGGAGTTCTTCCTTGAACGAGTGGTGCTCCAATGCTTGATTGTCATAGATCAACACTTCTGTAATGTCCTGGTTGGCCTTCTCCATTGCATCGATCAGTTGTTCTTCTAACTCGTGCGATTTGTGTATCATAATTTCTTTGAACTGTACTTCGCGGTTTAAGAATTGCCAGTTGGGTACGGCAGTGTCCAAAGAAACGTTATTGATCGGATTCGTTTTTGTTGGTCGCACCCGTCCCGAGATTCTATCATACACGTAGTGTCGAATTCACCATCAAGTATGTCTCCTGGCCACAGCTTTCTTCGATGAACGGAGTTCGACTTATTGTCTCCGAGCGACGATCTATGAACCATGTGGAGTTTCGTATCGTTACGGGAATGGCACATTGAGTCGGACTTGGCAGAAAGGTAACTTACTTCATCTTTACCGTATGGCAGATCTCCACTTCAATTACACGAGCATTTAGCGAAATGGCCACCAGGTTAGGTTTTCGTAGTGACCATTGCATGAACTTTGTGGGGTTGGTCCAGTACATTTATCCATCTTATTATCGTTCGTAATATAATACACGTATTTTATGTAAGCTTCTGCATGTCTTCAAGAGTCAGATGCAGATGTTGGGAGTACTGTAAATCGAGGACGAAAGTAGCACTTGGCGTTTTCGTCGTCCAGTTCGTTCCTTCTTATGTGTTTCTGGCAACTTTAAGCCAATCATCTGCATGGAACAAGTCTGCCGCGAGTCCTTGTTCAGTCAATACCAGTTCGTTTCCGCACGAATGTATAATATTCTTTCGGTCGAAGTTCAACATTAGGTGTAGATTGTTGAGTATAGCGCTTGTATTTGTTACCCAAGCTGAAGTTCGTGATGCATAGGCGAATTCACACCTTTGATACGGATTTGGTTCCCAAATCGTTACCTCGTTTTTGGCCGATCTACAGGATTTGCTGGAGTAGGGACACTTCTATAGGTCTACTTGTACTGTATGAGCAGTGGATTTGTTAAATCGTGCAAATACACTAATCTTTTGTAGAATGCAATTTTCACGTAAAGTCTTCTTTGCACCTAGAAAGAGGCTTGTGAAGCGATTAGGCGGCGAGATTGGTACTACGTTGTGTGTCCGATATACGTTTGTATGTTTTGACAATGTACCAAAACGGCACTCTCGTTTCTCCACCATTTCTTGACATTCTTTTGTAGTAAGGTATGGCGGGTGTGTAGGCCTTTGTGTCTGTATGTCATGTTCAGTTGTGACTTCTAACTAGTAAGACGTACTCGATTGTAGAGTCCAATGTCCATTCAGGGTTCATACGGCTTCGTTCTACAAGTCGGTTTTGTAGCCATTTGGGTAGCTTGGTAGATAAGATAAAGCTGATTTCTTCATCGACTACTGGCTTCTTTAACTGAATTAACTGTAGACGGATTTGCTCTATTTTCAAGACATAGGATTTGATGCTGGCCAAGGAGTTTTGATTAGGTTGTGACGTATGTAGTTCTCGGATTAAGGAACTGACTATTGCGATTGTCGAGCCGAATCGTTCCGCTAATGTTTCTAACGCCAGTTTGTAGTTTTCCTCAGACAATAAAAAATGTCTGATGGTCTCCTTCGCGTCTCCGATCAGTAACCCTGATAGGTAGTTGAACTTGTCTATGTTGCTCAAAGCTTGGTTGTTGTCAATTAAAGATCGGAAAAGTTGGATGAAGTTGTTGTAGTTGGTAGGGGTGCCATCGAAGACGGGAATCGTAATATGTGGTAGGTGAACAGGGCGGTGCGTCATGTTCGGTGTGGTAGCGTTAGTGTATGTGTTGGCATTAGACTCCAGTGTGTTATGTGATAGGTATGCAATATTTAGTTCTTCGCACAGTGTCGATAGTATGTTTCCCGCCTCAGATAAGTTCAAATGAATTGGTTTTGTTCTGAGAACGTGGCTAATGTCTTCTTCTCTTCTTCGAACTCTTTCTTTCGATCTTCGGCGCCTAATCTATCCAGTAGTTGTTAATCCTTTTTATTGTTTTTTTCCAGAGCTTCTTTTCTAGGTTCCGCTCTAGCAACAAACATTTGCTTCTGAATGAGCTTATCTTCTTTTGTCGTGCCTTCGTCGATTCTGAATGAACCGACGTCTTGGACTACATTGTTTTTCTAACAGTCCATTGGCTGGTCCTATGAGTTTTCTCAAATGACTCGATAGGCTTATGTGTGACGTTGAGTGTTGTTCAGCTTAATTTGGTTGGTTTGGTTTGTATCTGGTGCGGCACGGCTTGGTTTGGCACGGTTCGGCGTGGCACGGCTTGGTTTGGCACGGTTTGGCTTATCACGGCTTGGTTTGGCACGGTTCGTCTTGGCACGGCTTGGTTTTGGCACGGTTTGGTACGGCTTGGCTTGGCACGGCTTGGTTTGGCAGGTTTGGCACGGCCCGGCTGGGTTTGGCACGGCACGGCTGGGTTTGGCTGAGCCCCAAATATTGTGTTCGTTTGTCACAATTTTTGTCTTATCAACCTGAAACTCAAACTTGGGTTAATAAACCGATTTATTTAAACAGCACGATAAATTTACAATTTTAGCACGAAACAAAAGCAGACAAATAATGTATTTCAAACAAAACTTTAATAATCTCCCCAAGAACTTAAACAGGGTAAAAAATGTGAAATAGAGGATAATTTAAGAGTTTATATAGTGGGTTTTTGATGATTACCGGTTTGATAAAAAGGGCGTATCAAGTGCTTTAAGTTTAATAATTTGAGTTTGTAACTTGATAAAGATTAATTACATCTAGACGCTACGAAGGAAATATTAATTACGTCTAGACGCTACGAATCATTGCGTTATCGTATCGAATCGCAATAGGTCGCAAGATTTATTTTTTTATAGGTTTTACATATTACACCGTTAAAACTAGGTTAGTTAAAACTAGGTTAACAAGCGCAAGTTTTATGTAAGAACTAATGGATTCTGGCTATGACAATCGATTGCTGCCTGTTTTTTGCTCGAAACTCCAAAATGGTTCGAATCCGCTTGGGTGCAGATTAGGTTTTTTTGTTGAAAAGTCAATAAAATTGAATTCAAACTATGACACATGATTAAAAAATAAGGAATAGAAGATTTGCTACTTTAAAATATCACAAACAGAAAATTACAACCAAATTTAAATTAATTCACAACGAATTTTAAAACTTTAGGCAAACTAATGGGATCGACCAATGAAATGACGGAAAAACTGAGTCGTTCAGGCACAGACGCCGACCTTCAACCTCAAACCTCAATCGGTCTTCTACAGCTCTACTCTACCTGTAACTCTCATTATAAGAAACTAATTAGCGCCATCATCTTCAGCTGTTTTCGTGGAGCTGAAGTTGCGTTATGGGTAATATTGTCCAAGTTCTTGTTCACGGCTTTTGGAAACGTGGATTCTGGCCATTTCAAAGATGACTTACTTTATGTAGCTATCATTATGTTTGGGAGCTTATTCGTTTGGAGCGATATTGTTATCAGTGATATCGCATGGTTGTTTGACTGAACAAGTGATTGATTCTTTGAAGGTTAGAGCTTTGAAGTCGGTTTTGCGACAAGGTGGATGTTATTTCGATGATCCTGATACTTCATGTAGTCGACTGGTATATAGGATTACTAGTGACACTCAGAAGATTCGACCGGTATGTTGATTTTTAGATTTTTGAGGCTAAAGTGCTATTATTTAATGGCTAAAATGTTATTTATTGATATAAAAGTATGAAAAGATACTAACTAATCACAGTTCAGGCTCTAGACCTCCGTCTTCACCAAGTAGTCAACAATGGCTTTTGTTCGCTAGTACAACTGGTACTAGCCCTAGTTTATTCATGGGAAGTTGCGTTAGCTGGAGCTGCTTATTACCTCATTCTCTATCTTTTGATAGCTTGTGTCAGTAAAAGGCTGCAACAAGAGGCGACAAACAAGATGATGAATGACAAAACAGGTCATAATGGCATTGAAATCATTGAAAACACAAGGACAATTCAAATGTTAGCTAAGGAAGAGTACTTTTTGGACATGTACATAAGACACATTAGGGATACTTTGAAGATTGAGAAGAAGGTGGGTTTTGAAGGGTAAAAAACATATTTTCTTATATTACAGTTACTGTTTTATAGTTATATATAGTCCTGAAAGGGGGTCAAATAGGCTTGACTCTGGCCTGGCCGAAGCAATTTTGGCCGGACTGAAAAAATGGGTTTGGCATGGTTTCTATACAAGTCTAGCTATACAGTAACATCTACGCTTCTAGATGTGCTTCTTGGAAGCCTTGATATTCACGCTGACTCAAAGTTCAATGCACATAGTAAATGGCGTCGTATTCTTGGTAGGGGTATATTTGATAGCTGATAAAGGCGCGGTTGTTGACAATGTTTATATGTAAGTTGACTTTATTGTTAAAACGTTCTTTTTTGTTTTTTAAATTTTTAAAGTTTGTTAAATTTTTACTTTTTTTTTAATTTTTTTAAATAATTTTCTATAAAACATGGCTCATTATTTTTTATAAAACTTTATATATTATATTGTAAATTTAATCCTATGCTGTCTAACTCAGAAAAATTGCTTTGTGACATGGCTTTTTTATATTAGGTCGTTTAAATAATTCTGTTCCCTTAATTTTGAAATTCAGCCCTGAAGATTTTTGTTTTGAAAGAGGTAGAAAATTTTGTAAATTCTAATAATTTTTTTTTAATTTTGAAAAATCAATTTTTAGGTCAGCAGTGATGATGAGTGTGTTATGTTGGTCAGTATTCTTTATCTCGATATCGTATAGTGACATTTTGTACGCTGTTCCATCAGCTCAAAGTTTGATTGACATTATCGAAGAACGACCAACTATTGATGAGAATAAGGATGATGGACTTATGAAAGTAAGTACGGTATCTTTAGAATTTCAAAAATAAAAGAATTTCAAATTTAAATTCAATTTTTTGATTTTCAGAACGTAGAAGGCTCAATAGAAACCCAACAGTTATCTTTTGCTTACCCATTAACACCTCATAAGAATATTCTTCGAGACTTTGTTATTCATGCTGAACCAGGCCAATCGATTGGTATTTGTGGACCTAGTGGCTGTGGAAAGAGTACCATACTATGGTTAATACAAAGGTTTTATGAACCTGATTGTGGCACTATTGTAAGAGGTTTTGAAGGTTTTTTAATTATGTTTTTTACTACTTCATTCTATCCTACTGTAATTTACTCTTCTTTACCATAACATCATCTTGTTTACTTTGTTCTACTTTTTTTAAACTTACTTTATCCTACTCTATCCTATTTTACCTTACTTTACCTTACTCTAACCGAACCTACCCTACTTACCTTATATTACCCTTCTGTATACAATATATAATATATTATTTCAGACAATAGATGAAGTAAACCTCCATCGATTTCAACTTTCATTCCTTCGTGATCAGATGGGTTTGGTAACTCAAGAACCGGTACTATTTTCTGGTACCATCGCTGAGAATATTTTGATGGGAACTAGTGAAGCCAACATTGATGATGTGGTTGAAGCATGCAGGGTTGCTCATGCTAAAAAGTTTATTGAAAGATTCCCGGAGGTAACAAGTCTTAAACATTATATTGTTTTAGGCATTGTGTATTTCTTAAAACACGTCATTCTTTTTGAATCAATTTAAAATTATATTATTCATTGTAAATAAGCTTTTTAATGTGAATTTATTTCTAAATCAGGTTTGAAAACATATTATAGGGTTACGAAACCGAATGTGGAGAGAAAGGAATCCGCCTATCTGGAGGTCAACGTCAACGTATAGCTATAGCTCGTGCTTTGATACGAAAACCCAAAATATTACTATTGGATGAAGCTACATCAGCCTTAGATGCTACGAGTGAACGGTCAGTTCAGAAGGCGCTGAATCAGGCTTCAAGAGGTCGTACGACTATAACCGTAGCTCATAAGCTGGCTACACTTGTACACGCTGACAGAATCTATTTCATCAACAATGGTCGTATCTTGGAAAGTGGTACCCATCAAGAGTTGATGGAAATGAATGGGCAGTACGCTAATATGGCTAGAAAACAAAATTTGCATATTGTGAAGGAGAAGAAATAAATTTATTGGGTATTTTATATTGTTGTAGGGTATAGTTGAGTAGAAAAAAGATTTGGCGTTTATTGGGTTTGTTTGTAAAGAAAAAAAGCGACAAGACTTTTTAAACGGTTTAATACTTTATGATAAGAGGTTTAAAAGGTACTGTAATATGCTGGAATTGATCTAAAGTTCGGAATTTATTTTAAAACTACAAAAACATAAATTGAAAAAATTTAAAATTTTCTGAAATTTAAAAATTTTGTAAAGTAGCTCTCCAATAAACCCATCGGACGGCAATAAATTAGCATATCGCTTACTTAACCTTCGAATTTCTTTTCTCACTCTTATTGCGTCTTTAAGCCGAAACCGAACCCTCGGCTAATTAAAGGTCCAGCTCAAGGAAGAAAACCGAGCCAATTCGGCCGAGAAAAGGGTATCCGGCAGGGGAGAAAGCCACAAACAAAAATGTTGTTTTACCGAATTGATGGTGTTTGCTAGGTAGGGGTGGGAAAATTTTTTAAATTTGTGCCCAGGGGAGGGGTAATTTGAAAAGTTGTGAGAGAGGGGCGGGGGTAAGCAAAAAATTTTTTAATTTTAAAAATTGATGGCCAGGGCAAACTTTTTGAAAATGAAGAGGGGGAAGCCGGGGTAGTAAAACATTTTTTGATTTTTGAAAATTGATGGCATTTTTCATCACCACAACTATAGTATCCCATCATACAGAGTAATTTTCGTGATTTTGGCCGACTTTCGGTTTATAATTGTCGTTTTGGCCATAAAACTGCCAAAAATCCCACTTTTAATGCAATTTGCGTACATAATAGGCTTTTCAACTTTGGCCGAGTTTATTTTACCGCGGTTACTTTACTTTTTACGAGTTATTTTATACTGTAAAGTGCATATGCTTAAAAAAAAGTTATTACGGAGCAATGTGAAATGTTTTTTATGAGTAATTTAGAGAAAATGTATTATTATTATAGAAATGTAAGTTTACTTTGCGTGAACATTAAGTATTAACAGGTGATTTTGAGGGCTTTTCTTGGCTTTTCGAGCGCATTTTTATAGTAGTTACTATACTTTTAAACATTTTTCAAGTTTTCCGTTATTTTTTATGTTTTACGGAAGTTTTTAACTTTCTATAACCTACTACAATATACAGTCTTATACTCAAGTACATTCTTTCATTATTTGTCATTGCTTTTTTAATCTGTCATTATTTGTTCTATGGTATACAGAAGTTTTAAACTGTTTATTATATAATCTACTACAATATACAGTCTTATACTAAACAACACACTAGGCTCTATCAAATCCATCTTTCATTTCTAACCGCCAAAACTACTAAACGCTGCCAAATCAAATTAACCTTTCCAAAACGAGCTTATAGAGCCAAGAGTTGCCAGGTAGCAAATTGGCTTAATAGAAATGTCATCTGCGTTTCTGATGTACATCTGCATAATCGAGCACAAAAGGCTAGCCTTTTTGTTGCGTAATAAGGCTCTTGTACTTGTTATAATTGATGATCAAGTGAATTATTGTTTGTTTTTTTAGAAAATAGTGGTGTGTTAGGTGAGTAACGTACTGTTACAGTTTGGCAAAGGTGAAGAGGGTAAAAGAGAGTGCTTTAGGTAGAGTGGCAATGAGATGGGGAAGCGTTAACCTATGAAGATAATATTTTTTTTTCAAAAAAAATTTTTTATTAAAAGCTTTTGACCAATATATAGATGGATTGCTTTTTTCTAAAAAATTGTTTTTAGAATAGGTATCGCTTTCACTTGTTTTTCAGCAGTTTTCTATTGTATAAAAACAGTAATTTTTCCGGTAATTTGATACCTCTAAAATCATGTTTTGGTCAGTTCAACCTTTGCTTTCTTTCTTTTGAAGGTTAGGGTAGGGTAGGGCAAGGTAAAGTAGGGTAGGATAAAATAGTATAGGGTTGAATAAGGCAAGGCAAGGCAAGGCAAGGCAAGGCAAGGCAAGGCAAGGCAAGGTAGGGTACGTTAAGCTAAAAACATCTACTTGTCATGTCATCCAATTCATGGTAATCTCCCCACCTCTCGATTATTACTCCGCTGATTGGCGCGGCGCTGTAAAAACGTTTGTAACATGTGCACTTAACGGTGTGCACTTAAGTGAAAGTCAAGAGAAATTGAGCCCTTTTCCTTCCTCCTCTGATTCTCGAGGTGGTTATGGGTTTGACATCGAATACGACCTATTCGCTCTCACGAAAGATTTACATTTTGGGTTCGAAATGCCGCGGGTAATAGCCAAAGGGCATTTTTAGGTATTTTGGAGGAGGTTTAGGGATAGGTTTGTTAACTTTTTTTGTTGTTTTTGTTTATTTTAAGGGGTATAATTTACTGTAAAATGATATTATAGTACCTTGGCTGAGCTTGGTTTTCGAAAATCTTTGTTTTTTCTACTACATTAGGTCCATATAGTACTAGATTGTACTAATATTATAAGATTTAGAATATTTTATGACATATTACAGTAGAAAATAGCTATTAAAATTATATTATAGTACCATAAAGTGCTATACTTTTACTTATATCAATGTTTTTTTTGCCATTTTATATCAGAATAGTACTATAATATACAAACAGTACCAACCGCCCTCTAATTACCGTAATTTTCATTAAAAATCCGACGACATACCACCTTGTCGGGCGGTGTAAACACTCGTATGGGCGAGTGAATGCCTAATTGTCAATCTGTTTGTCTATTGTTTGCGCCAAATTACTGTCGTATGTCAAGTCGGATGGGCCTTTCAAGCCACATACAATATGTTTCGACTACAATTTGGAAGCGTTTCAACGGCTTTTAAATTATTCAAATTGTTATTCAAACACCGCCTCGGGCCGCTTTACAGGTGAATTGGTCATTGGCTTGGGGATGGGCTTGGGAGAGAGTTTGTGATGAATGGGGGTGAGTTTTTAAAATTGTTTGAAGGTGTGATGGGGGGGGGGTGTTAACTATTTTGCCCTACCCTGCCCTACCCTACCCTATACCATAAGTTATGTCTTTTTCTCACTTTTTTGTTCACAGACAGCACGTCGTACTCAAATTACTCCCCGATTCTTTCTCTTATTACGTTGTAGTATGTTGTTCACATGTCATCAAGTAATTATAATAACAGTTAATCTGCGCAACTGTTTACCACATTCAAATCTCGGCATATTGTAGGCAATTATTGTCATCTTTTGTAGTGTTTTTAATAATTGTCGCTTTTAGTGTCTATTAGTTGGCCAGTAAAGTAAAGGATGCCATTCTTTTTGTATCAGGCTCAAAATGTGCCACTCTTTTTGCATCAGCTTGGAAATTTGCCATTCTTTTTGCATCTGTTTTAAAATGCGCCCTTCTTTTTGCATCAGCTATATGATGCGCCATTCTTCTTGCATCAGCTTTAAAATGCGCCATTATTTTTGCATCAGATTTAAAAGGCGCCATTCTTTTTGCATCAAAATTTTAAAAGCATTTTTTTGTACCACTTTCTTACTTTTCAATACTCTTTCAAATTTCTTAACTTTCAGCTCTTTCCCTGTCCCCCTCCTTGTTCCTCTCCCCCTCCTCTCCCTCAACAAAAATACATAACTGTCTCTTCCCATCCCCCTATTATAAAACAATAGCCGTTTACAACAGTAATCTACTGTAGTCGCGGGTCATAAACTAGGATAAGAGGTCGCAAGAAGGTCTTCACTTCCTGCAGCGCGCATCCATCTGGCCATAAGGTAATTGGCAAATTATTTATATGCAAATTTTACACAATCGAGAGACTTGACCTTGCGCGGATCAACTTCTGTCGTTATTTTTAGGGTCTTCGGGGATGTTGTGATGGGTATTTAGTGCTGTTTTGATAAAGATTTGGGGTAGGCAGGGTTAAATTTTTATTTTATGGGTAAAATATTTGATCATTATACCTCTTATTTTTTAATTCTTTTCAAAACTAAAAGTTGAAAATATCCAAAAAATTGGCTTTGAAATGTTTTAGACTATACCAAACTTTTTTGTAACCGTAAACTTTTTGATTGGGTTACTGTAACATACAAATATTTACTTTTTTTCACCAAAAAACTCTTATTTTTCTAAAATTTGCACTGATTAAAATTTTTTTTGCATTTTAGTATTTATGTAAATTTTTGCACATTAAAATACATAATACAATTCCAATTACTCCGCTTTTTAAAGCTTTATTTTGCATTTAGTCTTGCGTTTACCGCTGATTTTTGCCCGCAAATCCAAACAGGTTCGATTCCGCTTGGACGCAACTGCCATTTTTTGTTGAAAAACAGTAAAATATTGGAGAAAAAAATAAAATATAGCATTTATAAAGTAAAGTAAGAGTTGTGTTGTTTAAAAAAATAATTTTTTATTGCTTTAAGATTTCAAATTTTCATTAAATTTTAACGTTTTTCAACTTTTTTAATATAAAACTTGACTTTTTGTACTATACAAATCCCCAGTGACGCAAAACAAAACTATGTACAAGTTTCCGTATCTCTGCCAATGACATCCCGAATTAAGAGTCCCATTTTAACAAGTTTCACAAAAGCTTTTGACAAAAAAAAACACTCGGCGCGCAATTTGGCGGCACAGCGCATTCGACCGGAAAAAACTTTGTGGCCGAATGTTAATGTACATGGTAATCGTATATCGGCCCGAATTTTCACAAACATTCGGACTTCTCGGATTTTTGTTTGGCTTTATGTATTTTTAACGGATTTACTCGCTGAGACAGACATTCGGGTTTGGGTGTGGGGTAGACGGGTATTCACGTCTATGTCAACATTTTTTGAAAAAATTTTTAAATTTAAAAAAATCTTCAGTTTTATGTTACATCTAAAATCTGAAGAAAAATTTGAACTTTGTAATATCTTGTATAAAAAGTAATGAGCTACTGGGCTCTATATCGTAATAAGTGGCATAGCTCATTAATTTTTATACAATTTAGCAATAAATATTGTTTTGATTTTAAGTTTTTATATGTTGTAGTAGGTTCGTATCAGCTTCATTTACAAAATACTGTAGCACAGACTACAGTAAACATTTTTGCAACTTAAAATTGTAAAAGCAACTTTAGTAATATCTATAGCAAAATAAGTATTACTAACCAAACAACATAGCACAGTAATGTTTTTTGGTTTGACGTCGTTCTGTTTACATAAATATCTGGTGGAACGGAAAATCATTTGGAGTTAGTCTTTATATTATACTTGACGCATTTCTTTATGCAATGGGGTGTGACATTCTAAAAAAGCAACAGATTTATGTACTAGCAACTTTTTACAGTGTTACAGTGGTATTTTAAATTATGGGGTTTCATGTTTACGGCATAATTTTTGAAAAAACAAAAAAATACTGTAAAAATTGTAAGGCTTTATTTATTGTTTTGATGACATTCTAACCCTATATTATTCTTCTTGATGGTCTGGTGATTTATATGTGTATTATTTACAATGTAATACATTTTATATCGCTTTTATTTTCTAGTCTTAGCTCTAACTAGCTAAGGCTAGACAAATAGAGTTTTAGCCCAGAGCCCTAGCCCAGAGTCCTAGCCCAGAGCCCTAGCCCAGAGCCCTAGCCCAGAGCCCTATCTCTTGTACTATTTTCAGCTCTAGTAATAGCTCTAGATCTTGAACTAATTCTAGGATAGCCCTAGCCTTATTCCCAGCTTAGAACTGCTCATTATCTATATCTAGCGGTACAAGAATGTGTAAATTGCCCTTTATCTAATTTTCCTTTGTTTTCCAACGTTTTTGGATAATTTTAATTTGAAATGAAGCCAAATGAAATTAGCGAGCGAAGGTTGATCTTTACCCAAAAAACGGCTGAAACTCATGTTAAATTTGGCCGATGAAATGTTTGGCCAATTCTGGGATGTTCCTTTGTTTGTGTAGCCAAAAAGTGTAGCCGTTTTTTGTGAAGCGTCTGCGTTTTTTGGAATATTAAGTACGAACTTTAAACTCTGGAGGCGGTTTTGAAGTTAAACTGAACATTTTTGTTCAGGGTGTGGTAATATAAAGGGAGGGAGTGATAATTTTTTATTTAAATATGATGTTATGAAAATGAGAGCTTTTTATTTAAATTTTCAAAAAATAATTTTTTTATTTAAACCATTGTACAGCCTAACCTTATAAAGCCGTCGACGTCTCTCTTATAAAACCGTCGACGTCTCTCTAATTACTATAGTAGAGTACGTAATTCCGAAGACTTTGGGCCCTATCCGTTTCGGTTGTTATTCAATTCGCTCAGTGACATGACGGATGAGTTGAGGTCGTGACATTGCCCTCCAAATTCTTCGAACGTTTTAATAAGCCTTGGGTCGAAAATGGCATCAAATGGTTTACATTTTAAATCTCTTACATTTTACTGCGTCTTTTATCATCTTATTGCGTTTTTATCATTTTACTGCCACCTTGAGTAATGACCCCGCAATTCTATAAACAAAATCATTATTTCGGAACTCTACTCTACCCTACCCTACCCTACCCTACCCAACGCTACCCTACCTTACCCTACCCTACCCTACCCTACCCTACCCTACCCTACCCTACCCTACCCTACCCTACCCTACCCTACCCTACCCTACCCTACCCTACCCTACCCTACCCTACCCTACCCTACCCTACCCTACCCTACCCTACCCTACCCTACCCTATCCTACCCTACCCTACCCTACCCTACCAATTTTTCGTATCATACTACTCCTACAGTACATTTAAGGTTTCTACCCTCTATAGTTACTACAACTATTAACAAGTTTATAACCGTTAACTTATATAAACTTATAATCGACCTTACCCCTTCGCGATATAATTAAGTATTTGGTTAGGCACTTTAAAGGCCAAAGAAATCAAATTTCTGGAAATGACCAAAAGGCGGCGTTTTTGGCACTTTTCCAACGGGCGGCGGCTAATTTGATTAGGGACCGGGGGAGGGTCATTTTCATGGATTTATGAGTCGTTTTTGTTTGGTTATTACTTGCCGTTTTTACAAAAAAAATTGTTATATTGGCAGTATAAAAAAAATTTATTTGTATCGAGAAGGAGAGGGGGGGGGGGGGGAGGAAGGGGGGGGTGGCAAAAAGGTAGGGGTGGATAATCGATTTTTTCGTTTTGATGTCAATTGGGTTGATAAACAAACTTCCAAAAAAAATTTTTTTTTAATTTTTATAACACGTCATTTTTTATGCATCAACAAAAAAAAAACAATTTTTTAAAATTAATTTTAAAAATTTAATAGTATTTATTCCTGTTTAGAAAATACACTGTTTAATAGCGTATTTTACCCAATTTCAGAAGTGTTTCGCCTCATTCATTTCGGGAATTCGTTCGGAATTAGCATAGTTTACGGTTGCGGAAAGTTTGGCGCACCCTCCCTTTAATTATAACTGATGAAATGTGCGTGGGACCATGCATTAGCAAGATTTTATGCAAATTCTCCCGGCTCAAAGTTTTTTGAAACGCCATGGGTTTGAATTGCAAAGTCTTTTAAGGCTATATTATCCTTGACTTGGGATCTTGGGCAGGGTAAAATTATCTTTTTGAGGGTTGGGAGGGGTAAAAATTACTTCCCTGGGTTTTGGGCGGGGTGCATATTCTTTCGCTGTGTTATACTGAGCACAACTTTGCATTTTCTTTAACGGTTATGTTATCATTTATTGGGACTAGGTTTTGGTCGGAGTAAAAATTCTTACTCTGGCTACTGGGTGTGGTGAAAAAGGCTGGATGCTAGGGAGAGCAGATCAGTTGGGAGAAGGCAGTTAAAACAACTTACTTTAGCTTAAAATAGTAAGAACATCTTTAGAAATTATTAGTTTACAGCAGTTTTAAGTCTTTCTTCAATCAAACAAGAGTCTTTGATAACCTAAAACAATATAGGGAAGTCTTAATCTTTTTCACAACCAATTTCTTTGATTTTGGTACTAAATTGATCATAATTTTTTTTAAGTTTATTCAAGCTAAAAACAAAGCAAGGACTCAATAAAATTGTTTTAGAGAGTTATATCTTATTTTAGGTAGTAAAAAACCGCATTTGAAACTATTGTTAAACGACGGATCAGTCAACAAATAGGCGTGAAATCTGTTTTAAATTAAAATTTGAGTTTTATATTTTGTAGATTACTCAATTTTTCAGTATTAGGTGCCCATTTACCACCTGTAATAAGCTATCAAAGTCAATAAGTTTCTATTTTTTTATTTTACTTCTGTTGCGGAATGCCAAACTTTTTGGCCAATTTTCTACTTTGCCGCGTTTGTAAAATTTAAATTTTCAACTAAACTCTGACAATGATATTACCTTTCAGAATAAATCAACTCATCCATCGTCATCGTCCTCCTTATTTTACCCAAGAAATGCCATATGTATCTTCACCACCACTACCAGCTCGATGAATGTCCTCCTCACCCTCCTCTCTATTGTCACTGTCATTTCGGCACAGGATATTGAGTTCGTCGAGACTCCACGACTCTTCGAACCTATTATTGTTCGACCGGTTGGCTTGGAGCGGGGCAGTTTATACTATTTTCATCTGGAAATACGACCGGTCGATGTGTTGCCAGGAAGAGAGGAGAGCGAATGGAAAAGGATATTAACCAAAAGTGAACATATAGGAAATGACTTTGAATTCGGATGTGAATGGGCCACGGCTACTGGGATCTACAGGGTCAAGGTAGGCATGGGTAGTATAATATAAGGGTAGGGTATATTGAGGTAAAATACGAGAATTCAACTTTCTTTTAAATTTAGGCTAACCAAGAAAACTCCACCTCATCAATAATATCACAATCTCTACGGTTACTCAAGCCTTCTGCCTATGTTCGGCCGCGACTTGCCCTTCGTGAAGACTCAATATTCCCGAACTGCGCCCGAGACTACGACCTCTCATGGACGTTACCTAATTGTTCGCTAGCTTCAAAATCCGACGAATTTCGAGTTCGAGTCTCGGCGGTGGATTCAGAAGGCGCTGAATTGTATATAGGAGAGTTTAAAGCGCTGGCTGACCCACCAAGAAGCTTTGGCATACCTTGTAGTCAGTTCGATATTATCCATGAGAAGTACTGTTTCGAATTGGTGTCATTGCATTCGTTTAATCAGCAGCTGGACCTGTGGGATCGACGGTGTATCAATACGGAGCCGGGTAGGGTATTCTGGGCAAAAAATTTTAAAATGCGCCGTTTTGTTGCATCATCTTTAAAACGTGCCATTCTTTTTGCATCAACTTCAAAAGCGCCATTATTTTTGCATCAGCTTTAAAAGTGCCATTCTTTTTGCGTCATCTTCAAAATACGCCGTTCCTTTTGCATCGGCTTTAAAAGTGCCATTCTTTTTGCGTCATCTTCAAAATACGCCGTTCCTTTTGCATCGGCTTTAAAATTTTTTTTTGAAATTCCTTTTTATGCCTAAAGCAATATTGTCTCAAGAATCGAAAGCGCGAAAGTAATAAAGCCGAACGGCATTCGCTTTTTGTAATTCAAATTAAAATAATTTTAATTCCCCGAGGGCTAAATGAACCATAAAACAATTTACGGCTCATGAATTCGAAGACTGAACATGGGAAGATATGTTCGTGGGCATAAGTGATGACATTTTACATAAATTTAAAATACTGTGACAGCACATTTAAATGTAAATTATTGTGAAAATTGAAAAAATTGATATAGACATGAAGTCCCAAATGAAAAACGAAAAAAAAAATATTTATGTAAAATAAGATGCGCCCTTGAATAGAAGGGCAGGGCAAGGTATGCTTCTTTGACTAAAATATACAAAAGTTATTATATATAACTAAAATCCCATTTCCAGTCCAACGGGTAGACGGCAACTGGTCCCAATGGTCAGAATGGTCGTCTTGTAGTAGGTCTTGTGGCAAAGGACGCCGAAAACGTCGTCGCGAATGTGACAACCCCAAACCAAACCGAGGCAAACCATGTACCGGTCGATTAATTGAAACTCAAACCTGTAATGAACACAAATGTCCATTGGAGATTCGAATCGCTCCCAATGCCACACTAAATCAATGTGAATGTGGCTGTGTGTTGACTGAAATGACTGGAAGTCTGTTCGCACGATCTTCTAGATTCTGCCTGAATCAAACGCTACATTGGGTGGTGCCTCAAAGATATCTGGCCAAGTTGAAGTTGGTGTTTGTGGATCAATTAGCTGAGGATCAGTCGATCAAAGTTTATGGGAAGGAGGGAGAGGTAAGGGAAAGAGAGAAAGTTAGAAATTGGACGGAATAAGGGTATATTAACATGAACTTTAGTCAAAAAAATTTCAAACAATATATTTTTAAGAACATTGTTTACCTTTTAAACCCTATTTTAACCTCAAAAGGGCCGGGCCTTGGAAAGTCGGGCCGGGCCTGGAAAAAAAATTTCTAAATTTTTTAAAATTTTTTATTTCAATCCCCGTTTATGTTTTTAGATTTTATTGGGTTCTATGGTCCATAAATGATCTAAAAAAACAATTTAAAGCCAATTTTCCGTTTAGTTTTTAAGTTTTAAAACTTTTTAAATTTTTTAAAACGGGCCGGGCCGGGCCTAGAAATTTTCTGATCGGGCCGGGCCGGGCCGGGCCTGACCAAAATAAAAAACGGGCCGGGCTTGAAAATTGGGCCCGGCCCGTTTCTCATGTCTAGCTAAAACAACATTCCCAGCAGCGGAAAGCTTGACTCAAAATTGAGGGAAAGACTTAACACAATGCAGCTTTTTCGGCCAATTTTTGTCGCTGTTGCCGTGCCGTTCTTATCACTAAACATTGCCATCCTTTTGAGATTATATCCAAAGACTTTTCTACAACTTCCTTGACCATAACCAGAGTTCATCTAGTATAATATGAAATCTTCAGGAATCCCTCTGGCTGAACGGAGATCAAAAGCCTGTGCCGACGACATTGACTTTGAGTCTGCAAGGCGATGTTAATATTGTCCTCACTTCGACGGGTAAACAAGTGGACAATGGGAATGGGGCTTTCATTGATTATCAAGTTATTCCTGGTGAGTTTTAGTTCGAAGACTTGTGCATCTATTAACCATGTGTAATATTGAGTTAGTGTGCTTTTAGAGGCTTAAATAACAGGTTTTTAACATTTATGCCATACTATTTTGTATCAGCTTGAAAATGCGTCATTTTTTTTAATCAACTTTGCACTTTACTTTTGTTACCAAAAATAATTTACTTGTTACCTAAACTACTATATTTGTTACCTAAAATGCTTTTTTATTACCTAAAATACTATATTTGTTACCTAAAATCCAGTTTTGTTATTTAAACCACTATATTTCATACTATATAGTATATGTCATTTCAGAACCATCGATAACCTCAAATGGAATGGAGTACTCTGCTTTTTTGGGTAACAAATATGTGAACTGTCAATCGAGACAATGTCACGCATTAGTTACAGTAGGATCACTAATAATATGTTTGTTTGTCATCTTGTTTTTTGTCATTGTACCTCCATTACTATGCTCGTTTGTCACCAAATACCGAGCCAAGAAGAAGAAACAGAAGACTACATTACTGGGATCATATCGGTAGGTTTGACAAGCTTTTTTTTGAGTGGGGTTACTGTAATTTTGACAATTCATTTTTGAGGCTACTATAGCTTTGAGCTTCGATTTTCGTATTTTTTCGAAGGTTACTGTAGCTTTGGACATTATGTTTGACCTTTTTGACCTAAAACAACACCATTTCAGAGCCGACTCAGACATGGTACGATCGGGAGGTACCGACTCGACCCACGTATCTTCTACTCATCCATCAGGTAAACCCCCACTACCTCCAGATCGTCAACTTAATGGTGGTACTCAAGTTATTGTAGCTCATCGTAGTATTGGAGTTCAGCGCTCTCTACAAACAACTCCACGTACTCAACGTTCAGCACGTGAAACTCCGATGCCGAATGCTTCAATAGCATCAGTAGATCTTGAGTATGATTACTATGATCCACCAATGCCTGGAAGCTTCATTAAACCGGCTTTGCCCGATATTGACATAGATGACATTGTACATAAGGAGACTAGTGGATGGCTGGATTCACCGCCGCTTAAAGGGCTGGTTAATGAGTCTGTGTAGGGGCTGGATTAATAAGATTGATTATATTATGATACGTGGTATGGTAGTGACCGAACTGTTTTAAAGACGATATTATTGTGTTAGTTGATATAAAGGTAGTAGTTTAGTTATGAGATAAACAGTAATTTTGGCTCTATCTACAACTGACATTTGTTATAGTTAACTTCTTTATAAGAAATCGCTTTTTATAGTCAAAATAGCAGGCAAAACGTTCTTTATAGACAAGGTCTTCTAGTAGCTTTATAGACAAGGTGATACTTTTTATATTACCTTTACAGACAAAGTAATAGAAGTACATATATGAATTTTTGAAAAGTTCTTTGAGGGTTTTCCATTTCATTTCGAAAAAAAACATGTTTTTTTATTGTTTTCTAGATAAAAACTGACTGTTTAGTTATGAAAAGTAGTCGTTCTTTGAGCTGTACATAAGGTCTTTAGTAGCCTCTTTTTGCTGAATTAAAATTTGACTTTTAAAGTTTATTTTTAAGTTTTAAATGTTCTTTAATTCTTTCGCTTTTTCTTTAGTCAAGAAATGAAAAATTTTGAAGAAAAAATACGAAAGAATTAATGGATTTACTTGGTATTGCTTTATTTTTTTTTGTGATTTACTATAATATTTACATTATTTTGTTTATATTTCGTATTTCACATGTATTTTTGTACAAACCATGAACTACATATTACTGTATTGTTTTCGGTCTATCGTATCTCTTAATGTTTTTACAATCTTTCCTTTAAATTACTTTAATTTCCAATACGAGTATATTACTGTGAGCATGATTTTTTAATTTTAATAAAAATTTTGTTTTATATTGCTTTAGCTGATTATTTTTTTTAAAACTATTTTTTTTTCTTAACGCAGATATATAAATAGAGGTTTGAGGGGGGATGATCAGAGTTTGATGAAGAAGTTAGAGCAATCCATTGTATCAGTTCCCAATTGGACTCTATCTAGGTGTGTTTCTCAAGCTACCTAGTCGTGATGAGGTGCTCATCAAGACTTAAAGTCGTAGTGGGAAGCCTGTGTAGGCTAGGCAACCGATTTGCCATAGTTCTCGTGCGTAGCAAAGAAGTTATTTCTAAATAAAAAGTTATGAATTCTTAATTTTTCGAAATTTAAAATTTTTCTGGTAAGGAAGGTATACCTGGGTACCCTCCATTTGGGAGATTCTAGTTATGGCTTCGAAAACTTTAAAAAGCCTTTTGTAATGGAATCAGGAGATAATTGGGTTTGTTCAAGTATAAATCACGCGATCTTTTAAGGTCATTCTTAATTTCACAAAACTTCATTATCAGCTGACAATCCTATCCTTAAATAACTTGTACGATACATTGCAATAGAAAACCTGTCACAAAGTTAGCTGGACTATTCTTTTGCAATTTTTATTTAATTTTTTACTTATAATGGACTTACAATATGAATTTCGAAAAAATAACTGTCTACCAGGCTTAATCACCTCTAAAGACATCCCTTAAAACAAATTATAGCTTACATGACCACAAAATTATTATTCTATTATATATCATTGCTTATTAGGACACTGTATGATTACTGTACTTTCAATTTTGGAGAGAACAGTAAACTACAGTAACCCGAACAGTTATTTTTTATCATTTTGAGTGATAACTGTTTGCAAAGAATACAAGTCTTTGGCCTTGTGCGAGTGATAAGAATGATCGGAAGATCTAGTTTGTGGCGAAAGAACATGACATACACGTGGCTTCTTTTACATTGATAATTGAGTACATTAACCAACGTAAATTAGTAGTAAAAGTTTTTTTACATTAAAAGCTAACTTACAAAGTAATATTTACAAGTTTAACTGACCTTGAGGCTTATAACAAGTGAATGCCCTCTAACGTAGCCTTGAGTAAATTAAGGTAATCTCATAAGCGTATCTTTCAATTTTCTATTCCTTGTTGTAGGTTTCGATACTTTTTTTGTACTTTAGTATTATACAAGTCATATATAGTATTGTTACTGAAGAAATACGATTTTCAGAAGCCTTTTTTTATTACTTTTTCATTTTTAAATTTAATTTTATATGTGGTCATTTGGTTGGGCTTATTTTGTAATTTACATTTCACTTTTTTTGACTTTATTCTAATTTTTTTGGCCCTTCCCTCCACTTGAAACAGTCTAGTTATGACTTTTTTCATCTTACCCTACCTTACATTGGCCTAAACTACCATATCTTACTCTATATTATCTAACATTACACTACCCTACCAATAGTTTTTATAAAGTAGATTTGTTTGGCTATAACAAACACTTGTTTATATGAAAGGCTTATTCTTTTAAGAGTCTGTAAGAGTACATTGTGTCAAAACATGACTTTATTCCAAAACTCGAAGAAAAATCGTTGGAACTTTCATGCAAAATCAGTTTTTTATAATTTTAGTCTTTAGCTTTTGCTCCAAGTTATTTACAGTATCCAAACAAATGCTAAAAATAATTGATAAACAGCAAAATGCTGATTTTAAAACCTACAACAACATTTCACGTGAATCTGTATTCTGAATTTCATGTAAACTCTCTGTCGTCTCTCCATATTCACTTATCACTAGCTTTTCTCTTATCACTTTATCAAAATTCTTTATCACAGCCTTAATACAATTCCCGTTCTCTAATTGCCCTCTGGCCATTTTGAACAGAAAACGCGTCAAATAACTTGAGGCCTTATCAGTGACCCGCCCATTCGAGAAACCCAATTTTAGGCTAGCTGAATGCGGACTGGGACCCCATTCCTAGCGCTCGTTCTTCTGTTCCTGGTCGTTTATTCCGCGTTGATCTACTACAACTGGAATATCTGGCGAATCGACTACGACAAGACAGAGAACGACGCTAAACAAGAGCTGATCCGGCTAGCCAAACGAGTGAAGATTCAGGAGGACAAAAAGAAACGTAAGATTTTTTAATTTTTTAAAAAGTTTAAAATTTTTTTAGTTGCCTTCTTTACTTTATTATACTCTACCCTGCCCTAAATATAATAATTTTTAAAAACTTTTCATTTTAAAAAATTTTTAAATTTTAAAAAGTCACATTTCCCTCAAATTCCCCATATCTAACCAAGAATGTGCACTAATTGTCTTTGTTTTTATCGTCAACCGAATCCGATGACGTAGCCATCGACGACGTCATCGATGGACTGGTTTTCCGCTCTTTTTTCTGACCAAGGCGGGTCGATTTCTAATTTTAAAAGCGATTTTTGTTGTGGATTCTCTTATTTGTCTCAGATCTTACTTTTCTTTAAAGATCTTGTATACACACTTATCAGTAGCTTTTCTGGTATTATCTTGAAGTAAAGTTTTAAAATTTTTGAAATTTGAAAACAACTTTGAAGGTAGTAGATGTTGTAAAAGATTTTATTCGTTTTTGTAGCTTGTTTACTAAGGGAGTGGGTTTTACTACTTTTGTTACTTTAAAGGGGTAGAGGTTTCAAGTATGGGCTAATATGGGTATTGATAGAGTAGGGAGGAAGAAAGGAGGCATTAGGGAGGGTAAAAAAGGATGCATTGGTATCTCCATAGTCTAAAAACCAGCTACAGATAGGTGTGAGATTGATCTAAATTTTCTTCCTTTTGCCACCCTCCTCCCCCTTGAGAAAAAATGTTTTTACCCTGCTAACATTGAGAAAATTTTTTTTCACCTTGCCAATTTCGACTTATATAATAATAGTTTTCTAAAATTTAACGACTTTTTTATTTAAAAAAATGTTTTTACAGGATTCCCAGAACGTGCTGATATCTTTGCTGTTCAACTCACAAATTCTTCATCAACCAAAGACACTGAACCTGTTGGTCTTCTAAAATACGAAAGGTAAGCTTTTTTTCAATATTATATCTAATTTTCAGTTTAATTTTGTTAGAAAAAGCTTTTACAAGCTCTAATTTTATATTTTTCTTCTAAAATCTATCTTTGAACACCCCCGTTTCAATTTTTGTTACCTAATTTTTGAACATTATTTTTCAACTCGAATTTCAACTTAAATTTTAAAATCCTTTATCAAGTCATAATTGTCACAACCTAAAGATTCTTTCCCATTTCTGTCGTTCCAACCCATCGTTCTGTGATCGTTCTGAAAGTGTGAACTGTGTCCTCTTATCTTTACTGTAAATCGCAGGCTTAAGACCGTTTTTTAAGAGTTTTGATAAATAAACCTGAGGGTAAATGATAGACAGGTATTTTTTCGAAGTGATAACAGGTCAAAACCCTATTTAAGGAAAAGGTTAAGCTTAATATTAACGTTAAGCGGCTTGTCTGTGGTTTTGTTTTGAATTTCGCGGGTTTTTGAGAGGAAAACTGATTTTTTAGGTATTATAACTTGTTTTAGAAAGGTTTTTGAAATATTTTAAGGTCGTTTTATACCTATTCTTATGTTCTTTGGCAATTCTTTTGTTGTTATTTTGATATGTTTTGGTCTTATCTGCTTTGAAGGGACTTTTGCCTACTATAATATAATTCTAAACTTGTTTTTAAGTCTTTGAATAAACTTCATGTGTTATAAAATAGTTTAGGTCCTTTTTTAATTGAAAATCAATTTTATCCACTATGATATAATTTTCAATTTATTTTTGAAGCTTTTTAATCAACTTTATCTACTATAATATCGTGTTAAACTCATTTTTAAAATTTCAAACTTATTTCTTAAATTCAAAGGTAACTTTTTAGAAAATGTCCTCAATTCGACGTGTTTTCGTACCCGCTCCAGCCGAACTGCTCCACCTGGGTTCGAACACTGCATCAGGGCCTAGCCAGTTCGCGATACCACACCGACCAGGCGCACGATGTGTGTGTTCGCTGTGCCGTAATCGACAGTCTCGACCAGTCTCGGTTCGCGCTGTCCCGACTCGAGCCCGAGGCTAAGACGATATTGCTTGTGAATGATGTGGTCACGAGTTTGCCATCTAACGTTATTGTCTTTTCACAACATTTCTTGTAAGTTTGGAGGGATATTAGATTGACGCTTAGTGTTATAGTTGAAAAATGTTATTTCTTAGTTTAAAATGAGTTTTAAGGTTTAATTTAATACTTTATGTATTAAAAACACAAGAACAAGGTTTTTTCAAATGAATTTGTTTTTAAATTTCAGAAATGAAAATGGTGTATATCTTGACATTCCCTCCAAATGTAACCGATCTCAACTCCCCGATATATTGTATTTTGACCCTAAAGTAAGTTTTTTATACCTAAAAATACCTTTTTCATAAAATTTCAAAGTTTTTCGTGCTTTTACTAACAAGAAAAGCAATGTTAAAAGATGGATAGTTTATATTAGGTTGTTAAAATAATTCTGCGCTCCTGTCAAAGCAAATTTTAGGGGTTAAGGGGCGCAGAATTGTTCGAACAACCTAATAACTCTATTAATAACTAATATAAATAATACTAAATAATAACTCATAGAATCAATATTTATACCAGCTAGTATAGTATGCTAAATAACAACTTGTTAATCTATATACTAGATAATAAGTTATACCTATATTTTAGTACATCCTCCAAATTCACATCCCCAATCCGTATCGCAACAAGCCCATGTTTAACACGTTAATCGAAAAATGCACAAAGAACTCCACCTACCATAATATTCAATGTGTGGTCACGGACTATCCGGATGATGTTTTAAGAAATTCAGGTAATTTTTAAAAATTATATGACTATGTATGTCTATAATAACTTTTTAAAAAACGACTATAACCTCATTCTCGACCACCACAACCATCTAATCCATCTATTTTCAGCTCAGTTCACCATGATCAACTACAACACCCCCCACAAATACCTAAAAACCCTCTACCTAGCTTTAAAAGCCGGCTCCATCCCTATTATCATCGCTGATAACTACCGTAACCTTCCCCTATCTGACATGATCGACTGGTCACGAATTGCTTTAAGAATTCATCCAGATAGACTAGCTTTATTGTTTAACACATTACAAAGTATACCCAGCCATTTAATAAAAGAATATCAAAGAAACGGTCGATTTGTTTTCGAAAATCACCTTTGCGACAGTTACGGTAAGTAATGGTGATTTGGTTGTGGTGGTTCGAAGGTGATTTGAGTGTGATACTAATAGATATAAGGTGGTCAGGGTGATGGATAACATTAATTTATTAATATTACTCTGATACTGATGACTTGTTTATTGTGACATGAAAGTAACTGAAAGGTTTGCATATGTTACACATTAGACAATCGGGATAATGGGTTGCCAAGCCACGTCCAAGGAGTTGTTACCACGAAGAAGTCTGAAGTAGCCAGACTCTCCCCAGTCAGCGCCCCACGAGTTCTTGATTGACCAGAACGGCACGTCGTCGTCTTCACCGTACCCAAAGATAGTCACACCGTGGTTGATAGTCCAGCCGGCTTCGGGTTCTACTGGCTCCAAGACCCCTGATTGGTAACTTTGAAGGTTGGTAGCGTCAATTACTGAAAATATTATAGTAACATGATAATAGTAGCTTATTAATTTTTTAATACTATTTTAATTACTATTTGAGCCCTTACCAACAATAGCTGGGCCGAGTTTGTAGACAGCGTTGACTAGTTCAACTTCATCGTACTGAGTTGTGTAAGTGTAAGTACTGATTCTCTGGTATCGTGCTTTGCCTTCGATACAAGCTTCTGCTACAGTTGAGTTACCGTTGGTATAGGGATAGTCCTCTTCGTAGTCCACCCCAGCAGAAATAATGGCATCCAGAGTCCAGGAGACGACTCCACCGTCGCATCCGTAGTTTCCAGAATCCGGGTTACAGGACAGAGTCTGTTGTTCACTCAGCTCTTGGCTGATGTTGTTGGCAATAATGTAGACGGCTTCGACAGCAGCGATGGAAGAAAAGACGTAGCAGTCACCACAGGATCCCTGGTCCTTGACCTCAGTGTAGGCACCTTCATCTCTCCAGTCGAAGGTGGAGGGAGAGTTACATCCAGAAGTGGACCGTTTAGCTCGCGAGTACTTCAGGGTCCAGTACGGGATGCCATTTGTGACATTGGCAGGCTTAGTGCCAGCCGACTGGTTCAGGAACTCTTCTGGAGACAAATCAGAGAACTTGTTGATGCCAAAAGTGGCATGTTTGTGTTGAGAGTTGAGTTGGCTGATCTGCTGGAGGGTGTCCTGGAAGTGGGAGAAGCGAGTACGAAGAGTGGACTCATCAGAGTAGTCACGGCCATGGCTAAAACAATATTTATGTAATAATTTAAACCTAAACTACTATAGTTTGAAATTATAATATTGGTCAAATACAATGTTATTTTGAGTAATTTAGAGGAAATACCGAACATACTCAGCAATAAACTTGAAGAAACGGCTAAAGTCTAGTTTGTCACTTGAATTCAGCTTCTGATTCACTTTTTTGGCCAACTTCAAGGTGTTCTTGGTGTTATCGGCGAGGCCAGGAAAGTCGTCCAACAAGGAATCAGCTCCATTCAGCAGGCTTCCATAGTCCAAACTCAAGGTTTTAGTTGATGACAATGCTACAGTAGTAAGCAAGGCGAAGGCTGCTAATTTGAGCATGATTCTTGTGGACAGTTGTGAGCTGAGGAAGCTTTAAACAACCGTGAAATGATATGATTGAATGTAGTCGACGCATGCTTTTATATTATTTTGCCTTGAACATGTTAATCTGTTATTTAAAGAACAGTCTTTGCTACTTCTATGATAATATTTTAATTTAACGCCTCGTTGCTAACTTTTTCCAAGTTCATTTTAAATCAAAAAATCATTTTATGTTTCCCTTCTGTTTAGTTGAACATACTAGACGATAAGCATAAATTGCGTGGTAAGCAGTTAGCAGCTATACCAGGAAACTTGAGCTTTTGTTTAAGCCCAAAGTTAGTGTTTCAAGGCTAAAAAGAGGCGTTAGATTTGAATATTATCATACAAGTTACAACAAACTTTTTGTAAATCAAAAGATTAACATGTTGAACCAAAATACTATAAAAGCAACGACCAAAAGCACTGTATCATATCATTTCACAGTTGTCTAAAGCTTCCTCAGCTTACAACTGTCCACAAGAATCATGCTCAAATTAGCAGCCTTCGCCTTGCTTACTACTGTAGCATTGTCATCAACTAAAACCTTGAGTTTGGACTATGGAAGCCTGCTGAATGGAGCTGATTCCTTGTTGGACGACTTTCCTGGCCTCGCCGATAACACCAAGAACACCTTGAAGTTGGCCAAAAAAGTGAATCAGAAGCTGAATTCAAGTGACAAACTAGACTTTAGCCGTTTCTTCAAGTTTATTGCTGAGTATGTTCGGTATTTCCTCTAAATTACTCAAAATAACATTGTATTTGACCAATATTATAATTTCAAACTATAGTAGTTTAGGTTTAAATTATTACATAAATATTGTTTTAGCCATGGCCGTGACTACTCTGATGAGTCCACTCTTCGTACTCGCTTCTCCCACTTCCAGGACACCCTCCAGCAGATCAGCCAACTCAACTCTCAACACAAACATGCCACTTTTGGCATCAACAAGTTCTCTGATTTGTCTCCAGAAGAGTTCCTGAACCAGTCGGCTGGCACTAAGCCTGCCAATGTCACAAATGGCATCCCGTACTGGACCCCTGAAGTACTCGCGAGCTAAACGGTCCACTTCTGGATGTAACTCTCCCTCCACCTTCGACTGGAGAGATGAAGGTGCCTACACTGAGGTCAAGGACCAGGGATCCTGTGGTGACTCCTACGTCTTTTCTTCCATCGCTGCTGTCGAAGCCGTCTACATTATTGCCAACAACATCAGCCAAGAGCTGAGTGAACAACAGACTCTGTCCTGTAACCCGGATTCTGGAAACTACGGATGCGACGGTGGAGTCGTCTCCTGGACTCTGGATGCCATTATTTCTGCTGGGGTGGACTACGAAGAGGACTATCCCTATACCAACGGTAACTCAACTGTAGCAGAAGCTTGTATCGAAGGCAAAGCACGATACCAGAGAATCAGTACTTACACTTACACAACTCAGTACGATGAAGTTGAACTAGTCAACGCTGTCTACAAACTCGGCCCAGCTATTGTTGGTAAGGGCTCAAATAGTAATTAAAATAGTATTAAAAAATTAATAAGCTACTATTATCATGTTACTATAATATTTTCAGTAATTGACGCTACCAACCTTCAAAGTTACCAATCAGGGGTCTTGGAGCCAGTAGAACCCGAAGCCGGCTGGACTATCAACCACGGTGTGACTATCTTTGGGTACGGTGAAGACGACGACGTGCCGTTCTGGTCAATCAAGAACTCGTGGGGCGCTGACTGGGGAGAGTCTGGCTACTTCAGACTTCTTCGTGGTAACAACTCCTTGGACGTGGCTTGGCAACCCATTATCCCGATTGTCTAATGTGTAACATATGCAAACCTTTCAGTTACTTTCATGTCACAATAAACAAGTCATCATTATTAGAGTAACATGTTTTTCAGTGGCTTATCAAAGCTTAAACTTAAAAAAACAATTAAAAATTTTTTTTTAATTTAGCATTAAAAAGTCAAGCTTAATGACTATTTTAGCTCTAGTACGATCCGTTTTGACAACATTACGATACAGAATGCAAGTACCAGCTCCGGTTGTGCATCATGAAGAAGCCAAAGAGTTTTTCACAATAATACCTAAAGATTACGTTGTCAAAGAAACTATCAAGGATGAAGTTCAGTTGAATACAGTAACAGTACGTAAATTACAAAAGATAAGGCTTAACAGCATTGACTAAAAATAGGATCACTTCAAATATTCAGAGTTAGTAAAGCTATGATGTTGTTCAAATAATTTCGTGCTTCCTCTCAAAACAAGTTTTTGGGGTTAAGGGGCACATAATTATTTGAACAACCTTATAGTTTTACTAACTATATAACTTCAGAACTCCTACTTCACTTTTAACCAAAACCCAACGTATATAGACAAGTTCTCTAAATATGACTTGCCATCGTATTATATCAATAAAAGACACTCAATGTCAATCTCAACAAGCCAAAATAACCAAATCATATCAACTACTGAAGACCAATTTACTATAGTATTAAATGCTTACAACCGTGATGAGCAACTTCACTTTGTCCTCCAGAAACTGGATAAACTACAGTATGTAAAGTCTGTTATTGTGGTATGGAATGACCAAACAAGAGAGCCGGCTACTGCTGAACATTGGCCAAAAATTCATGTCCCAATCCATTTTGTTAGAGCTAAAGAAGACTCAATGAACGAGAGGTTTAGGCCGCTGGACTTGATTGAAACTAACGCTGTGTTTAGTATGGATGACGACTTTGAGGTGGGCAATGAGGTCATTGAATTGTCGTTTAGGTATGTCACAATGGCTTATTTAATGTAGCCTTACTAAACCTCAACCTTTCAGAATCTGGCAATCAAATCCAGAAACAATAGTCGGCCCAAATGCCAGGCTAGCTCTGTTCAACAAAGAAAAAGAAGAGTTCGAATACCTAACTGAAAACGAATGCATGTACAACATCATCCTGACTAGTGGAGCTTTCATGCACCGAAGTTACTTGGCTTCATATTGGAGTGCTGATTTCAAACAAGTCAGAGATTACGTGTCAACAGTCAAAAACTGTGAGGATTTGGCCATGAACTTTGTTGTCCAACATTATTCACGGAAAGAACCAATTAAAAGCACACATCTTTTGAGAAGCAGGTAGGTTAATAAGCTTAAAAGTTAAATTTTTGAGTTTTAAAAAACAAAATTTTAAAAAATATTATGTTGTTTAAAAAGTTCTGAGCTACTTCTCACAGCCAATTTTCGGAATTCGGGCACAGAATTATTTGTACAACCTCATATACGTGTGGGAATTACAATACCTAAAAACTGAGTGAAAGCTCGACAAACATAAGGTAAAACCAGTATTCTAAAATACGAAATAGCGTAAATTGCCCATAATTTCAGTGGAAGATTCGAAAAACCGTCAAAATTATCACTACGCCCAAATCACCTTGATGACAGAGCTAAATGCCTCAAAATGCTGCGAAGATTCTTCAGCTACAACCCTCTAATTACAACTGAACACCGAGTAGATTCTCTCCATTACAATCATGAGCACCTCAAGTGCTACAACAATGTTTAAACTAGTTTTTGAATCAATAAACTTGTTTTATCTGTTCTTCGCATTCCTAGCCAAATTACAACGTTCATTCGGGTTAAAATTTAGCTTTTGTAATGTAAGTAATCAACAGTTTATTTGTTCGGTATCTTATAAAAGAGGTCAGAATCTGGTCACACTCACTTTCTGCCATTTCATTCATTCTTTGAATATTTTGCAACAGGTGTTGGTCGCTGTAATCGGTGGTTTTATGGCTTATAGTTAACTACATTGTCATGAAGTTGCCGTTTGTTATTGCCATATGTATCGTGGGTTTAGATTCAAGTTGGGCGACGTCTACGGTGGATCCTGTAGCTTATAGTGAAGATGGAGTTAGTTTAGCTACTGAGAGTGACAGGTCAGATGATCCGCATTCGAGTAAAGATCCATTTGATTTTACTGTTGCATTTCTTCAAGATGACTATGACACAGAGACAACTAATGACTTTAATACGACGACTACAGTTACTGAGGACTCTACGACCACAGATTTGTCTAACACAACAACTACAATTACCACAACTACAACGTCTACAAGCGTTAGTACGACCACGACAACTATAGTTAGCACTACCACTATTCATGTAAGTTATATAGTAGGTTATCCAAATATAAATGGGCCAAAAGTTTAATATAGGCCTCATTTAAGACCTTTTGAAATAATTTGGATATTTTATACCATTTTAGTCTGAATTTGATATATTTCAGAAGACAACTACTACTCGAAAACCTCGTCCACCAATTACAACTCCACCCCCAACAGACGATGTAAGTTATACATTATAAAAAATCTGGTTTTCCAAAGCCTAAAGACATTTAAATTTTTTATTTTTAGGATGACGTCCCAATGACAATAATTTACTCGACGATAGGTGTAGTATCAGGTATCATACTCCTTTGCCTCTGTATTGGTTGTATCGTATACTTTTGTCGGTGTCGTGGTAAAAGGAAAAAGACGACCGAAACAAACACAGAACCTTCGACCGAGCCACTCATACGACATCGACCTCACGCTGATAGTCCACCGTTATCAGAAGTCACTGGGGATCACATCAATCCGAATGATATTAAGTACAAAGGGCGGTTGGAGATACCTGAAGTCATCATTCCTATAGGGGTAAGGTTTTTTATGTTATGTACTATGAAATGTTAAAACGTTATCATAAGTTATAGATGAAATTATATATTACTTCCGTATTTTACGGTACTGCGTAATACATATAGTGCACATATAGTACTATATCCATGGTACTTATTTATATGACAATAGCGTCAGGACGACGATGAGTTAGATGAGAACGAAGCTAATCATAGTGGCAAGTTTACCCTCAACAAGAATATGATCGAAGCGGTGGAAGTGGGGTCAGAAGTAGAAAAAGTTGGCGACAAATCACCGCTTCGACGAAGAAACCCCAAGGCGATTCGAGACTAAAATACGATCAAATACCCGAGACTAGAATCAACGACTCTTTCTACCAATAAAGAGTTTTCATTTTTTCCTATTGATGTACTGATCTTATTCAAAACATAAATTACTGAATAGTTCCTTTGTTGGCTTTTGTATTTAAAAAAACGCTTTTGTATTTAAAGATTAAAAGTTTGTAAAAAAATTTCTTACCTAAAATTACGAATAGATGACTTATTACCTAAAATTTAAAGAAAAATAAAACTTTTTATCATAAAATCAAAAAATCCAGAAATTTGTTACCTAAAATCCCAAAAAAATCCAAAATTCATATTTAATACTCAAACTTATATACCTCAGTTAAAAAGATCCGAAAACTTTTCAACCAACTTGATGTATCCGTATGATAAGAAGTTAAATGCCATTTAGAGATCAGCCCCAGTAGTACGTCGCTGATTCCGATTCGAAGCCGTTCGTTTTTTAAAGACAACTTCTTTTGACGACTTTTTGGTCGATTTTACAGGTAATACCTTTTCTGAGAATTTGGTTTCAGATGGATCTTCATCAACATCAAAGTCGAGTTGAGTTTTGATCTGTTGTTCTGGTAGATCATCGTATACTACTCTGAAAAAAATTATATTAAACTGCCCAAATATTTATGAAGCTTTATAAACATGTAGAGTAGTATATTATAGTATAATAAAAGACAGCTTTTAAAGACCAAGTCTAATATAAATCCTCCGTCACTTACTTATCTTGTTGCTCCAACTCTAGTGTCTTGGGTACCTCCGGCTCTTTGACTATGGTAGTCCACTTCCCTAACCCGGCTGCTGATCGTTTTGAAGGTTCTTTTTCTTCTTCTGTCAATGGTTGGTATACTGTACATTCTGGCTTTAGCTCGCTTTTGTTATGAATTTTAATTTCATCTAATCCTGATTCTGTAGCTTCATTACTACCTAAATAAGCCTCATTATTACCTATATAATCATAAACTTTATTCACTGCACCATACTTACCTTCTTTGTCAACTTTATCATGTTCTACACCATCTGTACCATCTCTAAACTCTTCTAGTACATCTGACTTCATCGTATTCATATTTCTAGCAATCCTCATACTAATAGCCTTATTTATGCCTTCTGAAGGTGTTACAGTACCACTGTTTCCACTTTTCACGGTATTATATGGTCCCCCTGTTCCAGTACTGTAAACTGCATTTGTTCCAGTACCAATTTCTCCACTCGTTACAGTAACGCTTCCTTCAGCTGGCGGCGGAGGAGGTGGCTGATTAGTCTGTAGCTGTTGTTGATATTGGTACCATTGTTGACAGTACTGTTGGTACTGTTCGTTGTATGCTTTCATTGCTTCTTCATTCTCGGCTTCTTTCTTTTTCTTTTCCGCCTCTTCTTTTAGCCTGTTCTTTTCGTCTTCTATTTGTTGTTGTACCTTTTCATAGTTCTGACTGTACTCTTCAGTTGTGTAGAAGACTGACGGCACTTCCCAGACGGTTTCTGAAAGTTAAATTGTAAGTGACAAAGATCAAAAAGTACTAGAATTCAATATTTTTTCCCATATACAAAATAAACATCGCGATTTAATGTTGATGCGTAAGTAATGGCGCCCTCCATACCTCCAGAAAAGATGTTCCAGTAGTAGAATCCTCCTTCCGCTTCAGCCTGAACCCACTCAATAACCTCGTCTTCTTGGTCTCGATTCCAGAATTCAGAAGTCTTTGAGCTCTTCTTCAACTCCTTCCATTTCTTTTTCCGTTCTTTCAGTTCTTCTTTTGGGTCTACCTTCTCGGCTTTTCTTTTAGTACTGCCACTCGGTACTGGTGGTGCTGAAGTAGTTGGCAGGCCTACAGTTGGTGGAGCCATATTTGACGGTATGGATTGGCCGTCTCGTTTCATTGCTGCTAACGCGGCAGCTTCCATGGCCACTAAGGTAGCATTCAAATTGGCTGTCTGGAAAGTGAACAATAATAAATAATGTAAAATACAATCAAACCTCTTTTTTTTATGACCCTAGTTAGTGTACCACCCTCGTTATAATGTGCCAACCAGAAATTAGTTTAACTACTGATCTAGCTACTCCAAGGTTAGAGTTTGAAGTTTAACCTATTCGAACAGAATCAAAGCTTCAAAAGCCCATCTCTGTCAATAACTTGAATATTCCCTATTACACTATTCTATACTGTATGGTACTTTAATTTACTGTATTAAAACATAGCCTTACATCCTTATCCTTTTGCTTGGACTTCTGTCCCATCTCTCGTAGCCTTTGCTGGACCATGGCTTTGTGTTTCTGTCCCATTTCATGATTATCAATCGAGGCTTTGTTATCCGCAAACCATACTTTACAAATCTCACAAAACTTCTTTGCTTGAGACTTCCAATACTCCGCCATTTTGTTATGATATTACCTAAAATATTGCTTTTAAAAAATTATTATTATATAGTGTCAACATTAACAAAATAGTTTGTATATCAAGTTATCAAAAAAGTTTTGTCGTAAAGCCACAATCTTTTTCAAGTTGAAAACATTAAATGACTTTTTTATCCTGTAGCAGTACTATATATATTGCAATAAGCTTTGGTGACACAACCAAACAAATAAAAAAAAATTCGAAAAACCAGCATATATCAATACGTTACCTTTTTATTGAAATCAAAATACAATCTGTATATATCACAATTTTAATAAATAGTATTTACAAAGTTTAACTTAAAAAATTTAAAAAATATTTTCCAATATAAACCGAGACATTACTATTTATAGCAGCTATAAGAAAGTCCAGCATATTTTTACAATTTCCAAATATTCTTCATACTATAAGCTATCAAAAATTAAATTTTAAATTATATTATCCATGGCAATATTACTATAAAATTAAAAATGGCAATATTACACACACTCGGAATGTTATTGTTACTTTTAAAAAGTAAAATTTATACAAAATAAAAGACCAAAATTTCAAATTTACTAACAATCTTGAGCTCCCAATGTTATAATCCTCTAAATATTATCATGCAAAATATTTTAACCATGCTATCACTAAAACCTATGATTATAAAAATAATCAAAGAGTAAAGAAAAATTGCTATCAAAGTCTCTCCTCCCTAAAAAACAAAGTTCTAAATTTCTTAACCAATATAGCTTATATTAGGTTGTTTAAATAATTCTGTGCCCCTAACTCCAAAAATTTGCTTTGAGAGAAGCACAGAATTAGTTGAAACACCTAATAATGTACACACTTATCCTGCAATCTTCCTCAATTACAGAGCTTCATAATCTCCGACTTCTAGGTCATCTGGGTCATCTTCTACCATCATGTCATTCTTCTTCTCTTTGTTCTTCTTTGTCTTCGTTGTTTTTTTCTTTTTCTTTTCATTTTTCGACTCTTCAGTTGGAGCTACAGCTATACTCTCTGGTTTTACCTTGTTATCGTTCAAAAAGTCGTCCAATGCTGTTGTTTTAGGTTTCGGGGCCTAAAAGAAGTCGTTTTTAATTAAAATACAAATATAAAATCAATAATACTAGAGAGTTACTTAATTTTTAAACTTAAAATTTATTTTTAAAACAAAACTTTTATTACCTAAACATAAACTAAACTTACACTAACTTCCTGTTTCTCCGCGACAGATCTACTCTCTCTCCTTGCCTTCAGTATATTCTCTATGACAACATCTTCCTCGTCCGAATCACTGTCAGCTCCTTCGACTTGAGCCACCAATGGATTGCTGTCCTCGTCTGAACTGTCTTCCTTCTTGGTTTCTTGTTGTTTTATGTTATTTTCCTGAGTGTCTAGCCAACAATTCAGGTTATTTTCTAGGTTTTGTTCTTCTTTCTTGGCTACTTCTCCGTTGAATTCGATCTTTTCTTGAGGTTCTTGGATTTCTTGTTGAAAATTGAGCGAGGTTTCGGGAAAATCGTCGTTGTCCGAGTTGAAGTCCTCTTCGAACGTGTCTACCATCTTGTTTTCGTCACTGAAACATAAGTTTTGTCACAAAAAGACATACAAAAAATTTTTTTCCAAAAAATTTTTAATTTATAGAATTTAAATCCAAGAACGCCGGCTATCAAAGGCCTATTTAATGACTTGTAACCCTTACCCAGACCCACTACTAATCGAGTTCCTTCTGTCAAGTTTGGGCGTTCCATCCGCCGTTTCCTCTCGTTCTACCAATTCTTGGTTTGGCACGATTGGTTTCTGCTGATGGGATGGGGAGTTCGAGGCTGATTGGAATTGATCCAGCTCGATGAGAGCTACATTAATATCGTCTTTGTTGGCTTCTAATGAGCTTTCGAGTTGTTCACGCTAAAAAAAAGTCAAAATTAGGCTTTTGTTAACTAAAAACGTTTTTTCTTTATTTCTAGGCCATAATAACAAAAATACGTTCAACGGAAATTGTCTCTAGAACTGTCACCTACCTGTACATACAAGAAGGGAATGTTCAAGAAGTTGTACAAGTACTTGAGTCCATTCGCGTTTTTCATCGACGATTGTACCAGCCTGACAGGTGCTTTTAGCTTTCCATTTTGAGGTGGCTTCCTTTTGAATCCTTGGAAGTATACGGTAATTTCCTCCTCAGTAACTTCTCGTTTATCGGCCAGATCAATCTTGTTAGCCAGTACTAGTACTGGTAAATGAGAAGGTATACGATTTAGTTCTTCTTTTACGTATTTGAAGGTCCATGCTTTTGTTATGTCAAATATTAATAGAACCCCGTTACAGTTTTTGTATACATCCAGGAAGGTGGCGTCACATACCATCTAAAATCAGGTTTATGTAATGCTGTAAAACGTTTTTTGATTTTTTTAACAACTAAAAGTTACTGCAAACTTATAACACGTAAAAACATAAAACCTACCATATCCTCAGGGCCATTACTATCAATTTTACTATCAGAAGGCCCATTATCCAGTTTTAGACCAGCTGACTTCTGTTTTCTCCTTCTACTTTCATCCACAACATCCCATACATCAACCTTGACTATAAGGTCTGAACACCGGTAATTCCACATGATATTAGATACCTGGATCTCATCTGTCGGCACATACTCATCAGAGAATTGTTGACCTTGTAGTCGTTTGAACAAGCAGGTCTTGCCAACGTTTCTATCACCTCTTATCACTACTTTCACTAAAAACATGAGTAATATAAGATTGTAATCAAATTTGGCATAGAGAATATAGTTAATGAAAATCCTCCCAAACTTACTATTAAAATTGACACCGTTCGCGTATCGTCTCTGAAGATCGTTCTTGATAACATTTATACCCGGTTTTGTTCGCACGCCCTGAGGGTTCGGACTTGGCGGACCGCCGAACTTCTTTTTCAGCGCCGTTATCATCCTAAAGTTAAATTTTTAAATAGCAAATCTTAAACTATTAAATGACATCAGAAAAAAACACACAACTTTAAATTTCATTAAACTATCAAGTCAAATAATTATGGTTATAACCAATCTACTGCAATATAATGAATTATCTAAAATCCTATAAATTTATTCAAACATAACAATGTTTTACATAAAAATTAAATGTTAACAAAGAGTAACAAATGTATTAACAAAACACAGATCAAACAGGCTTCTGCGGCTTCAAAGCCCACATTCTAACTTCGTACATGCCTTTCGGAAAATTCTTCTGTCTTCTATCCATAAAAACATTCAAGTTGGCATCTTTAAACAGTTGTAGAAACTCGTCCTTTGTCCTAGTCCAGCTATGATCTTCATTATCAAAGTCCCGAGTTATTGATGAAGTTAGGTTTTCTTTCACAACTATTATTCCGTCCGGTTTTAGGCCTTCCTAAAGTAATGTTGTCATAATTTTAATTATCATAGTTTAATAACAAAAAAATAATCATGCAGCAACAAATATTATTTAAGTAATTATAATTTAAGCACATTTCCGAATAAAGTTAAGACTTATTTTATACCTAAAAATCAAAAACAAATTTAAAATCATACCACACATCGTTTAAAATACTCCAAGCAATCGTCATCGGTCAAATGACTCAAAACCCATTGATTCCATATCACATCGTACGTCTTTTCCAACGGTTCGAAAGTCTGGAGACCTTCCACAAACTTCTGTCCAACTCTATTGTTATTAGCACCTATATATTTTTCAGATTGTTCTATAAATTTGTCCGTAACATCAACCATATCAACTCGTTTAAACATAGGTAACAAAAGATGCTTGGTTATCCTTCCGATTCCACTACCACAATCCAAAACCGTGTCAAATGAGGTTAAATGACCCTAGAATGTAAATATTACAATTTGAGCTCAAATGGTTAAAAATGCTCAATTTTTTAAGAAAACATGTTGTTTTAGTTTCTATAACAAATTGAAAGTTTAACCCAACTTCTGACAAAAAATATCAAAAAATTTAAAACAAAAGACTTTTTTGATATAAAAAGATCCAAATCAATCAACATTGTTCTCATTATTATTCAAAAAAATTATTTTTCCACTTCCAAAACATCAGTTTTCCTAAAAATAACAAAAATAATAAAAGTTAACTTACAGAGTTCCGTAAAGCAGTTAAAAAAGCCTTGGAGTCGTTGATATCAGGTACGTGAAGCTTCTCAAAACCTCCGAGCATTCCCTGCACATCCGACGCGGTTTTTGCCCAGTATTCTTCAGCTTTCGCGTAAACCTCTTCACTGGGCATCTCCATTCTGCTTCGTGAACAATATACAGATGTAGACAATAGTTTTTGAAAAGTTTTAACGTGTTTGACACATAACATAAACGTATATTTAGAGCAAATACACGTAAATGTTGAAGAGAACAATTTATTTTATTGAAAAATGCGGAAAATAATTTGTGGCGCTTCGTAGCACTAATATCGAATCTTCCATTTTAAAAACGGTACTTTTACAATCAAACGACGTTAAAAACTGTTAAACAGTAACAAAATAAAGTGATTGTCAATTCTAGTATAATTATATAATTGTTTACAAAAACAATCCATTTTATCTTATCAATACCTCTTACAATATTTCGTTAGCCAATAAATTTTGTGACACTTCGTCTAGTTTCGAAATAAAAATAATTTTCTAAAAATTTGAAGAGTTTGTTGTTAAATTAACAAATCGCAAAATCGCACTCCTGAAGCCTTTACAGATTTATAATGAACCATAAAACGAAGATCCGGCTTCAAAATGAGTTGAATGAGAAAGAACTCAAGCTAGGTTACGCTGGAGACACGAGTAAAAGTTGGCACAGCGTCTACAAAGACTCAGCTTGGATTCATGTTGGTGGACTAGACTTTGGCCTAACTGAAGGCGACTTGTTGGCTGTGTTTTCACAGTAAGTTTTTTATTTTTTTTGAGTTTTAGGTATTGTTTCGATTTTTTTTCTGGACAAGAAAATTTAACTTTAGCATTCTTTAGGTATGGAGAAATTTGTAACGTGAACATAATTCGAGATTACAAGACCTTAAAGTCTAAAGGATTTGCTTTCATATGTTACCAAGATCAGCGGTCAACAGTTTTAGCAGTAGACAACTTTAACGGTATTAAACTCGCTGGAAGAGAACTGAAAGTAGACCATGTGGAGTCGTTTAAACCTCCAAAGTATAAAGAAAGTGTACCTGAACAGCTATTAAAGATTTGGTCAGACGGATGCGCTCCTAAACCTATTAATCTCAGCAAAGGTAAGGTTTTTGCTTTTTTGTTCGAATTTTAGGTAATAATGATTCATAGGGGCGAAGATTAACCCAGCTACGATTTTTAAATTCACTGTATTACTTTTAAATCAAAATCTGCTATTAAATACTAAAATCCAACAAATTTTAGAAGAAATAGAACGTGACTATGAGAGACAGCAAACATTGAAGGCACAACAGATTGCTGAAGCTGAAGAGTTAAGGAAGTTGGACGACAAGAAGGAGGAAATGAGCTTGAAGGAGATCAAAAAGATGAACAAACAGATGAAGAAGGAAATGAAGAAGCTTAAGAAAAGAGAGAAGAGGGAAAAGAAAAAACAGAAGAGATCACGCACGCCATCAGAAGGGAAAGGAACAGCAGATTCTGTGTCAAAATGGGATGACAAAAAGAAGAAAGATCTCGATTATAGGAAGATGGATGTAGGTTTTGAGCTATATTACTATTTGTTTTTTAGTTGCAAAAAACTTCTAATTGACTATTTCAAGACGATGACTAATTTTACTTATACTTGCCTTGTTTCAGGACGAAGACTTCTACGGATCGAGTAAAGCCTTCAACTTTGGGAAGAAACGAAAGGAGATACCAGAAGGACCAACTCATAATCTTCGACCAGACTTTGAGAAGGCTGATTGGCGTGATATTGAACTGTTCAAGATAATGAGAGAACAGGAAAAGGCCGAAAATGGAGAGAAACCAAACAATTTCAAGGAAGAAGAACATTATCTACCTAATCGGTTCAACTAAACTATTTTCGGGTATTCAAAGGAAATGTAGGTTGGTTCCTTCTTGTTACTGTACATAAAATAAATTATGGATGAAATAACTGTTTTGGGATATAATTTTATAAAAATATTGTTGACTGTAAGGTTAAAAATAAAAAAAAACTAGTAAAATAACAATAAAACTCATCCAAAATAAGAAAAAAACCACAAAAAATACGAAACCAAATACAAGTCAGTTTATTTACAAGATCAGATTCTGTCGACGCCTTCGTGCTTCTCTCATGACGCTGGGGCTGGAGCAGCAGCTGGGGCGGCGGCGGGTGCGGCAGCTGGAGCATCTCCTCCACCATTGGGACCACTGAAAAATAGTGACTTAGATTAAGCAATGTACGATAGAAATAACAGTATTAATTTAAAAACTACAGTATACTCAAAAACGGTAGCTTCAATTCGCTAAATACTCTATAAGGTTTACCCCATTTACAACAATATGCCTATATAAAACATAAATTACGTTCATATTGCTGACATTAACCTAAAAAACAGCAAAATAAAATAACCAAAAAATACCTACAGCATCCAAAAATTCTTTACGATAACTCAAAAACAATTTACAAAACAAAGAAAACAACTTACACGTAGATTCTGTAGATCAAGAAGATGATCAAAGCAAAAGATACGACACCCATGGTCAGTCGAGAGTTAGTGAAAGAGCGACCGGACAGAAGATGAACGGAGTCAGTGAATGAGGCCCATTGTCAGCCTTTTTGTCATTAACACGTTTTTTCAAATTTGCATATTCTTGAAGATTTTTTTTTCAAATTTTTTTTGAAATTCAAGTTTTCGAAACATTGAGAAAATTTTGAATTATTCAGTGGAAACGCTTGTTGGACACTTTTAATGAACGAAAAACAACGGGTATAGGCAACAAAAATGAATTTTCTTTGACTTTTTACGATCTTCGACTATATAAGGAAATACTGGTTTTAACTTTCAAAAATTTAAGTTCAAAAATTAGAAGCGAGTTTCACTTTCTAAAGGAAAAGCAACTAATTTTGCATACGGCACATTGAACAAAGAACAAACGCTTGTATTTTTCCTATTATACGCAACTTTCATATATAATAATGTAAAACGTTATAAGCTCTTTTTCACTTCATTATAAGCTCCTACTTTTGTCATTTGTAACATTGAATATTTGAAAAAATGAAACGTTTTCTGGTTACTTTGTTCATTTTTGTTACTGTAACATCTTCCGAGTCAAAACTTTTAAATGTCAGGAACTTGAGTAAGTTTTCAATATTTTCTAAACTCTAAACGTTTTAGCTAAAATTTTCAACATAGTCTATCTTACCTTAATACTAGTCTACATACATATGCATATGAGTATTACTAAATTTTTTAGCTAGTCCGACCCATCAACTCTCAACATCACATGTTATACCATATGTCCCTCAGTACGCTACAACTCAAAATTTTACCATGTTTTCCATCGACAACTTCAAAAAAGTTCCATCTTCTACAAGGCGTAAATTATCTAATACTACGAAATCTACCCCTAACGTAACTTTTCGCCAAACAAACGCCATACCTCGTCAAAGCAGTTTGAGCAACAATAACAAGACAGCACCCAACAGTAATCCCCGCTTATATTCTTCAAGGACACTTCAAATGAACGAATGTTGCATTACCCAGTATAAGCATCTGGATCACCATGATGACGATGAGATTCTGGAAGAGCATTACACTTTCGGAACGTACGATGTTATCCACCGTGTTTGGAATCATGATGTGAGAGAGAAAAGTGAGACCAAAAGTGATAGTACTAGTTTACAGTATAATGGTACTAATGGAATGCACGGCCCTACTCATGTTCATGAACATTCACAAGTTCAATATGGTCCGCCAAGTATTAACCCTAACCTACATACCGTAGTTCATGCTGCTCCAAACATACCACGCCCGACGTATGTTACTGATTATCAGACGACTAAAATGCCAAGACTTGATAGACCAGTATTACCAAACCTTACTGCACTCGATACAACGAGTGATAATATTGTACCAGAAGCAAAGCTTGATGAATACGAAGGTCATTTGTCTGGATATCAATCCCCTATGTTGACTTATCTTCAAAACATTAACGTGCCGGCTTCTGCATGGTCAAGTGGATGGATACCCATTGATGGAGGGAATGCTGTGGAAAAACGGACTATTTGGTACAGTAAAGATGAAAAACCATAGTGAAATTGATATTGATTTATACAAATATTTATATAAATACTTTATATAACTTATATAAAATTCAATTTACAGCATAATATTCTAGCATAAACTACCGTATCTATCAATATAAACCATGCCAATCATTAGACTCAACAAAATATTTATTACCGGTTTCGCAAACAAAAGTTAGAAAAAGAGTAATATAACTATTAGTTAATACTGTAATGTTATATCAATATACCCGTTCAACAATGAGGTTTTCAATAAGTTAATATTCTTAAAATACGATCATTTCACCAAAGTTGGCCACCTTTTTGGTGTAGCGTTTGCTTTTGATCCATTCTTTCATTTCGGCCGAGTATGGATCGCATTTTCCTGAGTATCTGAAAAGAAATGGCATTTTTTAAAAACTCATCTTATAATACTATGTTAATCCAATGGTTATCACTACATAAGTTCCGGCAAATAAAAATACTGACCCCAGTTTTAATACCAATAGTCCAAGCTTACCCACAAAAACTTATTTTATACCCACAAAAACTTACTTTACACAAATAACTGCTTCAAAGTCCAAGAATCGACTCATCTTGTCCCATTTCTCGTCATAAATGTCATTATCAGCCTGAATTTCTTCGAACGGCCGCTTCAAATCCACCTTCCCCATAACCGCATAAATCCTAACTTCTTTCCACATGAAGGTAACTACTCCATTGTATATTGTCCTGATCAGGCCTCCTCGAATGTCAATCATCAATGTGGCAGGTTTGGCGAATTTCCGAAATTCTCGTGGATCGTTGAATATTACTTTATATGCAAACTCTGGATCCAATTTTTCTTGTTTAAGTAGTCTGTCGATTTCTACGAGTTTGGCTTCTTGAATCTGGGATCGGAGAGTTCGGTCGTAGTGGGGCTTTATCAGTCGATCCATGTCGATTAGAGAAAAATCAACCGGAGACTTTGGGACGGCGATCTGCTCTAGGTAACTCTTGAATTGGCCGCTGAAAATTGAAAAAGCTTATAAAAAAATTCGTTAAAATTTAACTTAAAAGTATTCGAAAAGTAATTTTATGCGTTTTTGTTACCTAAAATTTAAGATTTGTTGAAAAATAACGGTGAATTTGAGCCAAAAATCACAAAAAATCCATCATTTCACTAAAATAACCTCTCAAAAATACCCCCTTCCTAACAAAAAACGTACTTGCTAGACCCTTTGCCAGCCAGCCTGTTGTTATGCCTTGTCCTTGACACCTCTGGTCTGATACAAACTCTATTCTTCCTTACAGAAGGCATCCTCATGAAATCGTCCCAATAAGCTTCAGGCCATTTCTCACTCAACTCCTTCCACACATTACTCTTCACCATCCAGCCTAACCCCGGAAAAAAGTCGGTTCTGTACAGTAAATCTGGTTTGTTATTATCAACCAGTCGATTTCCACCATTGTCGTTCCACGCCGATATACACCATATGCTTGGATCCGCATCTAGTAAGTACCGAGTAGATTGAAAGTAGCTGAAAAAGTCATCGGCAATATCTAGATCGTCTTCGGTTATGATTACGGCGGAATGATTGGCTAGGACACTGTCTATGGCCCATTTGTAATGAGAGGCGATGTTGTGGTAGGCTTTTGATCTTTTGTTTGGGAATGGGGGTGTGTGCTAAAATAAAAAAGATAATTTTTTAAATCTATTTATTAAGTTAAAAAAAAGTTTTAAAAATTTAAATTCTAGTAAAAAATTGCACCGTGCAAATTTAAAAAAGCTGCACTGTGCATTCGTCAAAAACCCCAAAAATTAAAATTCTCCTAAGAACCAAATAAAAACTTTAATATTACCTGTAAAAAATGAATGTTTGAGTACTGTGTCATGTACTTTTTGATCACGTATGTCACACCTTCCAACCCGCCATCTTGACTGACATAAATAGGAAAGTTCTTAACAGATGGCCGTTGTTTAACTAGTTGTTTCAAGTGGTTCTCTATTGCTGCTTCTCTTGTCGCACAAAACACTAATACGGCAATGGTCTCGTTTGTCTATAATAACATATACTTCGTTTGTCTATAACAAGATAACATAAACGCAAACGTTGTAGTGTACAAGTTATAATAGGTATGACATAATTAATTCTTACCTCAAAATCAGCTCTGGAGAAGTTTTGAAGCAGTCTGCCAAACCTTAGAGGTATATCATGGTTTACGTCGTTAGTTAATGTTGAGTTTTCATCGACGGTGCTCTAAAACGACAATAATTATATAAAAATGACAAAAAAGATGCGAAATCAACATTGCTTATCTTTTATTACCTATTTTTTAATTTTATTGCTACATAAAAAATTTTTAAAAATAAAAGCTATAGTACTATATGATGCAAATTCTGACAAAACTTACAATGCCATTGTAGAATTTGGCTATGGCAATGTACAAAATGACTACCAGTATCACGTATTTAAGTTTGTTCCATCGCCTTCGGTTCGTGCCATATATCGCTCTGCACATACCCCAGTTTGATTACTGAAACAGTAAATATTAGAAGTGAAATGTCATAAAATGACATAATATGCCAAAATATAATGACATAATAAAAATAACATTCTATAACAAAAAATATATCAATCAACAACAAATAGTAAAAAAACTCGTATGACAAAATAAAAAATATTGAGAAAAGGTCGTGGTAACACATAAAACTTTAAAAACTCTCCGTATAACCATAAAAAATACATATAATAAATTGTTCAGGTAATTATGTGCCCCCTGATTAAGAAAATTAGCTTTGAAAGGAGGCACAGAATTATTCGAACCTAATATTAGAAGCACAAACTTAGTAGTACCATCCCAGCTATATTTCTAATCAAAAACGCTATATTTGCCCAAAGTCATCCATCTGAATCCGCTAAAAATGCCGAAAATCCATTCAAAATTCTTTGAGACATTCATCAAAGTCATTTCGAACATGGAAAAGACTGCCAATATTAATGTATCGTTAATTTTCCAAAAATATAACCTATTAGACTTCGTTTTAAATAAAATATATTCATAAAACCATCAAAAAATAACTTTATCATTCTAAAAATCTCCTCACAAAAACATTTATCAACAACGTTATTACCTTTCTTTAACCTTTACCTAGTCACTTTGACCACTTTTCCTAAACCAGATTAGAAGCTACTTAGGTTAGTCTAGCAAACTTGTTTCGTGCTCAAAATTTCGAAGTGTAATTAACGTTTATTGGCCATAAAACGCGCATATTTTGTCCTCAAAATAGAGAAAGCGACCGCCGGAAGTAAAGTGATAGCTCTTACTTTCCCATCGCATAACTTTTTCGAATCTTAGAACTACCTTCAAGGTCTTTTACTTCAAAAAAGCCTTTTTTTAGGTTAGAAATGTCTTAGTTTTGAATTTTTTAAGTGAAATAAAGTTATATTTTAACATGCTCTCTTATAACCCTAATACTATAACATAATCTTTTATAAACCCAATACCATTACTACAACATACAATAAAACATAATAAATCGTACAAAAAGACATTAATTTTAACGTTTTTCAATTAAGACATAAATTATGCCATACAAAGTCGGCTAGTTTCATATCAAACGTTATACCAAATGCTGCTATAAACAAAATATAAACAATACTAGTCAAAAATACCCCAAAAGCAATCTTATTCTATATAACAAGTCCCGCGACATTAATTTAATTAACAAATAAAGTAATATAACGTAAGAATACCCTTACCGCCACCTCTTATAAATAAAAAACTAAATTAGAATAAATTAAAAACGAAAAAACGAAAGTAGTTAGCTTATCAGCAGTTGATAATATCAATTTTTTCAAAACGTTTACTATTAAAGTACGTTAAAAGCATTCACACAAGCCGAGAATTATCTATATTGAGTATATAATGACTGCAAACGAGTAAAGTTTATCAAAATAAATTTTAAAAACAATATCGTTTCACTATAAATATTTGAAAAGCCTAAAAATAAGCAGAAAAACGAATAAATAAAGCCGAAAAATGGAAATAAACATATTCTTGTCATGTTGATGTATTTAGGTCCACTGGTATTAATAGAAATAGCTATTTTTGGATTAGCAAGTTCTATTAACGCCTCATGGTAACAAAATTTAAAATCATATTCAAGCCTAGTTTGATAATATTATGAAGCTTTTCCAGGTTTTGATACCGTTATGTTAAGATTTAACATTTTAAAGCACCACATTTATGTTTTCGTTATGACTAATACCTTTTTGTTTTTAAATGGTAACAAAAGTTATCATTTTAAAATAAAAGACTGACATTTGAGCGTACAACACCAAAACATACTTTTTACCATATTTAGTAACATTAATATTAAGTACAAACGTGTTTGATGTCTAATATAAATAAATTATTGGATTGAATAACCTTTTAACCCATAAACCTTAACAGATATTAAAAAACCGAACTTATGGTTTATAAGGCTAGTAACCTGAAGTCGAAATCAAAGTGTAAAAATAACCTTAATAAAGTAAAAACTTCATGTTTATATTAAAACTGAAAAAGAACAAATATATTTTTAAAAATAGTCAATCCGTTTAAAATCAAGCTGTTTTTCCGACGGTCACAAAAAAGTTTTTGATCTTCAAAATTTTTAAATTTTCATTGGCTAAATCTGAAAAGATAAATTCATCAGAAAAATTGAAAAAAATTATTTTTTAGCTAACGAAGGCAATAACGAGCTTTCTATATCTCCTGAATTCAATAAAAGGTAATCAAATATATAGGATGAAGAACAATGCAACAACATCCGTTCATCTTGTTTAGAGAGACACATTTTTACATAATAAAATTCATTTTACCTCAATTTGTAAAACCTTACACTACTATACTATAGCTATACTTATCAACCTCAACAAAAGATCCCTTCCTCAGAACTCAATAAACAGCACAGTAATAGCAGCCATCTTCTTAAAACATTCGGCTCATTAACATAACGTCAGAATCCATAAGCTACAGAATAAATCGTCAGAATGTATAAGTCACAGTCAACATTAAGATTCATGCGTTGTCAACAGAAACATATGAACCCAAAAAAATGCTCCCCATAGACGTTTGAAACATTTCCCATTCAAAAACAAACATAATATTTCTGTGACAAACAAAATCCGAGGAAATGATTCCGAAAAGACTCCCAATTCAAGACGAAATACGCTTTTCGTCTCGAAACGAAGCGCAACTGAAGATTTACAGAAGTTTTTGATACTTCTAAAGTCTTTAATACATGTCTAGAACAATTTAATCATTTTAGAAAATAGAACTTTCATTATCTTACCTAAATCTTACGTTATAATCAAAAGAAAACAGGTAAACGACTGCACGGTGTAAAGCTCAAAAAATTTTAATCATAACAAATGAAAATTTACAAAAAAATAAAGTGACCATACCTTAAAGTCACAAAAAGAATATCAAATATACTATATCAACAACAATTTATAAAAAATCAAAGATAAAGTAACAAAAAAGTCCCAAATCTCAAATTGATCGCACGGTGCAAAGCCCCCAAAAGCCATTAATCATCTTGAAAATTTATCGCCTCTGGTTTAATTTTTTAAAACCTTAAAACTTATATACACTAACATAATTCAAAAACCCTAAATCCTCATAATCAACCATAAACATCTCCAAAAAAACCTTTAAAGTTGCTTCACAACCAAAAAATTGACCTAAAACGTAACAAACTTAATCCGTGACTATATTATTCCTACCTTTCCTGCTTCATATTAAATAAATTGACGAGTTTTACATATTATAAACGTAACATGATTATTTTCAGTCATATTGACATGCTTTTGACTTTTTAAAATGCAAATATTTACCCGATATAACAAATTCTACCACGTATTGTACATCAAAATCAATGCTTTCTGCCATTTTAAAACACGATATCTACACAATTCGTAGATTCTTTAACCTAGCACATACACATAAGGTGAGACAAAAACAAAATCTTGTGATCCAAACGAATTCCGACTTCGAAAGCTACTTTAGAATTCAAGAAAACTTTTAGCGACTCTCAACAATGCCCCAAAATAATAAAACACAAGCTCTTCAGGCTCTAAAAAGATTCGAGAAACCTTTAAAAATATGCAAAACTGTTCGACGAGCGGTTAACTACAAACATCGACATTAAAGCGAAATTATATTATTAGATACACAACATAATCGAGCGAAAGTAACTTTGCAAACGTGACCTACAACAAAATACAGCTAAACAAACATTCCTAAAAAGTTCTAAAATAATTTAAAAGAAACTTTTAAAGTTTTATATAGTAAAAACGTCGTTTTTGGACATATTTTGTCAATTTCTTCGTGTTCGACAAAAAAATGTAAAAATATTATTTATTTTGGCACTTCGTTACGCTGCTATTGAAACGAAATGTCAAAACAAAATTTTGTTAGTATGAAATGCAAATTTTAATGTCGTGCTGATTCGTACTATTGTAAATTGTTTGGAAGTATTTTTAGTTGATTTTCGTATTATAAGTGATAATCAGGCCTTTCTTTATATTAATCATACCGTGTTTGTTTCTTTTGTACGTTAATGAGACATGACGGAGCCAATAGAGGGAAGGAAGGGGTAACAAATTGTCTGTAAATTCTTGAAATGCTTGTTTGTTTACATTTTTTAATTTTTCGTTATTATCATAGCAGCTACTCTGTAAGGGTTTCTGGGACTAAATATCACATTAACTATAACGAAAGCTTGCTTGCAGCGAAAAGAAGCAAACGCAAGTTGATTTCATTTATTGGTAGCAGGGACGTCGCTACGGATTTTCTCTGGGGGAGAGGGAGCTCAAAAAAAATTTTTTCGTCCACAGATACCTGTGGACCGATTTTCGGCGCTAGGACAAATGCGGTTTTTGGACATTTGCGGATCTGCGGTTTTTAGACACTTGCGGATCTTCGGTTTTTGGACACTTGCGGATTTTGGACATTTGCGGATTTTTTAAAGGTTTTTTTTTATTTTTAGTTAATTTAGTTGTATTATGGTACTAAATTGTACTAAAGTTTGAATTGGTACGGTTTTAACATAACAGTACCTTTTTTGGGCTTTTAGTACTATTTAGTACCAAAAATATAAAAATAGTACCGATTAAAAATTTAGTACTATTTAACATTAAGAAATATTAAGACAGTGCCAATTTAAACTTTAGTACCATTTATTACCATACTACAACTAAATTAAATAAAAAATAAAAAAACCCATTTAAAAAATCCGCAAATGTCCAAAATCCGCAAGTGTCCAAAAACCGAAGATCCGCAAGTGTCTAAAAACCGCAGATCCGCAAATGTCCAAAAACCGCATTTGTCCTAGCGCCCGATTTTCCAAAAATTTTTTTTTTCGTTTTTTCGCGTACAGGTACCCTGTGGAATTTTTTTCGGATCGGCTCTGGGGGAATGGTACCCCCCCCTTACCTCCTCACCCAAACGACGTCCCTGATTGGTAGTAAAATTTATTCTAGGTGCCTTAGAAATTTTTCCTTCTGCATACACTATTGTTCCTCTAAGTACTCAAAAATTAAATTTGATACAGCAGATGCATAAATAAAGGCTCAAATTACCGCCAACTTTTGTTTTTACTTTTAGTATTTCAATAGAGCTTTACGCCAAAGTTTTATAGAATACTTGTTATATTTTTCATAGTTTAATTTAATTTTCTAATAAGTTTCTTTACATATTTTGTTAGCATTATACAATGCGTGCACTGTATCTATATATTTAATATAAGCCTTTTTATTGTGAATCCATTGGTCTAAACCTGTCCTTATAACCATTCTATCCAGGTACTTTTTGATAAGGGTTCTATTACAAAGTGCGGCAAATAAGCTGTCGTTATAAGGAGGGTGATGCCACGCTATTGATGATCATACTAAAGAGGTTTTATTGTATTTAATATTCAGTAAAAGATCACAAAACGTTCTTGAAATTTTGTTATCTGAAGGAAGTTAAGGAAGTTTTCTCATTTTTAAACGTTTAAAAAAATACAAACCGATGACAAAACTTTTTTTTGTAATACCTTTATTTTGGACAGGTTTTCTACCTTTTTTTAATGTGCATCTTATACTTCTTTACTGTTTTATCATCGTTAAAAGCCCGATTTGTCTACATTTTTCTATGGGTAGACAACAATAAATTTAAAAATTAGTAAGGTTTGGCTGTATTTTATATTTTTATCTTTAGAAGGTTCATTATTTTATACTGGCTCACAATAATATATATTTTCGCTTTATATACCTATTCTTTTCATTTCAATCCATGAAATTTTTCGGCGATATATAATAATGATTCTTATGGTAATAAAATGGAAATGCTACTATGACAATTATAGCCATTTTAACTTATTTTACGTACATTAGACATCCATTATACGTTTCATATTATACGCACAGTAATTTTCGTTATGTGTCATGTTAAACAGTAAAGCAGTGACTTTGTGAGGCTAGCCGGGATAAGTTAAAAAATTTTTTTGCTAACTTTTTTTTTGTCCTGGTGTGGAGGGAGTTAACTCGCAATTCTCCCAACCCCCCCCTTAAACTCCCCTCCCCAACTGTCAACTTTGCAAGTGCCAACTGTAATACAATTATAATGTAATAGAGCTTTATTTGAATATATATCCCAATATCTGCTATTATATGGCCTTCTGTCGTTTCATTAGCGGCTCCCGAAGGCCTTCTTATGCTCGTCTTGGCTAATAAATCGCATAAAAATTGGATAAAAAGAGTGCGCGAAAGGAGGAGAATGGCCAGAGAGAAGAGGGCTTATGCTTCTTACACTAGTTATTATTTTGCGCACTTTCCTTTTTTTCGCTAGGCATTGTAAACCAGCATGTTTTACAGTTTTATTGTATGGCGAAGGAAGGAATTTACATTTTTATGAATTTTATTTTTTAAAAAACATTTTTTTAAATTTTTTAATATAATTTTTTGTTTTTTAAATAATTCTGTACTCTTTAACCATATCTGACTACAAAACGTTATAAAGTTTAGAAAAACAAAGCTTGAATTTCTTCTCTTTTTTTTGCTTACTAGTTTTGAGAAGAAAACATTTTTCTTTGTACCGTTGACTAATTTCCAAACGTGTCTTAACCGGATTTTCGTAATGTCATTTGTACAAAAAAAAAGAATTTTGTTTTTGCTAGAAACTGCTTACAAAAACATTAGAGGCTACTGTTAACAAAGCTAAGGTTCTAACGGTTTTTAATGAATTTTTTTAATTTTTATGTTGTAAGACTATTATAATGGCATTATAATGGTATCTCAAGTAACATCACTGTACTTTACTATTAAGCTGTTCAAGTAATTCTGTGTCCTCCTCGGAGCTAATTTTTGGAGTTAGAGGGTACATAATTATTTGAAAAATCTAATAGTAAGAAGAAGCTCTAAGAAGTCATTTTACCACGCCTTGTTTAATTCGTTTGTAATGAACATAAAGTCTTGTAAAATACAATTTTAAAGTGTTTTATGAACTCTAGCTGCTTTACTCTCTAATTACCACTTTTCTTCACTTTTTATAAAGTTTGTCATTATTTATTTTACTCTATAAAACAGAATATTATACTCCTTACCTATCTCATTACTTTACACTTGCACCCCAACTTAATTTCACCTTTTAAACTTTAAATATTTAAACTCCCCTCCATATGACTTCAATGCCATCGTATGTGCCATTTCAGGCGTTTCCCTCTCCATCTGTTGAACGAGTTCTATTAAAATTTTATGTTTTGGGTCTTATGTTTTCCCCGCCGCGATTAAACTGAAAAAGTTTTTGGAAGGGTCGGGGTGTTTTCCTGAAAGAATTCTTGATCCGCTATATTATCATAGAGGGGGGAGAAGAAAAAGAGAGCTCGTTTCATTTTGTTTTAAACCTGGCTTTATGAAAAACAAGCGTTTCGAGGTCAGCATGAGAGGCGAAAAGTCAGTTTGAGGTGTTGAAACTTGTGTTTTACATTGTTAAATTTGTTTTTATAGGATAAAATATGGGTTTTGGGCAGAAATAAGGTAGAATAGAAAGTGTCATAGTAAAACGTAGTTTTTTAAAGGTAAAATACGTAGTAGACTAATTTTAGATTTTTATTTTACGTCCTTTAATCTTCAAAAGTTGAAGCTAAAAGTGATGGTTATGTTAAAAAAGAGAAGTTTCGCAAAACTGATGCCAAAAGAATGGCGCGTTTCAAAGTTTACGCAGTTGTATCGTGTTTACTCTTGTCTTTGGTACAAGTTAAATTTGTTTACATTTAAAGTTGTTTTCCCTATGTTAGCTTTTTGGACAACAAGCAAACAATGACATTGAGTTAAGTATCTGGTTAAACTTGAATAAAAAGTAGCGTCAAACATAATATTATAGTAGCTGCTTTATAGCATTAGTGGTTGTTACGTTGCAAATACCTAAAATATTATTTTATATTCACTATTGCTACTACAAAAACTTTAGAGATATAATTGGTGCAAAAATACGTAGGACCTCGTTATCAGTACTATTTTGTAAATTTCTATTTACTTTTCGACCGTCTAGTGTTTTAAATGGGAAAATATTTGTTAAACGAGCCAGATACAGAAGAAATGTATCCGAAACAGAGTATTAAAGTACCTTTCCGAGAAACGTAGGTGGGCCTATCGTAATCATGTTTTGCGCCTTATCAGTATGCAGTTCGGATAATAAATTGAAACTTTCGGCTACGGTATTGAAGACTAAACTTTAAAAAAAAAATTTTGTTGGTTGTTTTACCTATATGTATATTAAAATATTGTGTTGTAAAAAAAGTTTTGGCGTTTTTTAATGGGTAGCCCTTTAAAAATCGACGACAGGACTTGTGTGACACACTATAGGTTTCTACTTACATCTACTGTCTACCCCCTTGCTTTTATGATCTGCTTCTAGCTTCTATGACAATATCTTAACACTTGACATATATCTATGCATAGAGCAGTCATCAGTACTTTTTAAAAACCGATTTCTTATAAACTCGCGTTACTAACACTTCAATAAATTTAATTTTAACGCCATTACCATATGCAATTTTAAAAATTGTATAACTTACCTTCATTTCCAGCACGATGCGCTACACACACGCGATAGTGACACGGATTCCACAACAATTGAAATTCGAAAGTAAGAAGGCAGCTTCAAAAGTGGACTTGGAAAAGGCGAGGAAACAGTTCGATGATCTGAACGAAACTCTCAGAGAAGTAAGTCGGCGTTCGGTTTTTGCTCGGCTTTTAGGGTTCAATAATATTCAGATACAGATGAGATCGTATCTGGTTTGATTTGTCATCAATTGGCAGGTTTTTGTGATTTCTAGTGCTTATTTTGAAAAGTTTATTGATAAGTACGACAACATTTTGTTTTAAAATTGTCCCAAAATTACTTATGAACCTAAAAGTACCCATACCTACTACAACTCAACTTTTTCAGGCAGGAATAGAAGTCCTCGAGCTAGAGCCAGAAGAAAACACCCATCTACACAACCTATACCTAGATGACACAGCAGTGATTATCAATGGCACGGCACTCTTATGTCGTCCAAAGAAGAAACACACCCGAACAGCTGAAGTGGCGTCGTATCTCCGTGACATCGTATGGCAGATTGTAGAAACTCCAGAGAAAGAGAACAACAAAGAAGTTGTGTTAGAAGGCTCTGACGTTGTTTTTACGGGGAAAGAGATCTTTGTAGGTGTCAGGAAGCATGGTACGAATGTTGAAGGAGCAGTTATTGTAGCCAGGACATGGCCTGACCTACCTGTCATTCCAATTCAGTTGAGTAAGGACAGTCCGCCGTTAAAACACTTTGTAGCTGTCGCTTCTACTGGAGTATTATCGATGGGGAAGACGAAGGAGGCGATGGTTGTGAGACAGGTAAACGTAATCTTAATATCAGTGATGGACGGGTGATTTTGAATAGATATATTAGTATTAGTGACAGGCGGGTGATTTTGGCCAAAAGGGAGATAAATGTACGTATAGTAAAGGGTAGGTTACGGTATTTTAGGCTGGCGTGAAATGTGTAAGTTCTTATGCTCACTATAAAAACTTTTTTTAGAGGATAGAACGAGAATCGACATTCCGCTACAAAGTATTAAGTATCGATGCAGATGAACACATAAATTGCATCAATGCGAATCATCATCTCATCTTCAGGAATGAAAACTCAGACAATTCAGTAAGTAACTTTATAAACTTATGTATAGTACCCAAACTAACATTACATTTTTTACCGTGAAGGTTAAAACCAATGACAAGCTAAGTCAATAGTCTGACAAATAGGTTTTTTTTCAATTATAAACTAGTTTTTAGCCCAAAATGTCAATTGATAATCTAAAAATTTTCAGAAATACCGTCTACTACAAGCCCCAACAGAGTTATGGGGGATAGGAGTTGATGAGCTTGTTAAACTAGGAGCCCCATTCTCACGTTTTTGCTTGTTAGCACGTAGGATATCATCATTAAAACAGCTCGATTAACTTCTTTTTGCCATCCTTCTTTAAATAAGCCAAGAATATTGAACACATTATCTTTTCTGACTTCTACAGCACGACTTTGCTGAACAATGTAGGAAGTACCTCCATGTATACCCTACTTAAATCCAACGGCCATTTTCTACGTAATTTTTGACCAACAATCCCAATTAGTGTCGACACAAATTGCGATTGTTGGTAATCCCTGTTCTTTTCTACTACCACTACTTCAACATTACATTTACTAGTATATAGCTATACTTACAGTATTAGTACTGTCCTAGCACCTAAAACACCAGCAATACTCAAACCATAAAACCGCTGTAATACTATTATTACCATGCTATAATTCAAAAGATTACTGCATAATGCTCAACCAAAGTGCAAAACTGCCATTCTCTTGTACATTCTTAAAGTATTCGAATAATAAAAATTGTTATCGTTTTATCAAATTAAAATATTAATAAAGTAAGCATTAATAAAGTTACATTTCTACAGTCAAAGTGAAATAATGCGGGAAACATCGTCGTACATGAGTTTTGACTATTTTGGTTGTACTGGTACTACTACGGTAAAGACAAACTGGTACTCAGATCACTGTGACAGTAGTAGCATTAATAAATAATGGCACTAGTTCACTAAGATACAAGTAATAGCTAAAAAACTAAATATAGTACTAAAAAACTACTATAATATTCCCAAATAGTAAAGAAAAATAAGTACTAATTTAAAATGAAAAATAGTACTACTAGTCCTAGTTTTAAAGTAAAAACGCTAGTATTACCTTATAAATACATACACCTTAAAATTACAGTGTAAATGATCGTATAATAAGAATGGTAAAGATTGGAAAAACATAAATTATCGTATAACAAAGTATGATACTGTAGATCATGGTTGATTGAAGGCTTGTGGAGCACCAGATGGTACGCTGGCGTTCCAAGCGGGATCGGTACTTCCGGCTCCCATCATTTGATTCCTGTCGGCTCTGAAGGCAATATCAATTAAGTTTTCATATTTTATATCAAAACTTGCGCAAACATTGACTCAAAGGCATACAGAACAGCGCTATAAGGCTATTTTAGACTTGTTTATTACCTATTTTTCAAAGATAACGTTATAAAACGATTAAAAACTTACTTTTTGCCAAGAGCCATGAATCCATAAACACATCCGGAAGCGAAGATCGTTCCAGCTCCCAAAATAGTGTTAAGTTCTGGGCACATCAGGATGGGTACGGCGCCCATGCCCATGTATAAAGCGGCTTTCTGCCAGAAGGCGCGCGATTCACTGAACTGCGATATCCGCTCAAAAAAGTCGAGGAAAGAACAGCAGAACGGTGCTTCTAAGGCTACTGTTAAGAAACCGGCAGCTCTGAAACATAAACATCCATGATCACAATACTCTCCGCTTTTTACAAATTTAGAACGAGTATTAGGCGAAAGATAAAGCCAGCAAACTACCAGAAATCCTTCAGGCCTTGATATTACCTAAAACAAGAATAAAACTAGCAAAAAACCTACAATTGAAGTAGAACAGCGGCAATACACGTTGCGCTGAAGCTGAGCAATCCCAAAATCCCGAAGAACATGGCGATAAATCCGCCGAAGATGCCCAGACCTTTGGCCAGGAACCTTGTCCACCACGGGAAGGCAGCGTTTGGATCGTGCTCCTGCTGCATTTGCGCCTGAGCCGACGACGCCTGAGCTCCCATGTTCAGTATTCGCTCAATCTTGACTGTGTAAATGAGCCAGACGCTCCGCTGTCAACCAAAACTACAAAGAATACTGTTTATTGTCTGATAAAGGTCAGCATAAATCATTTTGATTATAAAATAGAAATCAGTTTGAAAAAACACGCTTAATCCGCGATGGAAACGATGGTGATTCAAAAGTAATATAAACTTACAACTGAAAAGCATAAACCACCCCCTTCCTTTGTACCTCAAAAAACGAAACTTTTTTTTAAACCCTCTATGACAATATATTAAATCCAATTACCCAGTCCATCTTAGCGAGATTAATATCATTCTCTTAATTCCCACACAAACCTTTAACACATTTATCCCAGCCCATTAAAGCCATGAATAATATAGACATAACCAATACTCGATACACTCTGTGCCCTTTTCTTGCAAAAAAAGCCGAAACAACGGCGGCGAAACTTCGGAAAATCCGACATAAAATATTTTGTTATGTTGGTGCATAAAAAGACGACTTAGGCCCTAAGGGTATAAAAGGAAAGCGAAAGGTTGCGCCGAAATGGCAAAAGTTAAAAGCCAAACGAATTGGACGAAAGATACTGGAATTGGCCAAGGAAGAGTGCTGAGGAGTTGGATAAACTTGGATTTAGAGGCTTGTGTTGTTCGTGTTAGGAAAGTTATATTAAGACAGCTATTGCAATATACCAAATGTAAAAGTAAAGTTAAATTTAGATTTTCGTTAAAAGCTTTTTAGGTAACAAAAAATATGAATTTAGACATTTTAACGCTGAAACACGCTTATTTTAGTTAGACATTCATGTTCCTTTCCCCAAATTTGGCAAAGGTAAGATAAGCCGAAAAAATATTGGTGAAATTTGCATCCGTTTTTGAAAGACAGGTGCATTATCGGACACTAATAAGAGGTAGAAGAGGAATAAAAGCTGCTCATGCGCGTGTTCGTCTCTTTTCCGGCACAAACATATTACACTTTCGCATAAATGTAGTCTTACAAGTTGATATCTCTTATTTAAAAATTTGAAAAAAGATTTAGAATGAAGAGTTAGCAGGATCGAAAAATATTAAACTTGGTCTCTCTTCCTGTAGATTTTTTCAATTTCAAAATCTAAAGGTATTTTTTATACCTTGAAAAGGTAATTGCCGACCTAGTAATTAGAGCCAAAAATTCATTAAAAAATGCCTTTTCAAAATCTCAAAACACCCCGAAACAATTTAGCATGTAAAACACAAACATAACACCATTTTGAAGAATCTTTTCCACGAGAAAATCTGTAAAAATTGAAGGAAAATTGTTGGAATTCCCGAAAAAGCGCGATAAAAAGCCCGTTTCATTATAAAAACAAAGCAAATTTTGGACCATAAACCGGGTCACAGCGACAAAACCGAGTGGAGAGTATACTGCAAAGCGAACACAATAATGGACAGGCTACTTGTTCCACGTTCGATTTGGGTTAAACCTGGTGTTTTGGCCCCAAATTTTTATTTTTTTTGTAAAAGCATGAATAATATTAATAAAAGAAACGAGTGACGTGGATTACACATGTTAACATGTGTCATACATAAGGGAACGGCTATTGAAATTACTCTAAATTACAAAAAACAAGAAAACGCATGTTTTCGTAAAAGAAATTTATGAAAAGACAGATTTTGGTCAAACAATCTGAAATCTTCGAATTATAAAACCAACTACAATATAAAAAAATAACTTTCCAAGTATACTTATGATAATAACATCTTCCAACTTTAAAATACTATAATTTCAAAACTAATTATATAATTAGAGTTTATTGACCATAAGACAATACATTATTGAACTTATCCACAAATAATTAGTTAATGCATGTCCATGGACTCAATAATGTCGTATTTGAAGGTCTTTTGGGTCAAGATCTTGGTTGTTCCAGGCTTGAACTTGTACTGTAGATCCAAAGGCTCGGGGAGTTTACAGAATTCTGGAACGATCGGCCCTTCGAAGACGGTGCCCTCTTTCTCCATGATGACCAAGTTCAACGAGTTTCCACTCATGTTATCTCCATGCATACCAGCTTCCAGTGCGCGTTGGACCAAGGCCTTGGCTTCGGCAGTCTGAAAATAGGTTGTTTCAGAAAAACCGCATCTTTACAGAGCTATTAGTGTAGGATAACATTAAATGTGTCACCTAAACTTTTAGAACACCTTTCTAAAACTTCATAACTTATAAAATATGAAATAAACTCACCGTCATATCCTTCTTGAAGTCACGTTCCAAAACTGTGATAGCACAGTAACTTCCACTACCATCAGCAGCGAAAGCCTTGGCCATTGTCGTACCATTGGCTGAACATTCGTAAAGATGAGGTCCAGTCGAGTCAACTCCTCCAATCAACAAGTAAGCTCCAATGTATCCCATGTATTTAAACAAGTGCTGTTTGGCCATCTTCAAAGCAGATATCACTCGAGCCTTCTTTCCCGTATTCAACTCCAACAATCGCAAGTTAGCTCCCAACATCTTTGTAACTTGATCAAGGTCAGCAGCTGTACCGGCACCACAAGCATACATGGATTCGGTGAGTTTGTGGACCTTCTCACATTGTTTGTCAGCAATTACGTTTCCTTGCGTAGCACGAGAATCAGCTCCCATCACCAAACCGGTCTAAAATAATACTTTTAGTGGACAAATTAAAAACTTTTTTCTATAGGCTTTAAACACCATCTGTAACCAAAACATTTTTGTAGTTGGCTATCTTAATTAGTTACTAAAATAAAGCTGAAATACCAAGACTTTTACATAAATTTAATTTGTAATTTTATTAAAAGCTATATTTAATTTGAGTATTAACCATCCCCATAGTAAATCGAACTATAAAACAAAATTTTTGCTAAAGAAACCTCATTTACTGTCCGTGTTTTGATTTAAAACTACAGCTAAAACATCTAACTTTAATTTCCAAAAAGCTCAAACATTTTTACATTAACCATCTCCATCTTGAATTTCTTAGAGAAACCTAAAAACCAAAGAAAATTTTACACAATCAACATACCTTTGACAAACAGGCCACAATTGTAGTACCAGTAGAACGATGAACATATGGCTGAACTCCCATACCATCCAAGGCGACATTACGGACGGAATTTGTGAAGTCGAAGGCTGGAATAGCGTCTAACTCAATCTTGGCCATGTTTCCTTCTAAAAGTATAAAATTTACACTTAAAAATAACTAATAACAAACTTTTTTTGCACGATAACAACAAGTTTTACAGAAAAATATTTCCAAAAATAATTTTATCATCAAAAAATTGTTTGAAAAAATATTTGACACTTCGTCGTGAAACAATCAATAGTGACACTTCGCAACTAAAAAATATTGAAGTCTTTTTCTATGAAATCGGTTCGGGTCTGCTTCGTCGGTCGATATTATTCAGCTAAACTGTTGTTCTACACTAAATTCTAGTCAAATTTGACTAATTCTAATATTATTCCGTCATGGTGACTACTTTTCGAAAAATCTAGAAAATGTGTCAGTCTGTCTAAAAAACACGTCATCCAGTCTTTAAAATACGTCATCCGAAAGCAGTATACTGTAAGCAGGAAATGAAAACGTATCAAAAAGTCTTGTAATTGACAGTGGAAGTTAGAAAACGACGAAGCATTGCACAAAAAATCGGTCATCATGACGGAATTAGGGGATTGTACCGTTTGTGGCGCGATCTTCATGGTAGTGTTCATTATTTAGGTCTGTCTGAGCACATTCTTGTCATTTTGATTAGTTTCGGTCTGTTTGACTTGTCGAACGGTGGTGTCACGATGACGTGATTTATAGAAATTCGGTTTCAAAGTTTACTTCCATGAAAATAGTGTAATCTTTAAAATCAAACTCTACAGTTTATCTTACAAATTTTTAAAAAACTTCGGATTCAAAAGTTTGAAATTTCGAAACTTTGAGGTACAGTAGTAGAGGTTTGTAGTGCATCGATTAAAAGATAACACAGCTTTTAGTGTGTAGTAATCTTTGAAACAAGAGTATTCCATTAAAATGGTTAATTTGTGTAAATAAAATCGAAAATAAACGTAAAATAAACCTCTAGGCGCTCAAGACATAAAGTTTTGATGACGGAATTAAATGGACGCGGAATTAATCAAGATGACAGAATGAAACAACATGTTGTACATGATATGATATGATATCTATTTTTTATTTTGTATATAATTTTTATTTTAAAGGGTATTTTAGTATTTTTAAAGTAAAAAAGTCTTGTCATTAGTTGAAAATTCAAATTTCTACAATTTTCTGATCAGAAAATGGTTTTCTGGTACTCTTAACAGCAAAAGCCACACTTTTTCTGTAATTTTTAGTTAGTATGATTTGTATTTTCTGAAATACAACAGTCTCTGTTATATAGTTCTTTAAGTTTAATGGTATTTGATTACTTTTTTGTTGGTATTTCCGTCAAAAACGTGAAAAGACATTGCGATGTTTGATGAGCTGCGTAGGGTGTTAGATGTCATTGTATTCTGAAGAGATTCGGAAATATCATTTACTATTTGGAGACTCTAGAGGTTTTTTGAGGTAGAGAAAATGTATTGTAATGCTATGTAAAAAAAAGAAAGGCATATAGTAAGGTAAATAGATTAATCATAACATAGTAAGATAGTAGAAAGAAAACATATGACACAGTAAGGTAGCAAAAAGAAGTTGTTTTCTGATAATAGAAGTTAGAGGACAGTAAAATAGCTTTGAAGATCGAAAAGAGTAATTTTGTGCGCATATTTTGGTCAAATTAGGTACAGCTTTAGTAAAAACCGTCTAGACATAGAAAAAAGTTAATACGCACCAAAGTCATAGTTACTACGCACATGACTAATTTTTAAAAAGAAGTTATGGCGCCCTTTGTAGCCTGTACTCTGTCTGATGGTGCGTATATCAAATTCTAGTTTCTAGTTGGTTTAGGTGCATATTGAAGCTGATCATGTGGGTGTTGTAGTGAGTATTACACACCGCTCTCTACGCACGTCCGTCGCTGGTAGTTCTTTTGAATAAACTCTCGGTTCCGCCAGCTAGACATGTTGTTTTAGTTTGGTGCGTAAGCGAACGGTTAAATGAGCTCAAAACACGTAAAAATACGTCTTGAGTGGTTTAAAGACATTATTTTAAAATACAAAAATACATTTTTTATTTTGAAATTTCAAAAATTTTAATTTTTAGGTATATTATATAAAAATGGCAACTCACACCTACCGGTTTATCAAACTTCTTAAACTTTTGATGAAAATCACATTTTTTGGACAGTTATGTCATGTTTTTGCTAAATTCAAAGCTTAAAACGATAAATCACACATTTTGGTTTATATTTTAACGTTATAAGTTTTACATCGTATATGCGCGAGCGTCTCATTGCGAAAACTTTTACGCGGGTTTGATATGAAAAATAATTGGCATTCTGTTTCAGATAAATAGTTTTTACGAAAAAAATATATTTGGAAGGACAAGAACGCTCATAACGACGCCAAAATTTCGAATTCTGAATAGAAGAAAGCAATAGTAACACTTGAACATTAACATTTCAAATATCAAGGCGGATGCCGAACTCGGTTGTTCGGGTATTAAGGTTATTTATAATATATCAATAGAAAAATGACAATCATCGTCTTCCTCATCGACAACAGCGGGTCCATGGCCTCTAAGACGGTCAACGGGTTGAGTTATATGGACTTTGCGAAGCAGTTTGTAGAAGGATTTTTGAAGGTATGGGATTTTTTCATACGTTATGTAGTTTTAGGTATATCATGGTCGATTCTTGACGCTTGTCTCTCATTTTTTGGATGAACAAGCTTAAGATATCAGTCTTCGATTTGCTAGAAATAGATTTTGATTACTTTTGTTAGATTTTGAGTTTTGAAGATATTAAAGTAGGCGTTTTTTCAGCAAAGACAACGTGATCCGATCTCAAAAAATGACCGTTATATGCTCATGGGCTTTGAAGAATATCCTTTTAACGTTAAAGTAAGTTAGTGATTTTGTTTTTTGTTGAGTTTTTAGGCTCCCCGCGGAGGTATAATTTTATTCTATTTGTTATATTGTCGTAGATAACAAAAATTTACTGTGTAACGTAGACAACTCAGTTCTGTAAAATTATGGATTTGCACTGAATTTTGTTTATTTTGTGATGTAATATGTTGTCTTAAGAAGCAATATGGACTTTCTTGTTCGGTAGCTTGTCCAACAACACATTATATTATCTAATATTGTTTTATACCTAATCCATTTTCAGTCCGGTTGGCGAGAAGCGCAAAGTCATTTTAACGAACAATTACGACAACTCAGGCCTTCTGGATCTTCCAGCTTTGTTGAATCTCTATATAATGCTATAAGATTTGTTAATTTGAACCGGGTTCAAACGGGTATTGAAAACTACGGGTATGGACGGTATCCATCATTCTCGGAGCCGGTTGTTTTTATTGCTGTTGTGGATTACAACAGTGTTGATATCTCAGAAGATTATGTAGGTTTTCGTGTTTTTATTGCGGTGTATTAGGTATGAGATTAGATGTTAAAGGCTTTGAAAGCGATCTCTTGAGCTTAAAACTACATTTAAACCTTGTTATAAGTGTTTAAGTAGTAAAAGCAAAATTTTTATGCTAAAAAATAATGAAACAACGTATTTCAGGTAAAAGACGGGTTTCCAACGCTTCCACAACCTCTGGGTGATCTAACTGATGAGCCTTTCCGATGGGATCATCGCCTTTTTGTTGTAGGACTTGACATTCCGGGTCATTCACCAATACGAGATTTATTCGAAGGACTAGATGAAGACGCAGAAGAAGATGTTGTTGATGATTCTTTGAGCTTTTCTAGTCCTGAACTGAAAAGTTTTATATCTAGAATGAATGGTAAGCTAACTTAGCCACTACTATAGTAGTTCAACACATGTATCTTAATAATTTTTCACATAACTATGATTTTAAAGAATATTATTATATTTTGTACGATATTTATACTCTGTTTCCACATTAAATTGACTAAACTTTAGGTAAACTCTACCGAATGAAAACAGCCAAAAACATGTCGGGTATATTAGATGCGGTGCTACAGAAAATCCAGGTGAATGGAGTATTTGTGAGGTTGTCAAAGCATGGTGCAGATCCGCAAGCACCCAAAAATCCGATTCCAGAAGTGCCAAAAGAAACGTCAGAGCCGAAAACAGGAATTTATATGGTTGATGGCGAAGCTAAGGATGATTATGTACCTAAAAATGAACAGCGTAAGCTTATGTTTTGCTAAAATTAAGGCTTCATATTTTTAGGGGAACTAAAAGAGGTATCTAAAAATTCATATGGGTCAAAAAGTTTGTAGAAAGGCAGTTATTTTCGTCTTTTTATTATTAATGTTCGTTTTTAATAATTTTGTGGAAAAGAAATTAAAATAAATAATGAAAATGGCAAGCCAAGTCGTATTTTACTAAAAAATTGTTACCTAATACAAAAAATTAAAAACTTGACTTTTAGCATCAGAACCATTTAAAGAAGAAGTAGTACAAGAGAATGGCGACTGGAAGAAGAGTGTGGTACTATTTCATAGAGGTAACAAGGTACAATCAAGTGGGCAATCAGCTTGGCCCATTCCTGAAGGCTTTTGGCCTGATCAGACTGTGTAAGTTAATATTTTTGTTTAATAAACTATAAAAAATGAGGAATACTGTAACTTTTGTTAGTCAAAATTTTGTTTTTATGTTGTAGCAGATGGAAACAAAATTATAAAAAGTTTTCAAAAAATTGAAAAAAATTTTAAATTTTATTAAAAACTTAAATTTTATTATTTTCAGACTACAACTCCCACCCCGCAAGGTATACCCAGAGATCTTGTTCCGTTGCGAAGAGTCGGAACAAGTCAGTCTAGCCAACTTTCCTTTTGACAAGTACGAAGTCGAGTCAGGGCCTCTAACTGAACATATCTTGAGTCGACGAGATCCTTCCTCTTGCTGGCAACTTTTTGTCAGCAACTCCTACAACAAACCGGGTATTGGGTTTCCGTTCGGGTACATCAAGGCAGCTTCTAACCTACAAAGTGTCAATGTCTTTGTGTTTCCTTACAACTACCCACTACTGTTCGCTATTCTGGAGGAAAGTAAAGATGAAAGGTTAAGAGGGACAGACGAGTTCAAACAGAAGTTGGAGAGGTATTTCAGGACGATACCTAGCTACTATGTTGTGGTAGGTTTGGATATGAAATTTTTGTTTAAATTTTGAAAAGTTGGGGGGGGGGATTGTTTTTTTTTGGTTTAATGAGAAAAGAATGGCGCATTTATTAGTTGATGCAAAAAAAATGGCGCGTTTTGAAGTTGAAGCAGAAAAATTGTTTAAAGGATGTCTTACGATTGAACTTTTTGTTCTATATTGCACTAGATGGCCTTAAAACTTTTAATGTCATCACTTTCAGCCTCTAAGAAAAGTTCTGGTCAAGTACCCGATCTCTCACCCCTTACTTGACGATGGAAAACCCTTCCATTTCCTTCACTTCTCGGTAATGCAGTCCTTTAGTAAGGCCAAAACTCAAGGAAAAGAAGACTTTGACAAGACTTGTGGTGAGATTCAGAAAATGGAGAGAAGACCCTTTATCTCCGCTAGTATGGCACTACCTATGGCTACTGTAACAAGAACAACGTTGCCGGATACTATTGCACAGAAGAAAATAGCACTATTGAGTAGTTATAAACAACAAATTCAGCCACTATATAAGGATGTTACGGTAGGTTTTGGGGTGGCTTACCGAATTTAAAGGGAGGTTACTATAAGTTCTGGCTTAGATAGAAGGAAAAAGGTATTAATTACAAAGATTTATATGAGTGACGTGTTTCAGATAGCCATAACCGAAACCCGGATCTCAAAAGACACTGCCCAACGTTTTTTAAACCCATATCTAATCGAAAGAGACGACATTATCGACCAGTTAGAGAAAATGCGAGTCAATCTAGAACTCAACTTCACAAACTCATCTATCCCAGCACTAGAAGGTGGTGTACCAGGCCAAAGGATACGATTACAACATGCTGAAGATCTGCATGCTCAACCAGTTCAAAAGATGGGCGATTTCAATTTGTATGCAAAAAGATTGGCAGAAATTGGCTTGGCACCATTGAGGGACTTTGAACCGCCTCAGGCAAAGCCTCACGCTTTTGGAAATCCATTCAAATTGGACAAGAAATCCATGGCTATTGATGAAGTGCCAGCTGATCTGAACGAAGGCCCAGACACGGCTCAGATGCTACAACAAGAGAAGGAAAAGAACGAGAAGAGTGATAAGAACGGGAAGGAGAACAGAAAGAGGGCGGCTTCAGAGCCAGTCAATGGAGCCACGCCTTTGAAAATGCCGAAAAGGAGGGTTGGGCCGATCGATCAGAATACTCTGAATAGGTGGAGGTAAGGATTGGGGTGTTATATTTTATTAAGAAAGCTCGGCCTTGATGCTAGGACCTGGTCTAGAGATAGAGGTAAAATTTTTTTTGTAGATAAGGAAGGGTAAGAGGTATTTTATATAAAGGTATGAAAAAAAGTAAAGCGAGGATTGCTTACCTTTCTAAACTTAACAACCATAATTTCCAGAAAGCGTCGAAACAATGGCTTAACAGACTCCGACGCTTCATCCGTCGTATCAGACGTCGGCTACATCAACGATCTGGACGATAACAACAGTTTTGCACAGCCAAAACGGCTACGATACGCTGAGTCAGAGCCTGGAGATGTAAATTTAATGATTTGTGAAGATGAAGATGAAGAACAAGACCGTCAAATCATCGAAGAAACTCCAAAATTTATGGAAATAGAAACGAATAGCATGGATTATAATGAAAAAGAAGAAAAGATTAAGAACAAAGAAGAGAAAATAAGCAAAAAAGATGAAAACATAGGCCAAAATGAAGTGAAAACAAATGATAATGCCTGGAGAATACTTGAAACAGATAGGATATTACCGGAAAACGACAAAAGAGTAGCTGAAATAGAAAGAAGAATAGCGGAGAAACAACAAAAAGCGATCGAATTGGGCAAGAAAATGGCTGAAAAGGATAGGAAAACAAACCAAAAAGACAATAAACAAACTGAAGGTCAGAAAAAGAATGGCATTGATAATGCAGTAGAATCATCCTCATCTTCAGCATCATCAGAAGACGAAGAAGATCGACAAGAACGGCTCCTGGACGATTGTTTCGACAACGGGAAGCCTAACAATGGTGTAGGGAAGAAACCAGTTATAAAGGTACCAATCACTACATCTGACTTACCATCATGTAGCAAGGATCCAGAAGTTTTAGTTTCACCAAAGAAGGCAGTTTCGTATGAGGAAGATACACCTAGGTTGAGTAGGAATGAAGAATATCAAATGAAGGCGTCGATCAGGATAGCGATCAGGAATCATAGTAGATGTAGGTTTTTGAAGTCTTTGATATTTTAAAAAAAGTACAGTATTCCACTTTTTGCGGTGTTAAAATTTCATAATATTAAAAAATTGATAAACCTTTGTTAATATACTTAAAAAATTTACATTTTCAGCCTTTGACTCCTACCAAACCATCCTAAAATGCACGAACAAGTGTTCAGTACGAGAACGCTTCAAAATGCTTCAATTTGCCAAAAGCGAATCGACGATGCATCGACTGGTCGAAGTGGAGCGAAAACTCGACCAAGACCTTCAAAACCTAGCTCAATGTATTCAATTCGACGACGACGTTAGGCAGTCGCTGGCCGACTCTCACTCTTTATCTTCTTCTACAGCTGATTCCGATGAATATCTGACCGATTAACTCTCAAATCGACCGGTTGATTTAGATTTTTGTTGAATTATTTCAAGTATTGGCCATGTTGATCTAATTTTTGGCCATGTTGATGTACTTTTTGGTTATCTTGATTCATTTATGGCCATTTTAATCTGTTTTTTGGTCACTTACCTGTTTTTGGTCGATTTTTTCGAAATATTCGACCAATGTCATTTGTTTTCATTTGATTTTGTGACATATTATGTGTCTACCTAAGGTTAATATCATCTGTTTGATAATTTGTTCGTATACATTAACTAGTTTTACATTCGCAATAATATTTTCGAGTTGTTGACCCACCTTTTTACATACATCCATATTAAAGCTGTTGTTGTGATTTTCGAATGTTGAGAAGCATTTGTGATATTTGTACATTATGAAGGTTGCATTTATTTGTTTGGACAATTATTTTTGGGGTTGATTGCGGGTTTTTGATAGATGAAGGGGATCCATATGTTGTTTATGACTTCAGCGCATGTATAATATGATTTTAGGTGTGTTTATGGTAATTTTAAAGAGGTTAGTCAGTGTGTACTGTTAATGTACAGTGGGAAAACGCTGGGCATGATTATTATTATCTATTTATGACTTGTGTCAAAGACCTTGTAGTAGGTTTGTTTGATTATTTTGAAGTTTATGCTGCTTTTGCTGATTCTAATAGGAGATTTTGGAAATTCAAAGACCAATTGAGTTGTTATGAAGCTGGAACATTTCTTAAAGCGGTTAGGGCTATGATGAGATTCATATGAAATGTTAAAAGTAGGGCTTTAGAAAAGACATGCGATCACAACTATGACAATATTTATGTGATTGTCTATTTATACATAAAGTAAGCTTGTTTGACCTTTTTTTATTAATTTTGTTAAAGAAAACTTATTATTGAGTATAAGTTTCGGTTTTTAAAGAGTAGTTGTGACAAACGTGAGTATAACGTTATAAAGAAGCTAGCTCGAAAAAGAACGAGAGCTTTTCAAATTTAAAGGAACACTTTTTCTAATCAAAAGGCTAAAGATTAACCTTTCTTTTGATGAAATGCTTTTCGATATAGATCATTTATTTTTTGTAAAATACGTTATGGTGACTTGAGAGGATAAAAATATGTTTTACTTTTTGAGAATTAACATAAATGTATGTAGCGATTAGGTTGTTTAAATAATTTTGTGCCCCCTCTCAAAGCAAATTTCTGAAGTTAGAGAGCACAGAACTATTTGAACAACCTAATATATATAATACTCTGCTTTATGGACAATAAATTTGCTTTGAAACGCTTATTATTTTCTAAACGTAATTCCTCGTTTAATACGTGTTTGTTACCTAAATGTTTCACAAATTTTATTGATGGTACTAAAGCAATATTGTTATTTTAGGGTTGGCAACCTTGTAGCAGTAGTGAATGCTGAAAGCTAACTCTAACTTCAGGAATCTACTACAATTAACCAATTCTCTATTATTAAAAAGTAAGTTTTTGATTTATGGTTAAAGAGCAAGTTTCTTTTACAATAAACAAAGTGGTTTTGATTTGTTGCTTCTTAGTAATGTATGATCATTGACTCGTGATAAAACTTGGAACGTTTTTAAAAATTATCTGGGATTTATTTTTATGATCTTTTTATGAAATTACATTAATATTATTATTGTCATTTGATTAACTGTCTAAAACGAGTTTTTTACAAAATAAAGCTGCTTTTAGCGAGAAATGTCTTTGTTTTCAATTTCTGTAGAAATAGAATTGGAATTGTCAAAATAATTTTTTATTATTTTAGGTAACAACTTACACTTGAATGCGGTCAGAATGAGCAAACACGTACCTTCGGTTGTGGCCAGAGAGAGCAAGCCTAGTATATGGTATGTTATTATTTTTATTATTTTTCTTACATTTTTAGGGTTGAGTTTACAACATTGGCAGCAGAATGTAAAGCAGTGAATTTGGGCCAGGTAAGCATGGGTAATATTGTTTTACCACTAGGTTGAATGGTTTAAAAGGATGATTTTTTAAATTCTTTGCTATTTTTCAACAACAATTATGAAACGCGTCATTCTTTTCGCATCAACTTCTTTTAAAAACAAAAAATATTGTTTTAGGTATCAAGTATTAAAAATGCACTCATTTCAGGGCTTTCCCGACTCTCCAATGCCTGAATTTATGTCTGATATCCTAAAAGACATTGCGGAACACCCAGAACGAACAGATTGGCACCAATACACAAGAGGTTATGGCCATCCACGATTAGTCAAAGTATTATCAGAGTTTTACTCAAAACTTCTTGGAGTTAATATCAACACAAATCAAGAGGTTTTGGTTACAGTAGGAGCTTACCTGGCTTTATATTACAGTATGCTAGGATGGTTGAATGTTGGCGATGAAGTTATTAGTAAGTTTTTGAATATAGAGTGTTATATGGGGCTTAAAATCAGGTTTTAGGTTTATCAATTCTTGATTTATTTTCAAGATTTTTGTGTTTTTAAATTTTGTTGTTTTAAAATTTAAAAATTTTAGTATTCGAACCAGCCTACGATTCTTACGTCCCTCAGGTCAAGATGGCCGGTGGGGTACCAGTACCAATAGCACTAGATCTACCAGAGAACCCAAAAACCTCGGCTGATTACAAGGTAAACTTTGACAAGATACGATCCAAAATCACTTCAAAAACTAAGATGATCATTTTGAACAATCCTAACAATCCCTCAGGCAAACTGTACACTCGGTCTGAATTGGAAGGAATCGCTAAAATAGCTGAAGAGTTTAATCTTATAGTAGTAGCTGATGAGGTCTACGAATGGCACGTGTTCGAAGGCTTTGAAATGATACGCTTTGCCAGTCTACCGAACATGTATCAACGTACGATAACGATTGGCAGTGCTGGGAAGGCGTTCTCGGCCACAGGATGGAAGTTGGGCTGGGCGATGGGACCAGAACGACTATTAGCACCATTGAAGGCGATCCACCAGAACTGTGTCTTCACCTGCTCAACTCCAACTCAAGAAGGTGTGGCTAGAGCATTTGAAAGGGAGCTGAAGATGTATAATGAGGGGAACAGAAAGGACTCATACCTATTCACTAAAATGGCAGCTGAACTGGCGCCGAAGAAGGATAGGCTGGCTGAGAATCTGAAGAAGGCTGGGATGAACCCAATCATGCCTGAGGCTGGGTACTTCATGATCGCTGATATGAATCATATTGGTAAGAATTTATCAGTCACTTTTATGTTATGTTACCTAAAATTTTAAACAAAATTTTGAAATTTAATTTTTCGTTGGTACCGGACGAGGCTATATTTTACAATATCTTCTTTCAGATGGACCTTTTCGAAATGAAACAGAAGATGAACTTGACTTTAGATTTGTGAGATGGCTAACAAAGGAAAAGGTAACGTTTTGTGGCATCAACGGTGATACTGTTTTACTAAATTTGATTCGGACACCTTTCTCTATTCTACTTTAATCTACCATACTTTGAATTGTTTTGCCCTATATGTTCCTACGCTACCTTAGATTACCATACTCTACTCTACCGCTCTACATCTTAAACTCATCTGCCTTATCCTAACTTGTCTTGCCCTACCCTGCTTTACCCTTCCTTACTTTACTCTACTCTACCCAATCGTTCTCTACCCACCATGCTCTGCTTTACCTTCCTTACTCTGCTCATATTGAACCATTATGACTAACTAATTTTTATTTTTAGGGCTTGGCCACAATCCCACCATCAGCCTTTTACTCTACCGAGAACAAAAAAGGAAACGATCACTTTGTTCGGTTGTGTTTCTTCAAAAAGGATCAAACTTTGGATGCAGCTGTCGAGATTCTGAAGCAGTTTAACAAATCTTAACTTATAGTCAGTTAATATTAGTTACAGTAACTCTATAAATAATTCTTGTGAATTTTTTTGGCTGTTTTTAGGTAACAGTTTTAAAAGTTAAAAAACAATTTTAATTTGGATTTTTGAATTTTTTTTGTAAAATACGATTTATTTTTGAGTAACAACCTACGATATGGCTATAATAAGAATGTTTATTGTAGTGAAACGATTATTAAGTGGATACGAAACCTTTTACAAAACTTGAGACCATAAAAGTGCATCTACAGTTTTCAACAGAAAACACATTACTATCGGCAAGATACCAAACACAAAAAACGAAGATACAAAATAACCGTAGACGATGTCATAGTAGGCAATTATTACATTGAAGTCGATGTAATTGCAAGATTCTCTCGGGGGCTTCTATTAAATTCATCGAGGAAAGATCATGGAGGAGAAGTTGTTGGTTTTGATGGTGGAATTGGAGGTTATTGGTCTGGAAATGGAGGGAATTAGCGTGGTTTGGGTTGGAAAATGTTAAAGCTTTGAAAGTTTTAAAGCTTGAAGCTTAAATGGTCTAAAAACATGAGTTTTTGAAGATCTTAAGGCGTAGTTATTAACACCCAAAGAAAAATTGACGGTACGACCATTTTCAAATCGTCGGATCTCCTTCATACTGTGTAATATAAACATGAAATTTCTTACAAATCTGTCTTATAAAACGTAGTAAGTATACTGAAAACAACTTTTTCAAAATTTGGCTTTTTAGGTAACAAATTAGCATAAAAGTTGGCCAGGCCCTAGCAAAATGTTTTCCAGTTCTTCAAAAACCCTCCCAGAAGCTAAAAAAGCCATTCCAAGCCAAAAAAACATAGTCAAACTACTCTGAATACTAAGGATATCGTTCTCTGTACCTATACCCTTCCTCCGATCCCCTATATACAAGTTATAGCCAACTTACTGTCATTTTTTTGCGTCGACGTTCCGGGCTGTTCGTTGTTGCCAGTGCCCATTTTTTCGAATTCATCGGCCAATTTGTGAGCTCCAGGATCCAACCCGTCTAGCCCAAGGTCGGCCATGGCATTTCGTCGGCCAACTCGCCCACTGTCGACGAACTGATTCTGGAATTCAACCAGCGCCTCGCCCGTCATGACTTCGTCTTCCCGTTTCTGTTGCGAAATTTTGTTTTTGGATTTGTTCAGCTTGCTGTAGACCGACTTGAGGTGTCCTGAAAGGTATTTCTATATTAATATAGTAAAAACAGTACTAAAAGAGTGGTAATTTTCGTTAAAGGTATATATTAATGTAAGTATAAAATCAAAAAGCCCTACTCAAAGCTACGGTAATGGTAACACGTTTCAAATATTTACCAAAGTATTCAATATCAACACAGAAAGACATAGTATGAAGTATAATATGTATATAAGTTACAAGTTTTACAAGTAGAAAATTAAAGTTTGAAAATATATGTTGTAGTAGCTCAAACTCGATTGGTATGTGATATCCTAAGGTGAGTTTGACTGTTTAAATACGAAAAAGTAGATCGCTTACTCATCGAAACACATACAGATTATGTAAATCTTGTTACGTTGAAATAACAAGAGTAACAAATGCACAGTTTGCAAACCACCTCTATATAAAACTACGTCACAAACATAACACAAGCTAGATATCAACTAAAGCATTACATACAATATGAGTCAGACTGAACATAACTAATAGGTAAGGCCTTTCATTTACTGTAACTTAAAAAAGAAGACGTCTTAATAAAATTTTATTATAACAACCTATATTAACCATCATATTATGCCTACCTTACCAAAATTTTAAGTAAAACCATCCTTTTATTAGCTAACCATGTCACCAAAACTCCCTTTATCAGCTACCCATGCCATCTACTATAATATAATATGATTTATGTAAAAAGTCACACTAGTCTGGCTTCTCAGTAAGTTATTAGTATAATATTATAGAATAGAATGCATCTTGGCTAGCTAGACAAATCAAAACAATAATGTCATCATTTCTCGTCAAAAAAGTAATAAACAAAAGTAAAAATAGAGATAGTTGTGGTATATTATGAGAAGAAAAAGTAAGGTACTAGCGTGATATTGATGATATTGATAACAAATCATATATTAATAATATTGATGACATGACGACCTCTTATTATAAGCGACACCTTTATATTAAAAACGTTTTTTTATAAGGTCAATAGAAATTTTTAAAATCTCCATTTCATTACATGAATATTGGTAGTAAATTCAGTCCTAATAGGTCTGAAAGAGAGCCAAATAGGCCCGGCCCGGACCGGTAAACTTTCCAAAAACTCCTTAATTTTTAAAAATTTTCTTTGCCTTTTCACTTCAAAAAAACTATGAAGAACTAAAGAACGCCTTAAGCCGCGGAACATTTATAATCAATTAATTTAATTTGTTATGAAACTAATTTCAAATGAATTGCAAAAAGTAATACAATTTGCACGCTCGACTCGCGTTACACTGTAAAGTAATGCAAATGTAGAGGTACGTGACAAGAAAAACTAATTTAACATCATGCTAAGAAACAGTAGAATAATTTTAATATAAGTTACGTTAAAGATATTAAAGGTAACATATAGTTTAAAACCATGCTAAAGAAAGGTATAGTGATGTGGTCAATAATTTCTGCGGGCAGTATAGAACAATTTAACGAATTTTGATGAAAGTTAAGGTAGTTTACTGACTTGGAAGAAAAGATGTAATAAGTTTAAGAAAGTGAATCTTAACCTTTAAAGCAGACAAATTTCTAAGAAGAAAACGTCATTTTAATTTCCCAACTTGTAGAATTTGTAAAAGCAAAATTTACTTTCTTACAACGGAAGTTGATGGGTTTTGAAGAAAGAGTAAGAAAGCTAGAGAGAGTGGTAGAGAAAGAGTTATTTAATAGAAAAAACAAAAAAACATGTTAACATAGTAATACTAGTCTTCAAAGAATAAAATCATTTTCAAAGCACGAAAGATATTTTTGAAAAGACATGTTAACTACAAATGTCATAACAACATCTTATCAAAACAAGGCTTCGAATCAAAAAGTCTGAATAATAAAAGTAATCAGTAGATAACAAAAAACAAAATTAAAAAAAACCTTAGTAAATTTCATTTTTAAAAAGTTTAAATTGTGTTTGAAGATCCTCTCCAAATTTAACCCTTACCCTCCAGCTTCAATAAAATAACCCTACTATACACTGTCCTATTTCACCCTATCTTACCCTACTTGTAAACCATAGTTTTCCGCCTAAAAACCCAAAAAAATTTTTAAAAAATCCATTTTTTTCAAGAAAATATCATTTTTGAGTTTGGCGAATCCTGAACCCTCTTCCCCACGCCCTTCTGAATCCCGTATAATAAAGAAAGCGGCAAACCAGATTACAGCCCAAAGATAACAAGAACTAAAGATTGGCCCTCTCCTTATAGAACTTGTTTTGGCCAGAGATGCGGCTCGAAATAGAAGGAAAAACCAATTTTTACGATTTTAAATTTAAAATTTCGTTTCGAAAAATGCAAGAAAAGGAACAAGAGTCAAAAAGTTTTGGCATTTTCCTTAACTTTTTTATCTTACTAAAATTCAGTTTAGAAGCTCAAAAAAGGCCTGTCAACCCCTAAAAATTACCAATTTCGAAAAATTTCAAAGAGTTCATAAAATTTCGAGAAATACACACAGAAGCCATGAATGTATACGAAAGATATGTGGCCCTTCGTATGCTGTTACCACAGCAACATTTGAAACACGAAAAGTGTATGTATAATATAATTTTGTTAGCGCAAGTTAATCCCTACATTATAATCACTGTTCTGTGAAATGGCACATTACGGCCAATTTACTTGTTTTTCTATACAATAACTATGGTATCAGTAGTAATGATATTGTACATGTTATGACTAAAGACTAGATTAACGATATCTACCAAACCCTACTCTACCCTACTAACCGTACGACTCTAATTGCAAGTTCAGTCATGTATTAAGCAACGTGAATACTATTCATGAATGAAAAGACTTTTGGCACCCACACCGGAAGCCGAGGCCAAACAAACTGTGGCCGAAAGCGAAAATCTGATAAATTTTAAAGTCCTAAAATGTAATCTGTCTTTGTAAAAACAGCCACATCATTCTAGCAAGGATACTACATCATTCAACAACGTGCTATATAGTATCGATATAACGTGCTATATAGTATAGCTTTAGTAGCATAAAGTATTAGTACTAAAATAACGTGAACTATAATAATATACACAAATTTGGTCAAAAAATACTTAGAAATTTTCAAAGCTGATGCAAAAAGAATGGCACTATTATAAAAACTACAATTTTTTGCCATAAATTTTAAAAAGCAGTTTCTTTCGGCCATTTTTCTACATACATCTTGAATTGACACAATTAAAAATCCGTATTTTACAAACCCCGAAAAGTTCGAAACACAATCCTTAAAATGGGCTTTAATATATCAACAAGATTTGTCAAAAAAAACTTAAAATAACAATAAGGACGCGACTTTTGGAAGGTTTTGACGTGTTTGACATAAAATAAATATTACTGTAGCGCTTTGAATAATGTCAAAATAGGAAAAACAAAAAGTACATGTAAACTTTGTGGTATTTACTCCAACAGGGCATACTTTTGCTTTTTAAGTAATATTTCACTAACAAATATCAAAAAATGCCAATATAAGTGTAAGATCTTAAGGTTTATCATAAATTTATAAAAATTCACTTTTTAAGCCTTATTTTTCGTGATAAAAAGCGACAAACTGTTTTTGTTACCTAAAATTTCAAAACTTCATTTTTAGCAACAAAACTTTAAAAAAATAAAAAGAATTGTGAAAATTAAACACCTCAGTCCATATGACAAGTCATCTACAACAAACTTGTCCAACCCACCTCCCCATACCTACTCCAAACGCGTCGAAGATCTTTGAATTCGCGAAATATAATTATGCGGCCCTGAAGGCAAGTCTTTTCACGTGAAACTGCCCTCTTTCATAAACAAAATCTTCATAAACAAATTCCCGCGGATTATCCGATAATTAAAATGGCACGGGATTCCCACTATTTTGGGCCGAATTTCGTTACGAATGCCAAAAATAGTGCAATTGTCAATATCAGATAGAAAATATTTTTGTTTTTTGAAGATTCGTTTGGCAGAAAATGTAGTTTCCGGGGGGGGGGATAATACAGCTTGCAGAGTTGTAGGAAGGTGTATATTAGTATAGTACAAAGTGTAAAACATCTAAAATTAGCAGATAAATAGTTCAACAAACTAGAAAATCTGTTTTTTCAATAAAAAAATGCCAAGAACGCCCATATCTAATAAGAAAACAAAATAAATAACAAAATAAACCCAAAAAGGCTCAGATCAGTCTAATGTAATCAAGTACGTTCATACTCTTCCTATCAAATAATGGTTCTTCCTAGCCAAACAAAAGTCCAACAGAGCGCGGACTCGAACCAACGACCTCTCGGACGAAAGCCAAACGCGCTAACCACTGAACTAAATAGACACGTTTCGCAAAGCTTTGATATTAACCATGAGAGAAGACGAAGATGTAAAGAGGTGGGTAGATGAGTGAAACAAAACACGTTTGGGTTAAAAAGTAAACAAAAATATAGTAAATTAAAGAAAAAAGTGTATAAAATAATAAAAAATTAATTCGAAGCAAGAAAAGTAAAAAATGTCTGAAAACTCCGAAAATCTGGTTTTGTGTTTTTTCAACAAAATTAAAATTTTTAAGGCTTTTCAATTTAAAAATATAATTCCTTTAAGCTATAAAGTGTTTCAAAAATGAGGCCAAATCCCTGATTCATCTGAAGCCCTTCTTTTTAAAAAAAATATTTTTTTTTATTTAGTTCTAAGCCGTTAATGATAACTGTAATCCTTTATAGTAACCCTACCTTGAAGTAAACAACATAATCTAACAAATAATTAACTTGAAAATGAAATTCTGTGCATCGAAATTAATATTTCACGTCTTAATTACCAATTTTCGCAATTTGCAGGCCTAAATAATCAGATTTTTCTACAATAATTAACATCTTATACCTAGAAAAAATAATAAAATGGTAGCTGACAAAGCAAGAATTATATTTCCAAAGTAATTTTGCAGCAAAAAAAGTAGAAATGACAACTTTCGTGGAGTAAATATGCACATAACTAATGGAGAACGTGACTAATATACGTTACATCATAGACGAGATGTAAAGTCAAAACAAAATTATTAATCATGAAGCGTGAAGGATGGGCGGTGTAATTGGATTCTAACAAATAATGTTACAATCTGAGGGTGAATTGTAAAAAAATACTTTGGTTTTTGTAGGTTCATTGTGAAGTGGCAGTACAGAAATGTGAAGTCACAGTAAACATTAAAACGTAAACTGATGATAAATAACATTATAGTTGTTCAAATGATTCTGTGCCCCCTCTCAAAGCTAAATTTTAGGATTGGGAGCACAGAATTACTTGAACAATCTAATAGAACCTGGAAAAAGACCCAAATAGTCATAAAATCTTGTTAAATTGT